CCAGATCATGTCGGCGTTGTTGATGGTGATGGCGTCACCGCCCCAGACGTACTTGGGGTTGATGTCGGTGATGGCGACGTTCCTGGGTGGATGGGTTAGTTATCGGTTTTTTGGGGGTAGCAGGTGGTTAATATCTTACTGGATGATGACGTTGTTCGCGCCGCTGACGATACGGAGACCCTTGCCCTTGATGACACCGGCGCTGCCGGAGCCAACGATGGACTTGTTGGACTTGACGGTTATGCCGAGAACACCGGCGTTGTCGCTGGGAGCGGTCTGTTAGTATGGACTTCCGGGGATTGATTGAAACAAAAGGGTTTTGGAGGGGTTGGAAATGCATACTATTTGACAGAGGTGGAGGGCGCGTTCGGCTCGTAGTTCTGGCACCAGTTGTTCTGGTTGATGGCAACCTGACAAGCGGAGGCAGTACCCCAAGGAGCGCAGCCAGTGGCGGAGGTAGTTCCCTCAGTACCGGTGAAGTCGAAGGTCTTGGTGAGAATAATGACACGAGGGGAAGAGTCACCCAGGTACGAGACCAGCTCGGCTGTGGTGCTGGGGTAGACAGGGGTGGCAGAGCCACCACCAGTGACGCCCTTGGCGAAACCCTCTGCGGCGCCGGTGACACCGACGGCGGCAGCTCGCACAGCGAGTGCTGCAAAGATAGCGGCGATCTTCATGTTGGGAGTTGGTAGTTTCTACCTGTATAAAAGAATGTAATGGTTGGGATGGAGAGCTGAAAGAGAGATTTGGGCGCGATGGACGTGACCTTATATAGGATCAACAAGTAGTCCAGTATAGATAGCTCTCCCGGATAATCCGGGCTAAGACACAAGCTTGTTTGAGAATCATGTCTCTCCACCCGGGTAATCTCCGTTATGGTATGCCGATGTTGTTCCGGCGAATGGTGACCGAAGCCCTAGGCGCCTGGGGCTTGGCATAAACGTGGGACCAACCTTGGACAGTCTGGCAATGTATTAAGGTTGTGCATGATCCACAATTTGGCGGAGAAATATATGGCCATGCTATGCAGGGGTACAAAGTAGGTGAGAAGGATGCGGAAGAATTGTAGACCCGTGTTGTGGGACATGATAGTACACCAATAGGGGGGCCCGTTGGATAGTGCTCATATTCGTATATTCGGATATTCGTATACAAGGGCATCCTGTGGCGCAAATGCAATATTCAAAGGAAACTCAGGAGTTAAAGTTGAGTAATCCTAGTCGTAAATCAAACCGGCATTGAAGAATTGGGTCCGGTGCTTGAAGATGTTTCACTTGGGGGATGTTCCCCACATCGGTCGCTGCATGGAGTAAGCTTGTCAGCATTGTGGCCGGACACTTTACTCGGATGAGAACAGTCTCCGAGGTCCATTTGGAGTATCTCCCTCCTTTTTGTTGCAAGATCCATGGTCTGTGTTGATTTTTGATTTCTCCAGTGTGAGGCAAGGTGGTCAAGGGGTAGGGGTTTGGGAGAGTTTGTCCGTCTTGGCGAACACTGGGATTTTCCTCTGTCGATCTTTAAGCACCCTATTATTGCAGCAATGATAGTCGTAGTCTAAATATTGAACTCCGTCGAAATGTGAAGATCCGGAACCTGCCCATGAGCCTAATATTACCCACCAGAGCTATCAGGTCCACTCGAAGTTCTTTTGATTGAAATAATTTCGGGGATTCGGTGGAGAAATATAAAGTGCATAAATATTACTACTAATGATTGGCGCGTTTCATATAAAGGAAGGTCATAACAGAGGAGGAAGAAAAAAAAGGGGGGGGTGAAAATTTCCGAATGAATTCTAGATTTCTATTCATTAAACATGTGTAGTCTATGTAATGATGTGTGGTATATGACAAAAAGCACAAATGATCAGCTGTAACCATCTCCAAAGAGCATCCACTCCAATCACTTCTAGAAAGCGACCGGCAGAGGACGCTCCAGGTAGCCACGCCACTTGGGAAGTGGACGGTCCCACTTGGCGCCTTGGTTCTTCTTCAGATCCTCGATAGCACTGGCGTACTTAATCAAGGTGGCCTCAGAGAAAGCAGTGTTCACGAGAGCAAGGCCAAAGGGCATGCCCGAGACATCGCTGACACCAGCAGGAAGAGTGATGACAGGGTATCCAGCCTGGGCAGCGATCTCAACGCTCTGAGCGACATCGGGAGGCACAAGAAGACCGTCGAGAGTAACATTGCCGTGCTTCAGAGCAGCATCGATACCCTCCTCGCGAGTAGTGCGCTGACAGAACTCCAAAGCCTGGAAGTAGGTCTCGTCCATGACACCCTTGCTCTCGAGGGAAGCGATGAGACCGTCCTGGCCGGAACCGAAGGCAGGGTGGATACCGGGAAGACCACCCTCGGAGCCGTAGTTATCGATGTTGTACTGGACGAGGTCCTCGACAGAGCGGACGTTGGTGTTCTCGACCTCGGACAGGTAGGTGCGCAGGTTGTTGTAGAAGTCGACCTTGATGTAGGAGTATGAGGACTCGTTAGCGTAGCCGCGGGTGGTACCGTAGTCCCAGTTCCAGCCATCGGGCGAGACAATCTCCTTGTAGTGAGGCAGCTCAGTGCCGTTGATGACAGTGGCACCGGCGGACTTGATCAGCTCGACCAGCTCGAGGAGCTGGGCGATTTGGTCGGCGTCGCCGAGGGCCCAGAAGGAATCCCAGGGGATACCGAAGACAGCGCCCTTAAGAGCGGTCTGGTTGGACAGGAACTGGGTGTAGCCACCGACCGGGGTGAGACCCTCCTGGGCGGAGGTGTAGTTGTCGCGGGGGTCAATGCCGTAGATAGCATCGAGGGCGTAGACGGCATCACGGACGGTCTTACCGAATGTTCCGACGGTGTCCTGGTGGGTTGACTCCGGGATGACACCGGAACGGGAGGTCAGACCAACAGTGGGCTTGATGCCAACAATGGAGTTGCGCTGAGCGGGGTTAATGACGGAGCCATCGGTCTCGGTTCCCAGAGCAATGGGGACCAGGTTGGCGCCGACGGCGACACCAGAGCCAGTACTGCTGCCACCGGGATTCACGGTGAAGTTGTAAGCACTGCGGCACTGACCGCCACGGGCACTGAAGCCTTCAGAGTAGTTATTAGAGCGCATGTCGGCCCACTCGCTCAGAGCGGCCTTGCCGAGAAGCAGAGCACCGGCCTTGCGCATGCCGTTGACGACGTGAGAATCACGGGGCACAACGTTGCCGAGCAGAGCCCAGCTGCCGGCAGTGGTCTCCAAACGGTCCTTTGTTGCGATATTGTCCTTGACAATGAAAGGGATACCGTGGAGAGGACCACGGACCTTGCCTTCGGCACGCTCAGCATCGAGCAACTTGGCAATGGTGTAAGCATCCGGGTTCACTTGCAAGATAGCACTAATAAGGCTGTTAGTCCACAATTCTATGCCAGGGATTTTAACGTAACATACTTCAAGTAAGGCTGGGTCTGGTAAACACGGTCCATGTAGCAGTCCAGCAATTCGACGGTGGTGAAAGTACCAATCGCCAGCTCGGCCTGGATCTGATCGATAGTAGCCTCCTCCAGCTTAAAGCCATGACAGGTGCGCATAGGGAACTGGGCAGCACCATCACCGCCCAGGCGAGGGAAGTCATAGAGGTAGGGATCAGTAAGGATCTGGGAGTCGACCAAACAGTCGGACTCCTGAGCAACAACGGAGCTCACCAAAGCGAGGCCGCTCACCAATGTTTGGATTAAAGGTGCCATGATGGGAATTATATTAAAAAGCCCCAAAAAACCATGTGGCAGAATGCCAATATTTTGGGGGACTTCATATTGTTATACTTCCAAGATAACTTTGGTACGTGACTAATCCCGATAAATCCTTTCCCCCTCCCCGCCGCATTCCCAAGACATTTTCAGACATTTTTCACTGGGAATATTTTTCACTTGCTTTAGGCTGCCTTTTTTTAATTACATCTGCTTTAGAACAGCTATTTTCTTCGGTCTAAATCTCATTCCATCCACTATATCCGCCAAACCATTGGAATTAGTGGCGTTTGTTCAGCAGGAACCCTCCGTGAAAAATGTTCAAAATATTTAAAATGACCAAAAGGTGATTTTTTTAATCTATAATCTAGGTACCTTGCGTATTAATTTAACTATATTATTCCAGAAAAACCTTGGTAGTAGGTTATAGGACCGAGACGACCTGCCTAAAACTGCAAGTAACTGGATCCAAAAAAATCTGCCGGCCCCATCGAAGACCATCGGAACCGAGTTGCGCTCCGTTCGATCGACTCCAGTCCACTTTTAAAGTACTTTGATTGGCTGCCTTGCACGATGTTCCCCTTTGGTACCAAAGATCGTACGAGCAGCTCGGCTTAGCTCGGCCATTGCGCGGTGGATATTGATGGATAGAAAATGTAACATCGCGACTGGGCCTATGAAATTCTGGAATATCGAAAATATCCAGAATATCCAGAACGTCCAGAACGTCCAGAATACTATGGAAAAGTAAACCTCCTAGCGTTGACTTGCGTTCTAAGCGAGTTTTTCACCCACGTGGGAAAAAGTAGATTGCACTAGTTCAGACTTGGGGCTCTTCATTTAGTTCTAATTTACATCTTTATATTCTGACAGGTGATATATGACATCCGTCTACAATATATTGGGTTGTATATACATATATATATATATACATATTGTAGTTCTCAAAATGTGAACAACAATGAAGCTCCCGTTCATTAAACTTCCCCATAAACTTCGAATGTGATCAAATCCATGGTTTTCAAGTCTCAAATGTTTGGTACGGCTTTTCGGTTGGTCACTAGGTTCAGGGATCCCTTGGAATTATTGAAAAAAAGACCCGCCGCGCCCACTTTCCTTTGAGAGAATTAACCTTGGAAGAGAACAAAGAAATACATCGTATCGCTTGCCCTCGGGTTCTTAGGAATAATATATCAGACATTCCGGGCATGATGGGTAAACCCTTCTCGGTCCATATCTTTACTACATCTTTCCTGTTTATCATGTCACTCGTTTGAAATTGCAATGGCCATCCCCGATGATATCCTTGCGGCAAACGCTGCAGGGAGAATCCCTAGTGGGGTCACACTCGAATACCTAGCAGAGTCCCGCGATAGCTCTGCCATTGTGGGAATCATTTTCATGATATGCTTCACCGGCCTGTTGATGATCATACGATTATATGCCCGAACATTTATTGTGAAGAAGATGGGTTTAGATGATGTATTGGCCGTCGTGACGTTGGTACGATCCTCCACTTTCCACCCCAGATCTACACTGCACTAAATATGCATGGACACTATACACAGAAAGCTATGAATAGTTACAAGAAATATATAATCACAAAAACTAACAATAACTCCCAATTGCAGATGCTCTATATTGCTTTTGTCATCCTCTCAATCACCCTAATCAACTTGGGAAGCGGTCGCCACATCGAATACATCCAATATGTGCTATCACTACCCACCGTCCGCGAAACAGAAGTCCTAGACTTCATCGCTCATATTATTTACACAACGGCTCTATTCCTATGTCGTCTGTCCGGTCTAGCTTTCTACTTTCGACTCACAGCCCGCTCAACAAAACTACACATGAGCATTATCATCGCCGTCCCACTTCTTTTCGCCGCATACCTACCCCAGATCTTCCTCCTGATCTTCCACTGCAGACCAGTCACAGGACTCTGGCCATACGAGTGGCAAGTCGAGCCAAAGACATACAACTGTCTCACATGGGGACTCGTATACTCAGTGAACTCGGGCCTGTCTCTCGCTTGTGACATTTTGATGTTCGCGATCCCAGCGGCACTCATCAAGGGGCTGCACGTTTCTTTAGAAAAGAAGATCAAGCTATCCTTCGTGATGTTCCCCGGTATCCTGTGAGTAATCTCCCACCTCCCAGCCTGTCCAACAAGTCCCACAAAACTAATACTAATACCACACAGTGTAATCATAATCTCCGCCATCCGCGTCTGGCTCGTAGCACGGGGCCAATGGGACCCAGACGGCAGCTGGGCCTACAATCCGATGATGTGTGTTGAGAGCGCCGAGATCGCGGCAACTCTAGTCGCGCTCTCCGTGCCAGCGCTGAAACCCGTCTTCGGAAACTTGTTCGCACACTTGACTGAGTACACGTCCAGCCACACGCGCTCGCGCTCACGCTCGACAAAAATTCCCAGTCTTGGACATTCGAAGACTGTTGGAAGTGGTGCGGTATCCAGCAATCGGGATAGCAAGCGTCTCATTAATTGGTCGAAGATTGGGAAGGATGATTATGAGATGATGCCTTCTGAGATATCGGTTTCGAGGGACACTAGAGCTGCATCGAGAGCGAGTGATGAGATAGAGAGGGGTGCGAGGAGTCCCGGGATTAGGGTTACGAATGAGGTTACTATTAATCGTGGGAGTGAGGTTAGGGTTGAGACGCCTAGGTCTAGGGAGAGTTAAGGTGTAATTTTTTTTCCTTTTTTTGTTCCAACAGATCGATATATATATATATATATATATATATACATAGGACTACTTATATTATGTCAAAGGTCTTTCTTTCATGAGGTATCTATACTACGTGCCCTTCATAATATTGACCATGTCTTCTCGTTCTTTTTGTGAAACCACTTGCATATCAAGATATAGTGGCAGACAGGTCATATGAACAAATCGATCACCTACTCCCATATCGCCGTGGCTTTGGAGTGTTACACATGGAACGCATAGTGGAAGCATTACATAGAAAGCTCTGGTTTTCCTTATTGGAAAAGAAACCTCGATATTTGAATGAAACTCACGATGACTCGCTCGCGGCTGTCCAACAGCTAAGCGCTGTTTTTGGGCCATTTCAATAACGGTGATGTGATATAGACAATATCAGCTGGAACAGCAGTGTCTAAAATCACATAAATAGAGTGCTCTATCTCGACAATTACCCATATCACCATCTCTCTCGTCCATGCTAATCTGGGCTTACTTCAAGTTATCAATATCTATCTTGTTGGCGATACCACGGCTTCAAGAGATGATTCCACCATCCAAGCACTTCTACCTGTACTCCACGCCAACATCTCAAGGTGGGCCTCGATACACCCATCTCTGAACTCCTTTCCTGCTATGGAGAAAGCCACATCCACTCCCCAAAAACCCTCAGACAGTACTATGATCTCGACTTGACAAGACTCGACGGTCTAATCGTGTTTTCCCATCAAATATCCCCCCAAACCAAGGAAACTACCCGGTATCCCACGATTGTGGATCCATAGCTCACGTATAATTACGAGGGGAGGATGTGGCTGAGAGACTCAATCGATGTTGAAAGCATGCACTACAGGTTCGGGGGTTTTTCGGATTACCCGACGAGCTCGTGGATCCCGCTCTCCCCAATCCGCGAATATAGTATGCGCAGCGTGACAAGCCACTGAAAGGATCATCTGGTGAAACACCATCCGATTCTGGTGTTGTACAAAAAGTAAATAAAAGACGTGATAGACCAAAGGGGGGGGTTCGGATGGCTTGGTTTCTGTAAATAGGTGGCGTTGGTAATCTCCTTTTGGGCGCCATTGGAGGCGTTGAATAGTGCGGCGCTTAGTCTGTTTAGTGAGACATACAATGGGGCTTCTTTTCTCATCTGAGTGGTATTGTAATTTGGCGCTTATACTGTCTTGGTTTCAGTAATTGCGGAGGTCATTGTGCTCCATATGTGGATGTATAATTGGTTAGAAGGAAGAATGCGGAAGGATGAAGCTTTTTCGGGCTTTGCCTACCCTCTCTATTTATTTCAAATAGATCCACAGTTTAGAAAGATAATTCCCGAACGATCCTACAGTTCCGAGACTAATTTTTGTATCTCATGATGTTGTCAGGTTAGCTTCACATCCGAATATAAAACGGTTGGCGGCCCTTCAGTCGAACAAAACACGAGGCCACGTCACGACTACAATTCCTGGCCCCCAAGACTTGGCCCCAAGAGCAATGTTGTAATTTGCCAAGATGCATGACCCAACCTCTTTGGGGTGTAGTTCACGCTGTTGAATAATCGATTTTGGTGCTTACCAACCTCATAAATGGTCAAGATATTTCTAATGCGAAGCTGTTGACGATCACTGAATTTGTCATACGATGAACATTTGATGTATAAAAGAACAAGTATACTTGATATTCTAGAAAATTAACTATCAACTCCATTTACAACATTGATCTTCCCCGCTGACCCTTGGCCAAAAACGTCCGATATCTACGATTATTCAGAATGACCCTCAAATACCTCATTACAGGAGCGACTGGCGGGCTCGGCGCAGGAGTCCTATCCTACCTTGCTGCGAATGTCCCGGCATCAGAGTATGCTGCAGCGTCCTCGAGAGAGGAAAATCGCAAACAATTTGAAGATCGAGGGATCGCATTCCGAGTAGCGAGCTATGACAACCCAGAGACATTGGAGACCGCATTCGAAGACGTGGAGAACCTCTTCTTCGTAAGCACCAACACCTTCGACATCGAGAAGCGGCGCAAGCAACACGAAAACTTTGTAATTGCAGCGAAGAAGATGAACGTGAAACACGCAAGTCATCAAACTCCCCACAAGCCCAACCCAGCTAACATCAAAGCCGCAGGTATGGTATACATCTCTCGCATTCGGTGGATACACTGCCGACTCCAAGGCGGCTGTCCAACAAGGCCATCTGATGACAGAGGAGATGATGAAAGAGTAAGCCAAGCCCCGACCGTGACAATCCACCCAGCCACGCTAACGCCAGCCAGGGCTGATATCAATTTCACCTCCATCCGTGAGGGTTTGTACACAGACGCCTTCCCGGTTTTCATGGGCTGGTATCCAAACACATCGACTATCTACCTCCCCTCCGACGGGCCGATTGCTTTTACACTGCGGTCGGAGCTAAGCGAGGCGAATGCGCGATTGATGATTCAGGGTGGACACGATCGAGAGATCGTACTGCTCACTGCACAGCAGACTATCACATTCTCTGAGATCGTGGATCTGATCAACGAGACGACCGGCCGAGATGTCCAGTTCAAGCTTGTCTCGCCGGAGGAGTTTGTGCGGTTGAAAGCAGCTGATGACGAGGGCGGGAAGCCGGAAGGGTTCTTCCAGGCGCTGTTGTCGTGGTACGAGAGTATTTCAAAAGGCGAGACGTGCACGATTGATCCGCTCATGGTGGAGGTGCTAGGCCGTCAACCTGTGCCGCCGCGTGAGGCTATTCGGGCATTGTTGACGGAAAATCGGGACTATGAATGGCATCAGAACTATGTTAATCGTAGTTAGTTCGATAGTTAGCGGTCGACTGTAATGGTCGGATACATTGAAGTGGTAATGTGATAATGTGACAATGTGGCAGTTTCCAATGGATGACATGTGAGTCGACCGGAGTAGCCGTTATCCCGTCTCGGCAAGCAACCCGGGAGTGGCCTTATAGCCTGAGGCACCCGGTTTTGTGGGTTTTGACTGGGGAAATCACTGATCAATGGAGGCTTGGAGTAGATAAGATGGGACGATTGATATATTTTATCAATCACATCCCATTGAGATTTCCAATTGACCCGTATTCCCCGTATTCAAGACATATATATATGATCATGTCGGAGTGTAGTATCGGCAGTAGACAATTCCCTGAATCTCCTTGACGCCGTGTCCGCCCGAGGCTTGTAAACACCTTGGATGTGATTGGTTGAGAGCCGCTGATGTCAGCATCTACACACCCGACCCGTCAAACCCGAGGTTACTAGCGAAGACACTCCTTGGACTTCATTTCGTTGCTGAGGATCTTTGTTGGTTTGTGAAACTCGACTTCGTCGTCGCTACCTTCACATTTTTGAAAACTCTCCCCTCTTATTTTGTCTTCCTGCTATCAATCTTATTCTCTCCACACTCTCCATCCTCTCTTTCCTTTCCACCTCGGTGTTTTTCACATTTCCGATCACCCGCCATGGCCTCCCTCCGCACCACTTCGCGATTGCTCGCGGCATCGCGGCCAATGTTCCGCCCTGCCTTTGCTCGCACCTACGCGACTGTCGAGCCTACTCCCTCCGAGCAGCCCAAGATGAAGACTTTCAAGGTCTACCGCTGGAACCCGGACCAGCCCAGCGAGAAGCCCCAGATGCAGTCCTACGACCTCGACCTGAACAAGACCGGACCCATGATGCTCGATGCGCTCATCCGGATAAAGAACGAACTCGACCCTACCCTCACTTTCCGCAGATCTTGCCGTGAGGGTATTTGCGGTTCTTGCGCCATGAACATCGACGGTGTTAACACTCTCGCCTGCTTGTGTATGTACTCGGACCCGCACACGCGCAATCTCAAAGCATCCGACAGCTCCCGAATGAAAGCTAATTCTTTATCCGTATAGGCCGCATTCCCACCGATACCAAGTCCGAGTCTCGCATCTACCCTTTGCCTCACACCTACGTCGTCAAGGATCTTGTCCCTGATATGACCCACTTCTACAAGCAATACAAGTCCATCAAGCCATATCTCCAGCGCGACACTCCCACCGAAGACGTGAGTTCTCTTACATGACCAACACCGCCTACAAAAACTAACAATTGCCAGGGTCTCGAATTCCGTCAATCCCCCGAGGATCGCAAGAAGCTCGACGGTCTCTACGAATGTATTCTCTGCGCCTGCTGCTCAACCTCCTGCCCATCGTACTGGTGGAACAGTGAGGAGTACCTCGGACCCGCTATTCTGCTCCAGTCCTTCCGTTGGTTGGCCGATTCCCGTGACGAGAAGACCGCTGAGCGCAAGGCTGCTCTCGACAACAGCATGAGCGTCTACCGCTGCCACACCATTCTCAACTGCACACGGACTTGCCCCAAGGGTCTTAACCCAGGCCGCGCAATTGCCGAGATCAAGAAGATGTTGGCTGTCTAGATGTGTGGATATAAAACGGAGTACCGCGGAATTTTCTTTTTCTGTCCAATGCCTTTCCAGTCGCCTTTCCTCTGTTTCTCTATTTCCTATTTTCTTTTACTTTTTTCCCGACTACTTCACGCATGTTTCTATAGGTGTAAATTGTGGACCTTTGTTTCTTACAGGAATGCACTGGTAGTCCATTCGGCTGCATGATGATAGCGCAACCTATACCTTTGTATTGTATCTCTCAATCTAAATGTCTGATATTCCCATCTATATCCATTTATCCATATCTATCCATATCTATCCGCAATCTGTAACTACTCAACGACATATTTCCCTAACACATGCTAAGCGAATCCCAATACAACTATCCCTGTCTGGGCTAGGCTCATTCGGCTAAGACCACTAGCACGCTAAAAAAGGCCACCTGGACACTGCCTCCACAAATCGTACTAGGGTCTTGAGCGATACTCAACTGGGCTGTTAGCACAGTTGGTAGTGCGCCCGCTTCGCATTATTGCGAGCGTGCGGGAGGTCCTGGTTTCGATTACCAGATAGTCCACTTTGTCTTTCTTTTTTTGGTTCAATTCCCTATATTTTTCTTGGTTTTATTTGCTTTGTCCTCTTGTTGGGCTGCAGCTAAAACCAGGCTATGAAATCCAACACCGAACACCGGGATTCATTGGGTCGTTCCAGCGGCCGGCTCGCATGGAGGTGGGTATATCAGCCCAGTTATCGGTCGTGCAGCTGTACCTCGCCATCTACATATCACATCCTTTCAAACCAGGGGGCCCCCATTGTTCCCGGGTTGATGGAACAAGCAGGATTGTGTTCGACCCGACCCTAGCGTTAGATGCGTTTGCATCTGCACGGTGGGCGAATTGGGATAGTATTCGACGAATGATACTTACATATAGCACCCTAGCGGGGCCCTGGGGCGTCATAATGTCCAAATATGGTTGCATTGTCTAAATAAACGTGTTGAATCAGGAAAGAGATGATTTGTACACTAACTTCATATTATGCACTATCTATGCACTACGAACCTCGTGGGGTCGGCTCTATTTTCTTTTTTTCCTGTTTTACATTCTGAACCCTTGTCCTGGCCCCTCCTATATAAAACATGGCCGCCCACCGCTACTCCTCCTCGCTGTCAGTAGGCAGGTTCGTCTATAATGGATTCTCTAGCACTATACGTGTCTGTACTGGCGTTGCCGTTGGGATTACTGGTCTTGCGCACTGTGTACCATTTGTACTTCCACCCGTTGTCCAGCTTCCCCGGCCCAAAACTCGCTGCTGCGACCTTTCTCTACGAGTTCTATTACGATGTGGTCAAGAGCGGCATGTACATCTGGGAGATTGAACGCATGCACGAGAAATATGGTAAGTTATATAGATCCGAGATCAACATCAACTATCCAGGCCAGCAAAAACATACAGAAATGTAAAAGTCACTAATAGACTAGGCCCAATCGTGCGCATCAATCCACGAGAAATCCACATCAAAGACTCAAACTACTACGACGAAATCCACGCCGGCGCCTCGCGCAAGCGCTCCAAAGACCCAAAATATGCCATCGCCTTCGGCGCGCCAAACTCCCTCGTAGGAACAATAACTCACGACCATCACCGCTTCCGTCGCGGCCTGTTGAGTAACTACTTCTCCAAGCGCTCGGTCGTAGACCTTGGCCCGTCCATCCACGACAAAGTCGACAAGCTAATCGCGCGCTTCGAGCAAGCCCACCAAACCAATGACGTGCTGCACCTCCAACTAGACTTCGCCGCGCTGACTGCAGATGTCATTACAGACTACTGCTACGGCTGGAGCTACGGATATTTAGACGGCGAGAAGGGGTCGCGGAGCAATGACCTCGTCGACGCGGTTAATGGGCTGATGGTTATGTTTCACATTAACCGGTTCTTCCCGTTCCTTATTTCCGTTTTTAGGAATGCGCCGCCTAACCTACTACGCTGGCTGCAGCCGCAGATGGCGGATTTGTTTGATTTGAAGGCTAGGCTTAGACAGCAGGCAGATGATACTTTGCAGAAGCAGAGTCTGCAGAAGGTTGATTCTGAAACGAGGTTGACTATATTTGATGCGTTGACGAGTTTGGACTTGCCTGAGAATGAGAGGACGCTTGATCGCCTAGAGGATGAATCTGCGCTGTTGCTTGGTGCTGGTACGGAGACGACGGCTAGGTCTATTACTGTTGCGATGTTTTATCTCATCCGCAACAAAGAGGTTATGGCGAAACTTCGTGCGGAGTTGAAGACTGTGTTGCCGACACCGTTGTCCAAGGCTTCGTGGGTAGATTTGGAGAAATTGCCATACTTGGTGGGTTATTGTTTCTAGGTCCTTTCTTACTTATATTGTGGATTACTGATTTTGTCCTCCATTGAATTAGACGGGTGTTGTCAATGAAGGTCTGCGTCTCAGCCATGGCATGACAGCCCGACTGGCTCGTGTTTCACCGACCGAACCCATGCTCTACAAAGACTGGGTTATCCCTGCGGGGGTAAGTAAATTATTATGGCTTACTGGGTGTAACATTCTGGTTGGGTCCCTCCCTTTCCTGGAGAAAGTTGCTGATACTTGTTGCATTCCAGACTCCCGTCAGTCAGTCAAACTACTTCGTCCACATGGATCCCACACTCTTCCCCGAGCCAGAGAAATTCGACCCGGAGCGTTGGATCCGCGCTGCAGATAAGGGAGAGTATCTGAGTCGGTATATTGTCTCGTTTACCAAGGGAAGCAGACAATGCCTGGGAATGAAGTGAGTTGTACTTATGCATCACACAGGATTTCATATACTGACTTCATCTAGCCTTGCCTATGCGGAGATCTACTTATCTCTGGCACATATCGCTCGTCGCGTCAACTTTGCGCTGTACGAGACTACTACCGATAACATCTGTGTTTATCGAGATGTGGGTATTGGGTGTCCAAAGGTTGGTTTGTTTGGCGTTAAGGCTACGGTGGAGGGTCTTGTGGAGGAGTAGGTTGTGTAAGTTTTATCTGTGAGGATGATGAGTGTGATGATGTATGAGAGTGGAGCTTGTACTTTTGTCTATTTCAAGGCTCTTTTGCGGTGCCGTTTGGCGTGCGTATTGCATATGCAGGTAACCATGTTGTGGGGTATGTTTCACTTGATATGTACTCGAGGTACTACATGGCTAGATGATGACGGATATTTCATTCTGGTATTTATTGGATTCTTCAATTGAGATCTAGCCCATACACTTCTGATGATATTTATTGTGTGTGTCGAGCTGATGCTGTTTGCGTTGGTAATGATTTCGGCATCTCTTGTATATCTAAAGACGGAGCAGACAGAAATCAAATACGACTATATCAGATGCCAAAGAAAGTCATATATGTATAACCAAATAAATCTTAACAAAAATCACAATAAGGACATTCGGCACATAAATACATAACCAAAAGAGTGACGAAATTGACGAATTTCAACTAGACCTCGGTCCCGGAGGACACATCCACATGTCGAGCCGCTGTCTCATCAGGAATATGGGTTCAAGACGATCTCAGTAGTAGTCGTGGAGTCACTACAGCACTGTCTAAAGTCTCCCGTGCGATCCGTAAGACAGTTATCGGCGGTGAAGTCCAGATCAGACCAAGCGCTAGGCCAGCTTGTATAGAGCATGCAACCAGGAACCACAGTGACGTTATGGGTATCATCACCGTCAAACATGGCGTATATGAAAACGCTGCTGATGTGAGCACCATTATCATTGTGCCACTCATTATCAATATCATCCGGGACGTCTAGATCTGGGTTAGCTTAACTCCTCGATAAAAGATGACAAACCAATGCGACTTCTTACTGGAGGTTGGGTCCCAGTTCTCGCAATGCTTGGACTCGTTGACCAGAATACAGCCCTGCTTGACATGCTATATATCATCTAGATTAGTCGTGGACAGGAATGATAGAAGGCCCTTTTGGAAAATTTACAATATCGGTACCCTTACCGCTACCAGGGTATTCAGTGAGACAGGTGCTCTCTGGTAGATTCTCATCGAATTGATGCCCTAACCGGGCCTGCCACTCACTTGGTGAGTAACTTAGGTATCCGGTGCACTGCGGGGCCTCCTGGGTATCTCCAGTAGGTGAAGGCGAAGGCGAAGGCGAAGAAGATGCCACGGGAGAAGCAACCGAGGTAGCGCGAGCCGTGAGTGAGCTACTCTCACGGCCTGCAACAGCGAGGCCGTTCACAGAGATGGCAAGATGAGCCAAAGCGATAAATTTAAGTTCGAGGAATCGCATCTTGAAGTGAAGATTAAATCAGAGGGCGAATGTAGATGATTCAGAAGAAATGAATGATAAATAATTGAATTGGCATGCTAAGGGTGTCCTTTACATCTGATTTCTATCTCAATATTGATATCTCTAAGCTAGTTGGATCTGATAGCACTGCCTAGAATGGGTGGAAGGGAAACAAGACGTACAACATAATACCACTAACTAGAACGGGTGAAAGATAAACCAGTGCAGAGCACCACTGACCAGAACGGGTAAAAAGTGAACTGGAGGTTTTACCTACCTTGGAAAAGATCAGTTGCACCTCCTTAATTCAGAAGAACCATGGGAGATCTGATTCTTCTAAATCACAAGATTAGAATGATTTACAGAAACGGAAATCGTTTGGGGTATTCCAGGTTCCCCTGGAAAGTTGCATCGAGGGACTAGTCCTAATTGGGAAGGCTTGGCGTCGTGGTCTATACATTACATAAGCGTGATTATCCGCCCGCACCTGTGGGGCCATACAAAAATTGAGAATTGGAAGAACGAGGTGCAAATTAATGAGGTGTGATTGTACTAGAGACCGTTACTGCACGGTTTATTCATAGTAAGCTTATATCGTTATATTATGTTGTATATTAAACCGTTTGTTCAAACTTTATCTTTATTTCTACCGCTTTTTGAGTTATTTTCAATATTCATGTTCAAATAAAAACGCATTATATATATTACCGAGTTCTTAAAAATATGTTGTATACTATAGTTATCGAACAGTTGACTTCTATCCCTCCTCTATTATATGTAGGTCTTCTTATGCAGACACAGAAATATTCCTTATATGATGTACACCGCAGTGCTATGTTTTAGCTAGGCACGATGAAGAGCCCGGTGGTCGAACCGATTCCAGGAAATACAGAATTCATTATATTCACCCATTATCGATATTAATTATAGCCTATCATATAGAACATATTAAAGAATATTATTTATTAACTAGTAATGCTTACAGCGGTATATATACGAAGTACGTACTTCATCCAACATTGGAATGCTGCTACTGTGGTGTTTTTTAAAATTGACTCCAGATGACCTATTGCTATAAATTCTCACCCCGCAAGCGAACATTTAATAAATTGAAGAGGAGATTCAAGATGTACTAAAACTAGGCTCTACCCATATGAAGCAAGCTATCAAGTTAGGGATAGGAGCGGAATCATGCTCGATGTAACCCAGCCTACAACATATCACAACACTGTATGCACGACCAATCTAAAGACACAAATCAGTTCTAACGCGATCCTGCGAATATGTGACTACAATGCTGAAAGAAGAAAAGTACATGTAAGCAGTCTTAATGCAAAGTAAGCTCGTATATATCATCGACTGATTGGCTGGCGCTGCAAGGGGTAGTTAAGATTGCTAGGGGATACCTCCTGCGTGCCGGAATATCCCCTACACATTCATCTCCCTTTGAAGGAAGTTTCAATAAGGTCTGATCACTTTGTGTGTTGGGACAGATGCCTCCCCAAAGGGCTTTGTTATACTTATTATCGTAGTACTATTATCCAACGTAATTTGCTCTTTCTGGGGACCATCAGCCTAAGACAAACTTAATTAGCAGTCTGGTTGGGAGAAACAGTAACATTTAGTGCGCTAGATTTTAAAACCTACATATTTTTTTTGACTCACATCCACGAGGGAACCGAAAGGGCTTCATGTGCGCCACCATGTCACATAACCTCCGATATAATCCAGCCGTTAAGCTTGCACGCTTTGGCTACTCCGCACATAAAATGTTGATCTTGGGGTTTGATATCTAGAATATGACAAGCTTTTCTCTTTCCTGGGCAGGTCCCTAGGCGATCATTCCACGGGAAGCCAGCATACGCGGCATATGGAACCCTTTACAACCCTCCGATAGGCATAGGCTCCCTGCTATGTGGACGTCATCCCAGCGATGTTGATCTTTATCAATAAGAGCGCGAGGCATGGGAGATGGACAGCAATCATAACAGTCCCTCCAGAGCCTTATATTGCCTACATAAAGACCATTATAACCCTTCCTTCGATCATTAGCCGTTCCTTCATTTGCTTCTCTGACCATCTATACTCTCATTTATTCTCAAGACTAAGGTCACTTTGCCAATCAATAACAATGCACTTCTCATACATCTCTCTGGCGTTCTTCGCCATCGGCGCCATCGCCGCCCCTGCCGCTCCCTCTGGTCCCGCCGCTTCCAAGCCCAGCAAGGACTTCGGAGACGTTGCTGGCGGCTTCCCTTTCAATCCAACAGGCTCTTCCAGCATTGAAGACAACAATGATGGATTCGACGACTTCCCTTCCGCCCTCGACGCAATGCACCAGGCCTTGGCTGAGAAGCAGAAGTCCGCTGAGGCCGCTGCGCACGCATCCACCACCCACCCCGTGCTAGCCAAACCCACTTCCGTCCATGGAGCCGCAAACTTCCCGGATCCTGCCATCTCCCAGGCCTCGAATCTCCCTCACCCCTCCCCTACCAGCTCGCGGAAGGCTGCCCCTACCGCCTTCCCCACTCCTTCCCACGGCGCTATTCCCACTCCAGCTAAGGGCAGCTCTGCTTCTCCTAGCGCAATTCCAACTCCCACCAAGGGCAGCTCTGCTTCTCCTAGTGAAATTCCAACTCCTGCCGCATCCGCTGCTCCTGGCCCCCTTGGTGGCCTTGTTGAGAACCTCCCGGTTTTCGGAGGTCTTGTTGGCGGTCCCCTGGCTGGCCTCGGTCTCCGTCGTTAAGAATATTATTTGTTCGCCAGGATCTCAGTGCGGTGTGGAGTATCAACTTATGTATTGAATGTTAATGTTGATAACTTCCGCTTCCGCTCTTTTTGTACTTCTGTACCTCTGGCAATCGATTGGGGCGCTTTTTACTTTTCTCTCTGAAATGTTTCATTTATCCAATCGCTTTAATTTATATGATCCGTTTTGGCTCTTCATATATTCTTGAATCTATAAGATCATCACACAGAATTTGTCTCAACAAATAAAATATAAAACCCCCTCCAATCTCGTCTCCTAACTCGACGGGTATCTCCCACCAGACCCCAACCGATCAATGCATCCCTCAACAGCCTTCTGCATAGCATTGGTCGCCTCCTCCAACAAAGTCGTCAAAGGCACCTTCCCAGCCATCTCCGCCTGAACCCTCACATACTCATTATTCAACACCTTATTAATATTCACCTTGCTAACCCCACAATCAATGCACTTCTTAAAGATCTCCTCCGTAAACGGGTCCGCCCCATGAAGCACAAGCCTCACCTCCCGACCAACAGCCTCATTGATTGACTTCAACCTCTCATACTCCAACTGAATCCCTCTGGGCCCATACTCCCCATGAACATTCCCGAACGCAGGCGCAAGCCAATCAATCCCGGTATCAACAAACTCCCGACTCTCCTCCGGCGTCGTAAGCAACCCCTCAAGATCAGCCGTATCAGCAACACCATCCTCACCACCCTCAATCCGACCAGGCTCCGCCTCCGTCGCGATCCCCCGCGCATGGCAGTACTCTACCAGCTCGCGCGTCAGAGAAAGATTCTCCGCCTTCTCGTAGTGGGACATATCGACCATGATGCTGTCGAATCCGCCCAGGTCAGCCGCGTACCGGATTATCTCTGGTGTTTGCGCGTGGTCCATGTGCACGGTTACGGGCACGCTGGCTTTGCGCGCGGCTTCCGCGGCGGCGTGGACGAGGAGGCCGTCGGCGTAGTGGATGGCCCATGGGAAGAGGAGGATCATTGCTGCGGAGCGTTTGGCTTCGGCGGCGCGGACGGTGGCTAGGATGCCCTCCACATTGTAGCAGCACATTGCGGGGATGCCATAGTGGTTTGCGGAGGCGTGGTCTAGGATGCGCAGGGCGCGGTTTTCTTGGAGGGTCATTTTTGGTTTGGGTGTGTGTGAGCGGGAGGATGAGGAGATGGTTTCGTGGGAAATGAGGGGTTTGTAGTTTTGAGATTTACTGTAGACCGGAGTCCGTGGTGTTATATAGTCTCGTTGTGTTGTCCGATTTGGTCGCTTCACATCCGAGTGTCGGAGTTGCTCCGGAAGCTACGTCATTTTGAGATATTCGCCAGGGCCAGCGGAATTTACTTTGATATTAGCCCTGAAAAGATAATGGGGGTGCTTTCAGTTTCCAACAGGTTAGATAACGCTATATGTTCAAAATAAATGAGTTAATTGCTGGTACTAATATTGAGATAAAGCAGTAACGGGCTCTTATGCGCCTATACACCCACTAATATGGAACTTAGATAGAAGGTCTCGGGGTTTATTATTAGGTTTCATCGTAAATGTTAAGCCTAAATATCACTGATCCGTCAAATCAAATCGAAGGACTCTTGATTAGCTATTCAAAATAGGACAAAAGTGACATTTAGCCTGTGATGTCGGCCAACTTCCGAGCTTCCACCAAGTACTACTTCCAACAAGCACCACAAGAACCACCAGACTCATATCTACTAACCGGCAATCAAGAAACAATCAAATTCCAAAATCGGACCCTGGCAAAGCCACCACTTTCGGCAAAAGCCAAGGTAAACCCCTCGGACTTCCACCGAACCATCCCGCGTTCCCCCAGCATCTTCCCCTCATAAAACCCCCACGCAGCTCGAGCCAGTTTATTTTATTTTATACATTAACCATTGACATTTCCCCAGGAAATAACCTCCAGTGGCTATTCTATTCAATTCTATACATTAATTCCTCATTTCAACAACCAACAACAATGTCCAAACCCTCAATCGGCTTCGTTGGCCTAGGCGCCATGGGCTTCGGAATGGCCACACATCTCGTGAAAGAAGGCTACCCAGTACACGGCTTCGACGTATTCCCAGCCTCAGTAGAACGTTTCAAGGCCGCAGGCGGAATCCCAGCATCATCACTACAGGACTCAGCCAAGGAAAAGGATTTCTATGTTTGCATGGTAGCTTCGGCGCCGCAGGTGCAGAGTGTTCTTTTCGGCGATGATGGTATAGTCGCAGGTAAACACCACCCCCACTCCAACCCCCTCAAACCAGAAATACAAAATCTACAAAAAAAAAAAAAAAGAAAAGAAAAGAAAAATAAATTTGAAATAAGAAATTAACTCACAAAATCCATTAGCCCTCCCCAAAAACGCAACCCTCCTCCTCTGCTCCACCGTCCCAGCATCCTACGCCCAATCCGTCGCTGCAGAGCTCGCCTCCCTCGGCAGAAGCGACATATCCTTCATCGACGCACCCGTATCCGGTGGCGCACTGCGCGCCGCAGCCGGTACATTGTCAATCATGGCCGGTGCACCAGATGCCGCGCTAGAGAAAGGCCGGTTCCTGCTACAAGAGATGTCAGATGCTAATAAGCTGTACCTTGTCCCCGGCGGGATTGGCGCAGGTAGTAATATGAAGATGGTGCACCAGGTTCTGGCGGGTATCCATATTCTAGGTGCTAGTGAGGCGCAGGGCTTCGCGGCGCGACTTGGGTTAGATGCTGTGAAAACAGCCGAGGCGATTAAGTCTAGTCCGGCTTGGACTTGGATGCATGAGAATCGGTTGCAGAGGATGCTGGAGGAGGATTGGCATCCTGGTGCTAGTGCTTTGACTATTATTCTTAAGGATGTGGTAAGGATATTCTCGATCTTTGTTTATTTTTGGAGTGGGTTTGGGTTTAAGGGGCGAAATTTGCTAATTGAGTTTCCGATTAGGGGATTATCACGACCTCTGCCCGACAAAGTCAATTCCCGACTCCGCTGTGCTCCACTGCTGAGCAGGTTTATTTGTCGGCTTTGTTGCAGGGTTATGGGCCTGTTGATGACTCGTCTATGGTGAGGCAATACTTTGCTGAGCCGATTACCAAGGTCTCGTCTACTAAATCTGAGGAGGAGACTGTGGAGGCGTTGCAGTTGGTATTGGATCTGATGGAGGTGACTAACCTTGTTGCGGCTGCGGAGGCTATTTCATTTGCGCGATATCTCAATGTCGATTTGAAGCAGTTTTATACTCTTGTTGCTGATGCTGCTGGTGCTAGTCGGCAGTTTATGACGAAGGGGTTGGAGATTATTGAGGGTCTTGGACAGGATGTGAACGGGAAGACTGTTGATGGTGCTACTTCTCGTCTAGAGAAGGCTGTGCAGAAGGCACGCGATATTCACTGTCCTTTGAATCTTGGCAATGCTGCTTTGAGTGTGTTGTTCATGGCGAAGAAGTCTGGGTTAGGGGCTGAGGGGAGTGCCAGTGTGGTGAAGGCTTTTGAACATTAGTACAATTGCTGATGGTGATGAGATATGAAAGTTTATATTCCAAATATCAATTTTATGCACAGTGAAAACCCTATTTTCAAGCGTCATTTAATTGCTTTTTTTCCTGATGTAAGCCCAGCCAGCTATAGTTTGATGACATGCTACTTCGATGTGTTGATCTTACTGGGTAGAAGGACTGCTACTTCCAGCCACGTCTTTTTGAGTCTGATAAAAGAATGTGTTTGATAATATTATCAATAATAAATACATTGTGTGTGGGTATCCAGAATATTATATCCAACCATGAGAACCAATTAGTATGTACGGCTCAGGAGACCCCCCAAAAGTGTAGGGATATCCAAAAGCCAGAGAAGAGAAAAAAAAAAAAGAAAGACATGAAGTATACCAAAAGTCCAAAAATCCCGACCCAAATCTTAAAACGACTTAAACTCATTTCGCATGCCGCACACAGTTATACATCTAAACCTCGATCTTGAGAGTCTCGATCGAACCAAGCGAAGTCCTCCGATCCTTAATAAACTTGGGCCAAGTGTTCGTAAGCACAAGGTACTTAATACTAGCTTCAGCAGCATCAAAGATCGAAGCATCGAAGTCCACAGGAATATCACCCCAGTACTGAACGCGGTCCTTAATAGACCCCGCCATCTCACCGGCCATAGTCTTTCCAGAGTCGACAGAAGCCGGGGACGGGAGATCAAAAGTGAATTTATCAAAGGGACTAGTAGGATCGCAGTCGCGTTCCTCGCCGTACAAAAGACGTGTAGGTTTCTCAAAAACGTCTTCGAGCTTCCGCAGCTCCTGGTGCGAGATGTTGACGGGGAACTCGGCATGACGGACGCTGATAAACTCAGCATAGATGTGCAGCGCGCGGTTGAAGCCTTCGCGGACGATGTCACGCTTGTTCTTTTCTTGCAGTGCACTGCCGTCCTTGATGCATTGTGGTAGTCGGCTGCGCCATTCAGCGACGCTCGTGAGGAAGACGATATTCTCGCCGGAGAATTCGCGTAGAGCGGAGAATTCTTGGAGTGGGGCTGGGTTGCGTTCGAGGACGTGTTCGAGGGCACCCATTGTGAGGATGCTGTCGCGCGAGTTGAATGTGCTTGTCGAGCTGTTCGATTTCCAGCCTGACATGATTGATGCGACCATTGTCATGTCGGAGTGGAGGGATTTTTCTTCGGAGTTGCTAGATTTGACTTTGAGTTCCCAGCGTGCGATCGACTCGAGGGTTTCTTGTCGCAGGGATTGATGGCGCATGACTTCCCAGCAGGGGAGGAAGACTGTGAAGATTTCGATGAACATGATGGATAGACAGATCCTATAGAATAATCCCGTTAGAGAGTTGGGTCTTTATGGTTATGTTAGTTTAGAACTTACCATTGAGGAGGAACGAAGACCTTGTTGACTGGGGCCATGGCGGGGACGTAGAGGCCGATGAGCCACATCGGGGTAGCGTGAAGGTTAGAAATAGCACAGCCAATGGTCTGGACTCGCCAGCCGTGAGTATCGTGGATGTTGCGGGATTTCCAGAGGACAACGGGGGCAACGATCCAAGACCAGAAGAACTGCGAGACCACACCAGGCCACCATTCCCATCCTGCGCCTTGTGCCGCGAGCACCTCTGCGGGGGTACCATGGACTCCGGTACCGGGAATACCCCATGAGCTGTGGTACTTGCGAGAGATTACCCACATGAGGATAGTGAGGAACACCTGCATGAGAAGGCGAGTTAGATAAGAGTTGTCATATATATGAGCAAGTAGAGTGATCATACCTGAACAAACATTGCGATAGCGACGTAAATAAGAATCTTGGTAGTATATCCGAGAGCACGGAAACGGTTGATCAACCCATCCTTGTTTTCCAAGGCAGGCGATTCAGTAAAACGGTGTCCATCCAGAGCATATTTCCTCTGGAGTTTAGCGACATGTTGGAAACGAGTGTTAGAGCCATGGAAAAGCGCCATGCCACAGGGTAACAGAGTCCCCATAAGCCAATAAGCGCAATCACCTGGCAGAATGGTACCGATCATAGTAGCGAACTGGGTCGGGATCCAGTATAAATGAAGGACAGCGATAGAGGTTAATGATAGAGCAAGGCCTCGAATGCGAAGTGTCGGCATATCACGGTTAGCGATCAGATAGGCCATACCGGCCACGAGGGCAGACGTCCACACGCATGCCCAAACAGCCCACCAGATGGTGACGGGGCCGAGATCAATTTGGGCCTTGGACTCAGCCGTGGCACCGTATTCGGACCCCATATCGAAAAAAATGCAAGTGCTTAAGGAATGTGAGTGAAGTTGGGTAGCGCTTAGTGTCCAGAATGCCGGGTCTTCATGTCCTTATGTACAACATCGTGCATCGGCGCAACTGGAGCCACGGGGTAAGGACTTGCACGAGGAAGTGGGCCCCTAACCAGGTTTTTTCAGCGTCGCGTTGTCGATCATTATGGCTGGGATACCCATTTCACTCCATAGTTCTGCTGGACAACATTACGTTGTGGAGTCTTTGAGTCGAGTGAGGTCAATAACTGCTCAGTTATGGTCTTAGTTAAGTTTGGTTACTCCATCGCTGCGGTGGCCCGTCTCGGTCCCGTCCACGAATGGAGAATATCCACTCTTGCTATTTGTCAATTGAGGACAAGTTATGATTGGTTGGATAAGATGAATAAGATGAAATTCGAGATCAAGATCTCTTGGCACCGAAGTCTCCCCTTTTTTTATTGAACCCGCCCTGGACACTATTGATTTTCTCAAAAACCGTGTGCCGTGAAGGAAGTCGATCGTAGCCCTAAGAGGCAGGCCTCTACATTATGACTATGACGTTTTAATGGTGTACTTACAGTATAATAATAACTATAATAATAACTACTCCATTCATAACCATCTCTTCGCCCTGTTATCGTTAATTCCCGCAAAGTTCTAACGTTTCAGACGCAACGTTCCTATGTCCAATTAAAGACATCTTCTACTATTGGTGGAATCCTTAGTTCAGGATCACATGGTATGCAAGATAATAGCCTAGTGGAGTTGGATTTGGTTAAAAAAAACCAGTCGGGATGTAGCAGCATCCAAATTTAGACTAGCATATAAAACCCCAACAGACTATCGTTTTATAAAATCAATCGCGATCAAATTTGAGATTCTATTCTCGCTCTCGTTCTAAGACAACACAAAAACGGGGACAGGGGGAAAAGGATCTATCTTATGCCTCATTATTCCGTATACAAAAGAAAAATGGGATTGAAAGGAAAGGAAAGGAGCACGAAGAAAATATCTTCCCAAAAAGGAAATTTTGTATCGCACATCACTGAATACGTGAAGGCTCCAAAAGCCCCAAAGCCTTCGCCTCCTCCTCGGACTCCGCCCGTAAATTCCCAGAATACTTAATATCAAATCCAGGAACAAGCAGAACATCCTCGAGGCCCCTATTCACAACCTCTTCTTCAGAACCCGCACACATATAACCGTAATACGTGTATTGCCCCGCCTCAGTGATCGACACATCGGCAACCTCGGCCTTCACACAACAATCCTCATCATGTTCAGGCTCCTTCAATCCCATCTGAAAAGCATCTAACTCAGAATATGCCTCAAGATACCCATAATAAGTCCCACCGTAGTAATCACCACATTCCCCAGGAACCGGTTCCGCATCACACAGTCCCATACGTCCAACCTGTTCCAGGGAAACTGCACACATGAACCCAGTGTATCGATGACGCACACGTTCCGGCATTGTAAAAAGCCCCTCCTTGCAACACCCCCCATGGATGGCTGATATCAGTCAGTCCCATTGCCCGGGCGTGGTGCAGATCATCCGCCCGCAACAGCCCGTAGAATTTCCCGTTTTCACCGGGGATCCGTCGGATATCCTCCAGCCAACGTTTTTCAGCATCGACCTCCGACGGTGCTTGCATTGCCCCGTAGTAGAGGTGGAAGTCAGCCTGTCGCTCCGCGCAGCAGCCTCGCACATGAATTGGGTCTAGTAGGCCCTGTTGATTCGCGTCGTCTTCGGACAGGGCGAGCATGAATCCTTCACACTCACCGGGGTAATTACCATAAGGTCGGACTTCACACAGTCCTCGTTGATAGGCCTGTTCTTCGCTGGCAAACATACTGCCCATGTACAGGTGCTTCTGGGGCTGAGGGTCTGGGACTGGGATTGGCAAGGCATGTTCGGTCTTGGGGGATATGCAGGTCCGAGGGGAGATGGGGATGCTGGCGTCAGCGGGGGTTGCAGTAGTAAAACCTTTTGTTTGCCATATTTGGTCGAGGCACTCTGTGTCCCACATATGAGGGTCCTCTTCGATGCCCAGCTCGGCGTTCCCGCTCGCGCCGGTCGTCTTGGTCTTTTTTTAGAAGTGCGGTATCGAGGAGCTTGGAGATGGCTTCCTGTCGGGCCTCTTTTTCGTTGGTTTCTTCAATGCGCTTCAGAACGGTCGCTTCAATACGTTGCTGCACAAGGTCAATGTCAAGAGCGGACTCGTCACATGAGTGATGGTCAGCTTCAGGGTTATCAACTGGGTCTTCAGGAGGCGTGTCCTTCACAGCAAGATGAGGGTCAACTATGTCAGCAAGGTAAATGTTCACGTCCACGTCGGAGGTCTTAGCGTTGTGCTGTTCATGATCAGTGTCCACCTCCCGCTGTCGCTGTCGCTTCTCAAGATATTCGTCGATTCTCAGTTTAAGTATATTATATCTTATCAAAGAGGATCCACAGAGCGACGAGCCAGAGCTGTCTGTGTCACAGATGCTTGTATTGGTCGGGGATGCACATACAGCATTCTCGATTCCCGGAGATTCAGTCTCAACATTGTCCTTTTCATGTCTGCTAAAAATTGTAGACAAAATAGAATCAAGATCTCCAGCCACAACCGTCGTACTGGGGTTAGTAGGAGCAAACTTAAAAGCCGTTCTAGACGAGTTATCAGAACGCGCCAGGCTTCCACAATCCTCCTCCAATTCGCCGACAACAGCACGCAAGCAGATCTGACCATTGTCGCTGTGGCCAGCACTGTCCACGTTCCCATTGACTGAATCACCAACGGCAGCACCAAAGAAGACCTGACCAATGTCGCTGTGATCGGTACTGCTTGTGTCCCTTTCGCCATGAGCAGGGTTACTCACCATGCGCGCGTTAACCTGGATAAATTGGCTATCATCCATGGCATCAACTAACTGGTAAGAGTTGGAGGATTGGATCTGGTCGTCTCTATGAGAGGAGAGGTTCTCCGCCCACTCTCTCTCGCACTGTACGCACATGCTGGGCTGGGCGGAGAAGAGGAGGTCGTGGGAGAGTGTGATCTGGGTGCAGGGTGTGATGCACTCTGGACTGGCCAGGCGGAGCTTGTTGGTATATTCTTGGCAGCTGGTCATACTCCAGTTGGAGATGTGTCCGCAGCTGGGATAGTGGTGGTAGGTGTGTTTGCACATATTTAAGCAATGGGTGAATGGAATAGATGCGTTGGAAGTAGAGAATATATGAGATGGGATGAGATAAGATGAGAGGAGTGCTCTGCTGCCACATTAGATGTGCGCGAGCATCGCAGCTTATATAGAACTTGGTCTGGGGGCGAGAGATCCCCCGATGAGCGAGTACAAAGCCGAGTCGATGGACAAAGGGTTGTGATATAACAAAGATAGGGTTAAAGGCATTGTTTCGGTGTCATGGTGAAACTCTTTGTTCATCATGTCTGAATAATTGTTTGTAAAACAAATCGCCAAGGATCTTTGGCCATTTAGTCGTTTTGTTCCAACCATCCTCAAAGACTCATCCTCATTGTATCCAAGCCACCTGACAATACCCATTGTATCCAACTCCGATGACGCACACTACAGGACATAGCTATGTTGACCTAGTGCTAGAATGGTTTTCTATAGGTCAAGTCACCCTGATCCAATCGAAATTAAGAACAGAAGGTGTAGAATTAAGGAAATTCACCCCAATATCCGTTCTTTTTTTTTGATATGTCATGCCTTCCTGCCTCAGGCGGATGTGAGCTCTGCTCACCATTATTCTTCCTCCCTTCCCACCCCCTCTCCATCACATACTTGCCTTGTTTCTGTTTTTCATATCTTTATGAGCCCCCATCACTCCATCTTTCCACCATCACAACCATGTCTTTCGAACCTACAGCATCACCGACCATATATCTACTACCATGTGGACTATGAATCATGATTAGGGTCAGCTTCTGGGATAAAACTTCCTTCCAGTACCCTTCACCCATGGCTAAAAGCGACTCTTGGAGAAGGTGACTCAACTATGTCAACTGTCAACCAAAGTGGCCTCAATATAATTATCCGGACGAGAATTTGGGGACGTTCTATAGAAATTGTGGGAGCCACACTATACTCCCATTGGGCTCCCTTGCCGTTGGGTTGCCAGACCCTGTGATCCACCCCAACGACAATATGCCGCATAAACCAAGCTGCAGGCGCCGGCAAACGAAAGAGAAACGACAAAAGCGACTGGAAGGGTGCCATGATTTACAACTATGATGTGTATCTGTGAGATTTACCTCACCGGTATATCATTTCTTCGCTTGTATGATTATTAAGCGGCGGTTTGGCCGAGTGGTCTAAGGCGATTGAGTACGTTTCTCTTAACAAAATTAAACCCAACAAAACATCCACTAACCATCTTCACAGCTAGAAATCAATTCCGTTCGCGGGCGCATGTTCGAATCATGCAGCCGTCGTGCTATATCTTTTTTATTTTTATTTTTATTTTTATTTTTATTTTTTTTCTGTTCTGTAAGAGAAATATCTCGTTTTGACCAAGTACTGTGGTATTTATGTCGAGTACCATGCATTTATGCATCATGCAAATTACGAAGTCTTTATAAACCGGAAAATCAATAGACCGTTATGATAACGGTACCATATAAAAGTATAACTATATATTGCTTAATCAGCCATATCCGTATAGATTGGGAAAAAGAGCGGAATTTGTCAATTTAATTAGGTAGAGATTTATACATATGTCATTTTTACCATACATTGTCGTCCCTGTCTATTTCTGTCACGCAGGCAACTAACCCCAAACAGTCAACAACCAACCTTACAACACTAGACCCCCATGCGAGTGAAATGCTTAAGGATTATTTGTAAGGGTTCTCCCTTCTGCCTTGTAATGCCATATAAGCTGAGACTCAGCGAGCGCGCTGGGAGGCCATGGTGGGTGGGATATCGGCAGTGGGACGCACGCGAGATGCGAGAAACATATTAACTAGTTCTGTACTGCAAATGTAGTAACATCTCAACAATACCTAGAGAAGCCCTGGAGGTCCCATTAATGGTGTACTCTGATCATTCCATTCATCGAGCGACCATAGCCAGTTGAATGACGAAAACAGATGGTCTGTATTTCCAGGCTCCACGAGTTCTGTCCACTGTTCTTCATCTTGAGGCAAACCATAATCTGCCATGTCTACGCCCGGTGTAAGATCGTCCATGCCGGGGATTTCAGATGCATGTGGTCTGTTTTCGGGAAGCTGCTGTTGGCGGTTCCTGACGCCCAAATTGGCAGGCTGGGCTGATGCGCCCCTCGGAGAGCTGGAGTTTTCTCGGCTCCGAGAGTCATCGAGTAACATTTCATCATGAGGAACGCTGGTCGCGTTGAATTTCCCAGCGAGTTTGCTTAATCGTTCTAATTTCGCTCCTCGGTGGTCGCGAAAATCGAATTCGGCGGCGTCCTGACCAATTAAGGGATGTTTGCTGCATCGTATATTGTTTATTAGCTACGTCCAGCTGTTATGCAGTACTCTATCAGCACAAACCTGTGGATGAATTCCAGGTCGCTCGGGTCGAGGAGATGCATGCAGTCACACTTTATGAGCCGATGGATTGCTTCAAGATACTATAAAGTTGTTAAAGTGAGACTTGACAGTCAAGACCATCACACTTACTAGATGTTTAACAGTTGTTGAACGGATCGAAATGTCTCGTATGACTGTTAAGCAATGAATAATGCCTGCTGTCAGCGTGGGGGTGTTGAAGTCGTTCGAATAATCGACACTGGCCAACCGACGAGGCTCAAAAAGGAGAACTGTAGAATTATAGTAAGTAGATATCCTTATCGTTGTTTGCCCATACGGTGACTTTACTTTCAAGAGCAACGTAGGCCTGTACGCCAATATGTGGATCGAATATGAGCCTCTCGTTGAGTCCTGCAGAGATCAAGTTTGAAACGGAGAGAGCCCGAGAAATTCTACTACAGCGGACTTCGTTTATTAGATCGGTCTTGGTAGGATCTCGTAGGTAGATAGTTAGTGCTGCTCGACCCAGAATTATGAACAGATTGTGTCGTAAAACGTGCAACATGATAAACGTTGGTAACCGGTCCCGATGCAAGAGCAGACTGTTATCATTGAACTGAAACCGACGTGGTAAGTCAGCAAAAACAGCCTCCAAATCCCTTTGAATCACTGATAGACCTGCAGTCAGATGTTCAACTGTATTCTCCTGGTACGAGGCACGGAATGCAAAGTGCAGGCCGCGGCGACGAGCCGCCGCGGTGCGTAAAAGATAGGCCGACATATCGAGGGATGCATGCGGGAGGCTATCGCCTGTTCGCTGCGCAGTGATCATACCATCTGGAATCAACGGTTCGGTAACGACGTGGTCATCAAACAGGAAGCTCTCTTGGTCACAGGGTAGCTGGACACGGTAGGCGCGTTCATCAATTGTTTGGGATCCATATCGCCCCCCGTCAGTCATTGAGTCGAGGTAGAACGTAGACCACGCAATCCGACGGAGTGATTCACGCGACAGAAGAGGTGACAGGCGTTGGTGTGATGGGAAGTCTGCAGGGAATGCGCGATCGAAGATGTGCAGAGACATCATTTGCATCATGCTGCAGTGGCTTAGTTACTTCTTGGTAAATCTCATGAAGAAATACGCAGCGAGATAAGCTTACCGTGTACAGCTAGCTCCCAAGAGCCATGCAGATGTAAAATGACCGCGATGAAAGTCATAGTGTTGCGCGAGGAGTACTGTCTGATAACAGGTCGAAGTCAGTCTTTGCTAGTGAATTGGACTGAATTAGACCACTCCGGCACTGACCATGAGTTGAACAGCTCCAAATCCTTTATATATGCGCGGAAGAAGAGCACTGATTGCTGCATCGGCCCACGCATCGGCTCGGGCCAGGGTCTCGGTGGTGATTGGAGCGCCGAACCTGCAGAACATCAGCGATAATTCCGACGATACTGCAAGTGGTAGGATTTGGGATTTTTTTACCGACAAGCACTGGCAATCATCATTAGAGTTAATTCACGCGGGGCTTTCCCATTGACCAAGAGTCGTTGAAAATGGAGAGGGTGGACAAAAGCGAAGAAGCCGAAATCTGGAGCGAAGTTAGTCAATATCACACCTTTCACGGAGTAAAACGCATAGCATACGGTGCACGGATGAGAAATATAACTGGACAATATCCTGGAGCTCTTTGCCCTCTGGTAGCTGGCCTAGTCGCGCGCGCTGCGACGATGAGCTGTCCGAGAGATCCGGTGACACAGGATCAGCAAGCGGTCGAGACCTCATGCATTCAATGCCCTGTTTACGACATCTCTCACATATATTATCGAAATCATCGGTGCATTTTAACTAGGAGTGATGGTGTCGGAAATATGTTCCATCCTGATGGTAGCTTGCACGGGGACCGACCTTCTTGGCGCGACATCCATCACACGCCGTTGCGTTGGCTCTGCGAGAAGTCCTTGTGCGTTTTGGCTCCTCTTCGAACCAATTACATGTACGGTTTCCTCTGTAGCATTGAGTACAGTAAGGTTTCTTTTCATCGCATTTAATCTGTTGTTGGGGGTCAGATCATGCTCGTTCGCCTACGAACGTGAAGCACTAACCTTCCGAGATCGGCATGTTTGACATCCCGTGCGGGTCCGCTGAATTCGTGCTCTTCTCGCCTCAATATTTCCAGACATTTGCACTGCGATGGGCGGTGCTAGGCTGTCCATTCGGAGGACAAAGTTTGTAGGAATCAAAATTGGGAAAAGGGGAAAACTGGAGGTGTTGGCGGGGAAAGGCCAGACCAGATCACTTCATTGGATACCCGCCAGTCTAATGATAGTACTACAACATCGTGATATTGGTAACTTCAACCTATTCTACCCTTTTCAATTTGGCCTGAATCCATTGGCTTGGTTAGGTACTTTATGAGTTTTACCTACGACTAGTAGCGTAGGGCGTAGTCTAACTAAGGATAAAGTGTCTACTGGTTAATACTACCAGTACTAGCAACTAGGCCGAACTCCCCCACAAGCCTCCATCCAGCACTTTTGCAGCTCCATCTCATCCTCCCATAGCTCTGGTGCTTCATCTTCGCCCAACCCTGGCGCCACAGCCTTTTCCCCCCAAACAATCCCACACTCGACCACGTACTCATCCCAGCAATCTAATAGTTCCCGGAACTTTTCTGGCTCTTCCTGTGCTAAATCATTTGTCTCTCCCGGGTCCTGTGAGATATTAAATAATTCCCATCCATCATCTCCCTCTCCAGCACCTCCTTGTGCTTTCGCAAAATGCACAATCTTCCAGTCACCTTTGCGCAATGCCCCACGAGCAGAGAGCTCCCATCCAATAGGCTCTGAAGAAGAATGAATTGCCCAGTTCACATTGTCCTCAACGCTTTCCCCACGATCGAAAAATGGTACCCACGAAGTCCCTCGGATGGCGTGCACATCCCTGTCGCGGAATTTGGTCATCGCTCGAGTGCCGTTGGTAACCGGTGGCGGTAAAGATACACCCGCCAAATCAAGAAATGTGGGAACAAAATCCATGACCGTCGTAAAGGATCGACTTAATGAGCCTGGTGATAATTGGGGAAAGCTACTTGCGGGAGGCTTGATTACGCAGGGAACTAAAATACCTCCCTGGGATGGGAAACATTTGAAGAGCCTCGAGGGTGCGGTCGATGCCTGTGCCCATAGAGGACCAAGCCTATCACAGTTAGCCGCACTTCTTTCATAACTTGCCGGCGCGACGTACCACGTGTATGAGTTGTAAGCACCGATGTTCTCGTATGAATTGTCATAATATTTGTGGATCGCAGACTTGATATCTGCACCTAAGACAGCTAAAATCGAGGTTAATTTTTGGCATTCAGTCGCTCCAGAGAGAACGATACGTACGGGCAGCTTCCAATCTAATTATCGAAAATATCAATTAACGGAAAAAAGTCAAAGATGTACGGGGTGGGACTTACGCCGCTCCTTCTGCCCCATTGTCGCTCATGAAAACGACAAAGGTGTTGTCGTACTCGCCTGTCATCTTCAGATATTCGATGACTTTGCCAATATTCACATCGATAGAGTCGACCATGCCTGCGTATGTCTCCATCGCACGGATTGACAGCTTTTTTTCTTCTGGGGTGAAGGAATCCCATTCTTCGGCCCCTACTTTACCCGTCTCTACTTTATGCGGAACGGTCGCTTCGTCGATAATGCCCAGTTCGACGAGCTTCTCAAGTCGGCGCTCACGAAGGGCGTACGGGCCACCATCATAGACTCCCTTGTATCTTGCCGATAGATTAGCAAAACAATACTGGATTTGCAGGTTGCGTATATTCACTTATCACGCTGTGCGCGGGAGCACTGCAGAGGCCAATGGGGCGCAGTATATGGTAGGAACGAGAAGAATGGTTTCGACTTCTCATCCTCCGTTCGCTCTTCGAAATACTTAATCAACTGGTTGGTATAATAGTCTGTCGAATAAAAACCTTCAGGGTCTTCGGTCTTGTTCGGTGTTCTATATTGTAATACTGGTCAGTACTTGTAGAGTTGGGGCAATAATGTAATAAGCCCACTCACAAATCTACTTTCTGCCCCAGCTCAGCATGGATAGGTCGTCCACCAATGGGGAATTTCTCCTGAACCGGCTCCCATCCATAATGATTACAGCATCCAGGGAGCATTGCAAATGCCTTCTGGAAGCCGCGCTCCCATGGGCCTTGTGACGTCCGCATACCTAGATGCCACTGTGATAAAATAAGTATCGACAGTACAGCCAGACCTTAGCAGTAATATGACATAGTACACACCTTGCCAGACATCACGGTAAAGTATCCATTGTCCTGTAGTATCTCAGGCAAGACAGCCACATCGCGATTGAGAAACCCCTCGTAGCCAGCTTTGCCTGACCACCGCTCCGCGCCCTTCGCGTTTTGCTTGAATTCAATCAGAGTGCCTAGTCCACCGAGATGGGCATCTGTCCCGCTCAGTAGCATTGCTCGTGTCGGCGAGCAAGCGGCTGCAGCATGGTGGTTGATCATCCTTGCACCTTGCGCTGCGAGCTCATCAATATTTGGCGTGTGTATCTCCGATCCATAGCAGCCTATATCGGAGAACCCCTATCGTAACCGTTTAGCAAATACAATTCATTAAGACAACTATGATGGACTTACTAGATCATCGGCGAGAATGAAGAGAAAGTTTGGCTGTTTCAAAGAGCTATCCATGCTGGACGGGAGTATTTTACGGATCATTAATCAATTCTCACGAAAGAGAAAAGAATTGTTTGTTATAACGACAGAGTGGACACAGAATTGCGACAGTCAATTTATTCGAGTCACGGAGAAGACAATAAGGGAATAAGGGATTGTTGAACTCCATGCGTCCTCCTCGCTCGGAATGCACTCACCTCGCTCGGAGCAAAGACAGCTCGCTCGGAAGACTGGACCCACATCGCTCGGGAATATTTGATGGAACTCCGAGCGAGAAGAGCCAGATCGACCGACACAGTGATGGTGCAGCCGCGCTGGTTGGTTTCCAATTACCCCAGGTTGTGGGGTAATTATGCCATCGCAGCTAACGTTAGTAGGATATACAATGGATTCTTTCTATGGCTCTGGACCTTGGAGATCTCACCAAAGTATATCATATAAGCCACCACCGTCCATCGTCCTTGTATTAGAATGACTTGCAATTTTACCCGCCATTCTTCTTTTTCCAAGCTCACTCCGGTGAAGCTTTACTGGCCCTTTCGAAGGTCATTACACCGCAGCAAAATGACGACTCTACGTTCTTTCCGGTCCACGGCGGCCCCTATGCTGCTGTTCTCTTGTTTCTGTCTGCTCACGGGCGACATGTTGTTTGGGTTTGATACCGGGAGCTTTGGTGGGATTCTTGGTAACCCGGTATAATAATGACAATGATTGGCACTATGCCGTTGAGCAGATTATGTAACTGACTGATTGTAGGGCTTCGTCAATCAATTTGGTACCTACCAGCCAGAAACGCAGACCTATAAAATCAGTTCTCTCAACACGTCCCTTCTGTCATCGCTGGCATTTATTGGCAAGTTTTTAGGCTGCTTGGCTGCGGGCCCCGCGATAGAGAAGTACGGACACCGCATGGTGTTCTATGCTCTTTCCGTTATTTCAATCATTGGTGTCATTGGTGAGTTCACTGCTCTCCCGAGGGCCGTCACAGTTCTGATTGGGTACTACCATAGTTGAAATCACCGCCGCTGATATTGGGCCCGGGACTGGACGCCTTGTACAGTTTATAGTGGGCCGAATTATTGTATACATCTCTATTGGTTTAGTAGAGGTTGATGTGACGTGAGTTCCTCTTCTCAGGATGAAGTCAGTATGCTATTATTCAGCTAATATAAGAATCTTTCTACAGAACATATCAGTCGGAGATTGTCCCAGCCTCATTCCGCGGTCTTGTTGTGGTCTCCTTGCAGCTCTTCCTTGTGGCAGGTGGTCTCGTTGCCAGTGGTGCCAACAAGGCTTATGAGACTGAATCGAACGGAGTAGGCTGGAAGACAATAACAGGAATTCAGCTTATATTCCCTGTGTGTATGTAAATTCACTTCCCCTAGGTATACTCTGATCGTCACTCATATTTCCCTGCCCTACAGTGATCATTATATGCAGCATCTTCATACCAAACTCTCCCCGGTGGCTACTTTCTAAGGACCGAGACGAGGATGCTATTGCGTCTCTACATCGACTACGCCCCAAGGAAGATGCATTGAACGGCAAGTGCGAAGCAGAAATAAGTGAGATTCGAGAGGGCCTACGCGAAGTAGCACACAAAAGCGCGTGGATAGACTTGATCCGAGGAAGCAACCTCCGCCGCACCTCTATCGTCATTGTCTTCTACTTTTTTCAGCAGGTAGGCTACACAATTCCGACTCCGTTACAAATATTTAATCAAATAGGCCACTGGACAAGCATTCGTATCAACCTACCAGACAAAATTCTACCAGCAGAACGGGTATGCAGAATACGCCTACACCTATCCCCTTGCCAGTAGCGTTCTTGGTGTCGTCGCTGTGCTCGTCGCTATGTGTTTTATTGACAAGTTGGGGTGAGTATATAAGTTCTTCACCCAAGGCTATTCTAATTTCCTATCTGCAGCCGGCGGTATACACTCTTCATGAGCTACGCCTTCCAAGCCCTTTGGATGTATGTACTCGCAGGCCTGGGAGGGGTAGCCCATCCGACCGCTGTTTCTCGAGATACCATCGTAGCAGCCTTTATGCTGTACCAGCTATTCTATAATGTAAGCCCCCCCGTTGTTGTATATGTGAGACTTCCTTCGCTAATTCTCTGCCTAGGCTGGTGGGGCCTCAATCCCATACCTATTAGGAGCAGAAATTCCAAATGCCGCAGTCCGTGAAAAGACACAGTCTGTCGGAACTGCATGGAACGTCATCTGGGCGTTCGTGCTGAACTTCATTATCCCGTATATGATGGAACACATCCACTTCGGTATCGGTTGGGTATTTGGCAGTGTCTCGCTTGTGGCTTTGCTGTATACATTCTTTTTTCTTCCAGAGACTAAGGTTAGTTCTTTCTTCGCGCCTGGACCATCGCTACTGGCTAACGTATTGTTTTCCTTTCGAACAGGGCCGTACCCTTGAGGAACTGGACGCTGTCTTTGCCCATACGTATAATCCTTTCCGCATGTCCCACACGTATTATACCGGCGATGAAGGAGACTCCGTATCTCCCAAATGCTCCGAGGCGCCCATTTACGTCAACCCAGTCTCCGTAAATAAGTGAGGGAAATAAGAAACAACGCATTTTATAGTGTCTACATTGGCATCATGTTTAGCTGTGTAGTAATAACGAGGACTAGTATTGGCAAGGAAATTACTCTCAATAAAAAAGCACTACAGTGCCTGATACTCCGTCGAAATCTCCTAGTTGAAAAAGCCTTGCACGTTATTAGGAGTAACCTCGCTCAGTGCCTCTACTGGGTCATCCCATTTCAACAGCGCACCAGCCTGAACAGCCTTCACTCGGCAGTACCTACGCCTCATATCAATAATCAACTCACTATTGCGTAGGTTTGAATAATTGCTCGCTTGTCCTAGCGGTTTTCTATTCGTCAACCCGAACCTTGGTTTGTTCTAATCAGAGTTATTTACTGTCGGTCGCAGAGGATAGATCTGTAACGTCGTTTATACTGCGTCTGGGGAAATAAACATATACGCGAAGCCGCTCTAGGTAAAGGATAGGTGAGAGGAGAGCTGGGTAGGAGAGTGAGGAGGGACTGTTTGCAGCTTTGTAGTTATAGACCCTACTGCCCTAGCGACTAATAATCTTAGGACGGAGTGTGCCATTTTTGGCGACTTCATAAAACGAAGGTTTTATAGTAGCGCTTAAGGAGTCGATAGAAAGCAGGAGCGGGGCTCGAGGGCAGGGGAAGGGGAGCCACGCGCCCAGGCACCCAAGAACGTGACGGTGCACGTTACAAGGGGCAGGCGAGGAGCGCGTGGCTCTGTCACCAAAAGTGCGTGTGCGTAAGAACTGTGCCGAGGAGGCCACTCTCGGCCCCCTTTGAGGCCAGAAATGGCCGTCTCTGCACAAATGTCTTGTGTTTAAAGGTACTATATATTTATACCTAACATGATCGAAATTACTAAGTCTTTATAAACCGGAAAATCAATAGACCATTATGATAACGGTATCATACAAAAGTGCATATATTACTTAATCATCTATGTCCGCACAGATTGGGAAATAGAGCGGAATTTGTCAATCTAGTTAGAGAATTTTACATGTCATTTTTTACATTGTCGTACCCGTCTATTTCTGTCAGTTTGCGTTATTATAAGTCTGTCTATAAAGAAATCATGAAATATAGTACTATTATAATAACTCAATTCGTAAGAGAGCCTTCCCATTGCCATAATACCAGTAGTTCCAACACAAATATCACCCTTGGAGACATCCAAATCTAACTCCAGTTAAAACCAGACAAAACAACTAAAACAGGTCACTCAACTCTCCAAATCCGTCAAATACCTAACCCCAGAGTCCATCAACCACCAAGCAGCTGTCTCATGCATCCACTTCAAAACAGGCCTCTCCAACGGCATCTTCCTCACCTCATCCGCTCTCTTCCACATAACTGTCTCACTACAAAACACAACCTCCCCCTCCCCCTCCAGACTACTATTTTCCTCATAACTAATCGCCAACCTCCCCTGCACAAAATCCACCGCCTCCATCGCAATCTCAAACTCAACCCGGTTCCTCTTCCGCACCACAACGCGATAAACCCCACAAACCAAATCCCCAACCTCAAAGTCCAATGCGGCAAGATACCCCGCCTTAAAACTCTGCTTCTGCTCCGGCGTCTTACTGGCCATGGCAAGCATAAGCGCCTGCGGGAACCGCGAGAATGCCCTCATGTTGCGGCGCACGAGTCTCGTGAAGAGCACGTCTGTGGTCTCGTTTCCGGGCAGGCAGGCCCGTGGCACAGACTTTGAGGCGTAGTCGTAGAGCGTAAAGTCCTCATCGTTGAACACGGTTTTGGGGATTGATTCTATATTTGGTGGTTTGGTAACCGTGGAGAGGGTTCCAAGGTGCGATTTGTGCGCTATGCGTTGTGATAGGCGCTCATGGAAGATGTAGAAGTAGATTGCCGAGGAGCTGGTTATTATTGCCGTTGTTGTGAAGATGAGGCGAATCATTTTGTTTTTGTCTGAGGTTGTGATATGTCTACAATTGTGGTCTTTGGCGTTTCATGATCTCGTGTTAAGAAAAATTGGAGGTCAAGTGATCCGCATCATCGGATACGAGGTGGGCTTGGCGCGTTCATCGCTCTCCTACATTTACCATCATATCTGCCGGTCGAAATATTTCTCATAAATTCAGCGTGTTAAATCGTAAGGCGGTCAAATATGCGATCATAACATTGAAAAGGAAACAAGTTCACAAGCTGCGCAACGTCAACTCCAACCCCCAAACGATGACGTCAAATACGAAGTGGTATCAATTCTGAACAGAACAAAAAACAAACCAAATCAAAAGCGAAGTAGATATGTAAAATCCTCACCTCCTCGCCCCATTCTGCAAAACATTCACACGTCCACTATTATGCCATCTGGCAAGCTTAGCACCACACTTGCCGCAAGAATGCTCGACATCCTTAAGCGAGGACATCAAGTAAGGGACACATCCGAGACAGCAACAGAAACAAAGAATAGCAGCCCAGCCACTACACACGAAAAAAAAGGGTCAACCACCAAATCCAATATTTCAACTTTTTAGGGAATTAAACTTACTGCGTAGTCCCACCACTAACAGCTTCAACACTCGTCATCTCCCGTTCTCCACAAACAGGGCAATCAACCGGACACGGCGCAGATTGTACGCAGTGCAGCGGTACAACGGTAGCATAACCACTAGGATGACCAGAAGGTGTGTAGTACTGCTGCGGGTGACCCTGGAGCTGTGCTTGAGCTTGCGCTTGGGCCTGTGAATACTGGGGCAGGGGCTGGCCCGGGTACGCCTTCTCGGGGGGAGCAGCCATTGATGTCGACGCGTCGTAGGCTGGTGCTTGGCCGATAGAGTCAGGCTGGTGAGGGTATTGCTTTTCTGAGGGGCCGTTTATTGGCGTTGGGGTGTAGCTTGTGTGTAGGGTGGACGGGAGAGATTGTCCAGTGTGTGAATAGGTGTCGGAGCTTGGGCTGATTGGGCCTTGGGTTTGATGGTCTGGGGTGACGACTTCTGGGGCTTCGCTGTACGTTGGGGCCGGTGCTAGGGATTATTAGTTATTGGTTGCTGTATGGGGATGCGAGGAGATTGATTGCGTACTAGGTGTTGGCTCGGGGTGTTGGGTGTGTTCGGGCATTGTTGCTGTTGACTTTTGAGTCAGGGATATTGGGAGAGTTTCACTTGTGTGATGGGGGTGGGAAAGGTTTTAAGTGAAATATGATAGAACTTCCAGATAATAAGATAAATTATAAAAATAGAGACATGATCGTCAAGTCAAGGGCTAATCTGTAAAGTACAACTCGTATTATAGTGGATACCGGGTATTCCATATGAGTGCACTGCCTTCAACGGGGTTGGGGGATGCCATGTCTAAGCCACAGCTTTGTATTTTGATGTTTTGATGCTTTGAATGAGGCTTGACGTATTACGTGCGGAAATTGTAGTCAGAAGACTTTACAGGATGCTATTGACGCGACTCTATACTCGCATCCCGTATTGGCGAGACTTAGGATACATGAAACACAGGGATGGTCTGAAAGATGTATGGAGTACAGAGTATTGTAGAAGGCTATTGAAAGGAATGCGGCTGATTTTGCGACCAATTTCCATTTGTATCAGACCCACGCGAAGGTGAGATAATGTTCTGTGTTTTGTACAAGATGCTAGAGGTCGCAGAAGCCCTACAAATAGTGCAAATACATATAGTGCAATACAAGTCTGTTGAGCTTAGTATATCGCAGTTCATTCTACGGAGTACATATAACTATCATAATTGTTCTTCTATACACTCCACACAACCCCGATCGAAATCCAAATGCCGCCCATTTAGACCCCTGGCAGTTTAAGATTATTACACCCGATGCGGGTAATTATCGTGAATGCCAACCCAATCATATGGCCACTGGTAGCTCCATAGCCGATCAATGCCCGTTTAGGCGCCCCTCCGTAAGCCTTTCAAGGCTGAGTCGTAGGCTTAGGCGCAAATGCTTCAATCATGTAGATACTCGTGGGGCTTCGGGATATTCGGCCCCCAAATACTATTTGGAATACGATGTATTAGATTGCGATCATCTTGTGTCATTGTGTGTTACCATGCTTAGTTTTTTAGCCTCTGTATAACAATGGTACCTATAGATATCTTATTCGTACAATATATACAATATAGAGATCTAATCACGATCTCAACTCTCGCCTCCAAAACATAGCCTGCTAAAGATCAAAAGTCAAACCAAAAAAGAATCAAAATCGCTTCACGCTAAATGCTACATAGATATTATACGCATACTCCATAAATCATAACCCATCAAAAATACTGATATCTCACCGGTCCTCCTCCCCCAGGATAATACCCATACTGCGCAAAAACCTCCAAAACCTCCCTCCTCTGCATTCTCCCCGCAAAAGCCATAACTGTCTCCGTCCTCCGAGGTCCCCCCTTAACAAACGGATCCGCCCCGCGCTCCATCAAAAGCCTAACCATGCCCACCACATTCGACTGAACAGCCTTATACAACGGCGTCTGCCAAGGATACCGCATAAGATCAACCTTCGCCCTGCGATCAAGCAACAATCTCGCAACCCTCATATTCCCATTCAAAGCCGCCAATGCCAACGCCGTATCACCCGTACTATTAACAGCATCGATATCCGCCCCGCAGTCCAGCAAAAGCTCCACAATCCGATCCTGTCCATATGTGGCAGCTTGCGAGAGCGCCGTCTTGCCAATCCCTTTCCCTGAATTGACATTCGCGCCCGAGGCAATCAGCATCTGTACGATGCGGTCGAAGCCGCGTGTTGCGGCGATGCTGAGGGCCGTCTCGCCGGTTAGGGTCCGGGCGTTTAGGTCTGCACCATATTCTAGAAGTAGCCGGGTTGGGGCTTCGTGGCCGTAGGAGACAGCGGCCATTAGGGCTGTTGTGCCGTCGTCTTTTTGGGAGTTGGCGTCGGCGCCTTTGGAGAGGAGGGCTTGTACGGTTTCGTGGTGGTTGGCTTTTATGGCGGCGATGAAGGGCACTTTGGATCTGGTTATTTCCCAGAGAATACGGCTCATTCGGTGGGGCTTTTTTGAGTTTCTTGATACTTTGAAGGTATCCAGGTCTAGTGAGAGTTTTGGTGGTTTGGGCGAGATAGGCACGTTCACTGGTATTGGAAGGTTTGTGCCGTCGTCTTTTTGTGGAGGGGGGTACTCTGTGAGAACTGGGATGGGGAAGTTATCGACTGGTAGCGCTTGTTTCTGTGTATCTGTAGAGTCTTGCATGTCCAATATCACTGGTATGGGGAGGTTTTCTTCTCGTATTGTCTCTTTTTCTGGATAGGGCTGCTTTGGGATTGAATATGAGCTGTGCTTGTCTGAAAATGAGAAGCCTTTTGGTGGAAGCGGGAGGAATGGAAGACCAGATGGTTCATCTGCTAGCCAGTCCTTGTCCTCCAGGCTTCCCTGGCGTTCCATTTTCAGGGCTGGTTCTGGTGCTGGAGACTCAGGCACTTTCGTTGGAGTCGTGCCCTCTTTGTTAGCAGACAGTAGGCCATCTGCTATCTTTCGAAGAGTCGGCATCACGAAGTTCCGGTTCAGTGTCAATAAATCCGAAGAAATGCCAGTAGCGACCAACTCCCCTTGTAGCTGGGCCCAGACTCCATCTTCCTCAAGTTTCGAAGAATCCTTCAAAACATCAGAGACAACCAAAGCCTCTCTGTTGCCAGCAGAAACGTCATTGACAAAACACCTCAGCGCATGCTCAATAATCTTCTGCGATGATCTGTATCAATGTTAAAACCCAGGCTGACACACACATCGAACATCGCGAACACACATCATCATATTCAAATTCACCTCAGTAATTCCAAAAATAACCGACGAGAGACGCGCGCGAATATCAGAAACCAGACTCTGAGCCCCGAGCGTATCTGGATGTAACAGCAACTTCTGCAATTCCAGCAGAACGACATGGCAGCTATGCAATCTTTTTTTCAGGACTGCAAAGTGGACACATTCTGCGCCTAGTGACGATGTATATGTCTCAGTCGCGCTTAGCACGGCCAGAAGCAGACCAAGTTCGTTTTGGACCTGGTTCGTAAGGCCGGTTGACCCACGCGTCGACTCATACAGGGAGTCAGCTAGCAGTCTGATGGCGGTTGTTTGGTGGCATGGTGGCTGGCTATCTGCTGCTGATTGTAGAGACATGGCGTTGGGCTCTGGGATAAGCAATGCGACTAGAGCTGGAGTGCTGATGACATCCAGGTGATTGGGGGGCTCATCTGGAGGGGCCCGTGCAGCATCGGGCGATTTTTGGCCCCTTAGGGGTCCAATTTATGTTTTGGTGATTATGTCAGGGTAGGAGATGTGATGTGTATTTTTTCAAAGGAAATAAAAAGGAAAGAGAGTTAATTAAACACAATTTAGGCGGATTATTAGGATATAGGGAAGAAGATGGGCACGAATCCGATTTGAGATCAGATTTTGCGTAAGCATGCAAGGGCGATGAGATTACAACCTCCCTATCTATTCTCAACTCTACATTAATCTATTGACTCCGTATAGTCTTTGGTTGGGGGATATTAGGCATTGAAAAATTAAAAACTACACCCATTCAGACTTAACCCTACGTTGGAGGTGGTTGGAGGTTTACGATGGAAAGTAGCAGTCAAACGATACGCCTGGTTTATTCAATAATAACTAAATAACAATAGTCGGTCGCTTATGCGGCCTTGCCATGCCCTTTTATTGGACTTTTGGATGTTATTTTTCGATGCTTTTTTTTAGCTGTATAAGAAGGCGATAAAAAATGGTATTCTGTGCAAGAGGCTTCTCTATAACAACTAAACAAGTAGAAAAATTAAAGGAAGCTCACCCGCGAGAAAGGCTCTGAAACGGAACGTCGTCAGTCATATCCAGAGGCAGCTTGGCACCAGAGAGCAAAGCACTAGTATCCGCACGACAATCGTCCAAATCCGAAGATACATAAAAGTCAACGCTCGCTTTGGGCTCTGGCAACAACTGATCTGCCTGAAGGTCAGCAATAGCCTGTGTCAAAGGGGCCATAATGCGGTCGCTACATAGACGCTCGAACTGGGCCACGAAGTGGTCCGTCGGCTTGTTACGGACAGTGCGACAATCTGGACATGTGTGTGCCATCTGCTCACCAAGTACAAAGATAGCTTTTAGCAGCTTCACTAGCTTGTGGAGGGTTATAATGACCTCTGGTCGGAGACCGTCTCCGAGACTCAGGAATCGAAGCTCCTCGTAGAGACAGGACTTGAAGCATGCGCATGCGATGAGGAATCGCTTCTCGTAGTTCATTTTGTCGACCTCCTCGTTGTCTGGGTATTTATTCAATAGCATGTTGATTATCTGTGGCGAGAAAAATAGACTGGAGGGCGGATTAGCAGGGTGGATGTGTGTAGGTCTTCTCACCTAGAATGTTTTGATTTTGTGGATGATGGGAAGGATAGCTCGAAAAGATGGAGAATCTCATGCATTTATGCATTTGTGGTTGATGCTGACTGGGTTTATTGGACAAAGGGTTTGTTCAGTAAAAGAAACAAAGGAACAAACGTACGCTGTTTCAATAAGCCAGTAATGCCTATACCAAACGTGTCTTTCATATTCGCAAGATATGTCGCTACAGCGAATTGGGAATTGAGCTCACCCGTGATGGAATCGTGGGGCCTACCCGGTATAGTAACGATCATACTACATATTTCTGGGTTATACATTTTCCGGCAACTTTTCGAGAGATCTAGCTTTACCACATCTGGTGGCACATTTGTGAACTTCGCATACAGTGTGACCAAGTTAGGGGTCATCCGGAGACGTGACAGAATAGAGCGAATAGGCCGGTCAGACGATCCGATTGCATCCACCGCAAATTCCACATTAAAACAGTCAATATCGACTGTGTCTATCGTATTAGGGAGAATGGGTAAAGATAAACTGATTCGCGGTTCCGAAGAGAGGACAAGTTCCGGAGTAACTACTGCTATGTTGGGTTTCGGTCCGATTTAAATCATAATAGTCCCGATTGGTCTGAGAGAAGGTTCTCACTTTGAAGGTTTTGGGTAATCAGTCAACGAGTGATTCTTACCTCAGTGACTATAAGGTTATTCTTATAAACAACAGACAAGAATTGGATGGTGTTAATTTGTCCCAGGAAGCTTGATTGAGGATGATTATCAGGAGGGAGGAGGGAGAAGGGGATAAAAGCAGAAGAGAAAAAAAACGTGGAGTGGCAGAGAGGCAGAAGGTAAGAGAGGGAAGGAGGATAAGTAGAGCTCAACCCTTCGACGCGACCTTATAACCTTGGGATAGTCCATATGGCAATAGTGGATGGCTTGTAGTCGGAAGATCCAACCCCTGCCAATCTTCTCCAGCTGATCGATATATGTCGTGGGGAACGGCGGCAGGAAGGTATGGAAGCTATCGGGTTGACGAAGCGTTGACAGAAGAGAAGGAGCGTCGGAAATTATACATAGAAAAGTATCTTGCCTAGAATATTCTTTTTCCACTGCCTTTGTATACATCTATATAAGGTATCTAAAAAGAGCATCCAAGAAAGCATCCAAAAAACATGACAAGGCCGCATAGGCGGCCGGCTATTCTTGTTAACAGTAAATTAATAATGTATACCCATAGCACGCATTTCACTCGTATTAAGATCATAAAAGGTGGTTTGAAATAATGCTTCAATGTCTCCCGAACCAAGCTAGTGCTTGATCCTCCGCCTCATCAGCCTGGTTGTTTGCACCACCTACCGTGAGACTGGCTCGCACACAGAACCCATGACCGGCCCCTTCATAAACCTTCACCTCTCCTTTGGTTGATTTAGCTTCATTCTCGAAAACCTGTTGAATCTGCTTTATCTGTAGAGGCTTCACAACCATGTCCTTATCGCCAAGGGCAAAGCTGATAGGAATGACAATCTTCTCGATATCATTGGGGATCTCGAGGTTACTGGGATGACCGGTGAACCCAGCATTAAGAAGAGGTTTTCCGTTGGAAGCGGTGTCGTCCCCGATGCCCAGGTTTACGGTATGCTTCCCTCCCCAGCAGAACCCAGCTGCATAGATAGGAAGCTTGGAGCCCTCGTTTTCTCGCACGGACTTGAAGAAGTCTCTCACAATAGGCCACGCGGTCTCGAAAGAATTGTGGTATTTGAAGGGGATGATTTGAGTCATCACAGAGGCCACATAATAGCTATTTCTCCATTTAGCGATAGTTATATTAACGCATCCCGGTATGATATCCGTGAATCATATCATGTTATTGTGACTTACGGCTTCATGAGCCAAGTTACTAGTCCATCTGTCCTGAGTAACTCTCTCGTATTATGCAACATGCTGACCGGTGCCGCATGCCCTGAAATTGGGATAAATGTCTTAGCGGGTGATTTCCTCAAGGTATGTTTGACGATACTAATATTTACCATTCATGAAGTCGGGAAGGTAGACGAGGTATTTTCCCTTATCGGCATAGTTATCAGCCAGGATACGGTTATTCACGAATTCCCATCCGAAGGCGTCAGGAACTATAACGATTATTCCTCGGTGGGGTACATCGTCGGAAGGCTTGGTGGTGTAGGCCTTTAATCCATGTAAGGTGGTGACTTCGCCTCGTGGAGTACCTTCATGAATATGGCCGTTGAAACATTCAGGACACGACATTTTGCAAGAAAGAGAGTTGATGGCTGGAAAAAATGAGGCTGGCAACTGATTTAAGAAGCCTAGAGGTAGAAACCACAGGGTTATATGCGGCTCGAAATGCTGACAGAACTTGACCGGATCGGGACGCCGAATGGCCACGACATTTCAGGCGAGCCATGCTTACACATATGTATATACTAGTCTATTTTGGGGTAAGACTGCTAATCTCAATAATTAGTATCTGACGATTTGATTTGTAGCATCTTTTATATTTATTGAGTTATATACATTTAGATAGATATCGTGATTATTTTTTGGTTGCGTGCATGTATTATAGTTGTCGCCCGGACCAGTGTCGCAGGTCGCAGCATCCATAGCCATGTCAATAGGGAAATTTGTCTATCCATCTATCCAATGAACATATTATACCTAAGAGATTCAAATCGAAATTCTATGGGCCAGTCCAGAAAGTCCTAGGACCGTGCTTGTATTACTATAAGTAAACAGTGAGTCATTATGATGACCTCTGACTTGTATATTCCCAATCTATGTTCTCAAACCTTGGAACCTTGTAAGTTTGAATTGGTGACTCAGAGAATTCTGGCTTAGTTTCCCCCCAACAGGGATTGGACAAACAAAGAACCTACGGCGGATAGCCTCTATCAAGGTAAGACCATCCTAGCATACACTATGTATACTCATTCAATGCTACCTAACCTCATATTATTATTTCGAATCGCCTTAAGGCGAAGGAGTAGTCATAGAAAAAGTAAAGTGTAATTAGGTCTCTGGTACTACTTTCTTTACCTTATAGTCCCTTGGATGCCTACAAATGCCATTGCAAAAGGATTTCCCGATTGCGTTTTTGAAACAAAATCTTGTGTTAGAATCAGTGATGTATGCAGGGTGTGCTGTTAGTATGGAAAGATATCACTGCAATCAGGTGAAAGGCATTCGGAGTACATCTTATTCAATTATTATAATCTATAACACCTAAACTCCTGGAATAATTTATTAGAAGAGGATAAAAAGGTTCCACTCGTGACTAGTAAGGAGAGTTTACTCGGGATAGGAACATCGACCACACACAGGAACCTACAGCAGGCTTTAGATGCCATCCCGGCAACCCATATAATTTCTTCCATCCAAAATATCATTACCAAGGATATTGAGATCCATAATATTGAAGAATATAGAAGAACTCTTCTTTTCTAAGAATAATAAGGAAGTCGCCCCAAGGAGTAAATGGCAGACATGTTCTATCCCCTTCTCAATATGTGATCTTAGTACAGGTGAAATTCGTAGTGTATATTATTGGTTTATTATTAACAAGAATATTCCGCCGCTTAGACAGCCTCGTTATGTCTTTTGGATACTCTTTTTAGGTCTATACGAATACATTAAAAAAGCATATTCTGTGCAAGAGACCTTTCAATATAGAGTTAATAAGCTACTCTTCGGAAGCGTCGACCAGCTTTCCAATGGAATGGATCCATGCCTTTCCTTTGTAGCACTGGAGAAACAGCTCTCCAGCATAGTCGCTGTAAGATACCCTTTGTATAGCGTTCTGCCACTCACCGTCAACCTGAGCGACCAGAACGTACGAGGACTGGATTTGAGTGTAGCTGTCTCCGCTCCATCTCCTGCCGTAGCTGGCCATTCATGCCCTCGAGCGTCTTGAAGGCCATTTCAATCAAATCCAATAACCAGAACCTGCAAGTTGCCGTTGCTCTCACATCGTCGAAGTCCAGCTGAAGGATGGACAGTTGTAGACATTGACTGATCCGGAGGGTAGTCATCGTTGGTATCCAATCTTCGGTAATAGAGAGCACATCTGGTACCGCATGATTCAACCTGTGTGCGATATGTGATTGAAACTCTGTACCTAAAAATATGAAACCCCTAGATCGGTTCTACGAGTAAGTTATCGCCAATTACTATCTTATATAAATTCTAGAGTCTGTTGCAATGTTTCGCAGAGCTCCCACAATTCTTCGACGGTATTATAAATATCATGTGTGGGCCGAGGTGCCCAGCAGTGACCCGACACAATCCTGAACTTTGTTTGCCGATTGATTCGATTTATGATCTCACGAGAAGACTCCCCAATAACTTGGAAAGCAATCACGGGTACCCGTTTGTGTGGATTCGACGAGTTCTCTCTAAAAATTCGAAATACGCTTGGTTGCTGTCGAAGCCGAGATAGAAGGGTCTCTTGAAGAATTATCTCTTGCGCAATCATTTTCTCCCAACCGATCTGACCAAGGTATCTTTTTATGGCCCCAAGATCATCTTTGAGCTCGAATGCAGGAGAACCAAGGCGCAGGTGCCAGTCATGTCCAGGCATCTCACTCAGGAAGAAATGGCTGATCCCAGTCAACATACATTTCTGAACACTTCGCCGGCCGTATAGCTGTGCTATGTGGTATCCAAAAACCTTGCCTGTACCAACTAAAGCAGTAAAAATCAATTTGTAGATTATTGAAATCGATTGAGCGATGAGGAGCCCACGCGACTCCATTGATGATTAGGATGGCTCCAGGAATCCTATGGACCATACTGGCATTCTTGCGGATAGGATAAATAGTACCCACAACGTTTGAGACATGATTGCAAGTGACAATTCGAGTTTCGGGTGTTAAGAGTGGCTTCAATGTTTCGAGGGAAAGGCAAGGGTCGTGTCCTGCCGGTGGTGCCCACCATTTAATGGTGATACCGATTTCCTTGGCTAGAGAAATACACGCGCCTGTACTGGCCCCATCGCATAGGTTTGAAACAATCATCTCGCACTCCGAGTTAAGCGAGGGCTGCAGTGCCTGGCCCGAGGTAAGCAGAAGGAAAGTGGTCGATTGGCCGAACGTTGTCATATTTGGGGAGTTTTTGGTTAGCCAAATTTCTTGCTGGCTATAGGCATGCTCCGATAACTCAGCGTTGCGATAGCTGAGGGTGGTTTACTGACTTCATCAAGTAGCGATCGTAGAGAGAGACAGAGAGAGAGAGACAGAGAGAGAGAGAGAGAGAGAGAGAGAGAGAGAGAGAGAGAGAGAGAGAGAGAGAGTGTGTGTGTGTGTGTGTGTATGGTTCGGGGTCAGTTGATGGTTGGCAATCAGCGGCCCGTAAAGCGCCGATTCACATTCGGACTCCGAAAGACAAACAAAGAACTTGGCTTGGAGTCCCCCGCTTAGTTCCCCCCTTTTACAACAGCCCTGGCAAGCCTTCTCAATAAATTTTCACATAATGGCACCCTCTCAAACAGTTCAGATTTGGAACCAAAATGGTAAGACTAAGTCTCACCAGTCTTCTGATCTAAGCACAACTAATTGTGGGCAGACTTGGTCAGCGAACATAACTGGCGAGTTTTACGAAGCTCATACCAGGGCCACCAATGGCAATCTGTTGATATTGTATTTTCCAATATCACTGGTGGATATTTGAATGAAGGGGGCGAACGCGATACAGACTTCAAGGCTCTACGCATCCTCACCTCCCACGGGGAGCCGGCAACGTTACAGGAAACGGCCTTTGACACCCCGGAACTCCACCAGTTCTTGCTACACACTCTCTCAGCGCCGGTGACCCAAGGTCAGGAGCGGTTGATCAAGTTGATTGTTCCAGTGGCAAAGGGATACATAGTACGATCAGATATCATCACTTTACGACTTCAAGACTGTCCACTTGTTGATCAGACCATATCTTTTACAAACGCACTGCAAAGCTATCAAGGGTGTTCAAATTCTAGTTTCCTTCCCCACAAGGACAACATCACCTTGCCAGCAATACTTTCTGCAGCGGCAGCCATTATACTCGTGCAACCGACATCGCTGGACGATCTGGAGACTGTATCATCGGATTTGAACAGGGAGCTTGGGAATCGTCTCTCTTTCCAATGGATTATTTCAGAGCCAGCACGTCAGAGGACACTGGCATTGGTAGAGGCCAACAGCTCACACCCAGGAGATGGACTAGGTCTTTATACCGCGGCGGAGGCGTTGGGCATCAAATTGGTCGTCTTGGATAATGCTGGACATTGGCTTGAAGGTGACCATCACGTGAAGTCATGCGATGCATTTATTCCAACCCGATTGACAAACCCCCCATCAACGGAAATGAAAGATCATATCCTCGACTCTTTACGGGCCTACGGCAACCCCGTGGATGGCATCATCACCTTTGCGGATACCTATTGGCCCTACGTAGCTGAAGCCGCTAATGTTCTTGGCTTGCCAACTGCATCTCCAGAAGCCTTCAGGATTGCTACAAACAAATACCATACGAGCGTATTTGCCGGTCACCAGGCTTATTATGCCTCAAGTCTCAATCAAGCCATCTCGATATCCCAAGAGCCCGACTTACCCTACCCTTTGATTGTTAAGCCCTGTGGGGATGGAGTTCTGAAGGGGTGTATCGCGTTGATTCTTGTGACGCGCTCTTGGACGCTGCAAGCGCAATTCTCGCTTCCCGCCACGGACCCGAGTTCGTCATTGAGCCTTATTGCGATGGACCCGAGGTGGATGTCAATCTTGTTCTTCTGGATGGAGAGTTGCTATTTTTTGAGGTCTGTGATGATTTACCAAAATCTGCAGATGTTAATGGACCAACTGTTGGTGCATCGAGCAATTTCCATGAGCTGTGCAGTGTCTACCCCTCGAACTTACCCGAGGCGGAGATTGAACTGCTGCGCAAATCTTTCCTGGATGTGCTGCTATCACTTGGCCTGAGGAGCGGTGTGATGCACCTGGAAGGACGCATAGAGAACTCCACCGTCCAGTACGTGACAAGGGACGGCGTATCGGTGCTCTCTCAGCGAGCCAAGGCCGGTGCTCCACCGAAGGCGTGGCTAATCGAGATTAATCCGCGCCCTCTAGGAATGACAGGCTCCCAAATTGTTGAATCCACGTACGGAATTGATTATTGGGGTCTGGCATTACTCCTAGCTGTGGATGATAAGACTCGTGTGCGTGCTCTTGCGAGCCCATACTCCAAAGGACCGCAATACACCAGTGTGATGGTCTTCATCCCAGCTGACTTCCCCGCATCCTGTGAAGGCATCTTTGATTCAGATGACATTTGCAAGGATCTACTTTCACGGAGATCTGACCTGGGAGAGTTCATCAGTAGGTGTGGTTGTCTTGTCAAAAAGGGGCAACGCATTCCGCACCCAAGCACTGGTCGTAACACCTTCCTAGCCTACTTTAATGTATTCTCACGGAAGAGTCACGAAGAGGCGTTAAACATTGCCAAAGAGGTTCGCGAGGCCGTTAGATACACCTTTATTTGACTAGCAGACTCGCTTTCAGCCTTAAAATGACCAAGTGCGAGGGGAGCTAAATTTTACAAATTTCCAGGAGGAAAATCAAGGCTTGAGTTTTGCAAACGCCCCCCCAAACGCTTCCTTGAGCGTTCCATAATCTAGACATGTGCTTTAGCAATCGTAGTCAATATTTACGTGAGAGAAATAATAAATGACCCTTGACATTGACATTGACATGGTATCTCACTGGGGAGCCGTCTGGCCCAGCATTCGCCAAGAAAACGAGGGAACTAGGTAGATACCTAAATATAGAGTGATCTCCTCATTAAGGTAGTATCCAGATTAATTTATTTAAAAGCGTGACAGATCCCTGCGAGCCCCCTCACAAAACGTCTTTACGTTCTATTTCCCCCATCTCCTTGCTCAAGTGACCTATAATAAGGTGTAATACCTTCATATTTGTCTAATAATAATAATTCGATGTTTCGTTTATATCTTAATACTCCGGTTTGAGTATGAGTCTCACAACGCTAGGGCGACTGCCACGATACTGGCCACAATTGTCATGTTTTAACACGCCCGATACTTCAAGTACGGCTTATCGGTATTGGATACAGCTGCACCAATGGGATACCGCCACTCTGATGTATCGTACCTATGTTTGGCTGAGAACCCTGTGGTTTCCAGGGTGAAAGACGGGGTTGTTATCGGTCTAGCCAGCGCGTAACAGGCATTTTATTGATGGGCATACGCTAAGAGACCCTGGGATCCAAGACCCCAGGGTCAGGGATATCATTTATCCTAAAGAGAGCACTTATTTTCTCTCTGGTTTGTGATTATTTGACATGTGAGGAGTGTGGGGTGGGGTTTCTCGGAAATTGACATAACTCTGGTGAGAGAAATGGTTATATATTTGAAAAGTGCATCAAGCATACATGTACGTTGAAATCAAGTATTTTTTGTAACTATGGCGTCCCCATACAAAAGGTACCTAGGATACCAAATTCAAAATAGGTGTTTTTTATCAACAATCTAACTTGCTTAGATCGCCGGCTCGGTGAGAATCCCGCCAGTAGCCCATGTCAAGTATATCTCTTCACTGCCCAAGACCAGTCAATTGGTGACATGGAACATGGGCTTTCAAACTTAGAAGACCGGAATGTGTCCCAGGTAAAACATTAGAGGGTTCTGAAGAGGAATTGGTCTCTCCATCAAATATTTGGTGGGGATCATTTTGGTGGTAACCAGATTACACGCCTTCCATAACTTGTTCCATTCTTCAAGGGAAGGCAGAAGCACCGGTGCGTAGTCCCTGGGGGTAAGAGAGAATACAAAAGCGCCTGGCTTCAGATATTCGATGGAAATTATTTTCCTCGAACACCTTGTATTAATAAGGGTTTAGAATTTTTAATTTGAGTGTTGATTTTCGTGCTTGTTTCCTTCGCCCCCTTGAGATTTATCTAACACAAGTTTTTATATGCTTTATGGAATACTCTTATCATAGTGCCATCTAATAGAGAGCGAAAGGCCAACCTGAGTAGTATGCCCACTAGCTAGTCGAGGAAGCAGGACCCCGAAGAAACAGCCTCGAGCGAAGTTCGCTCTCATTTTCCAGTGATTAATATTTGCTGCAGTATAATCAGTGTCCAAGTATCTCTTCGGTGCCCGCACTTCCCAAGGTTGGCATTACCACAACAATGGCCGAGGATATCACATCCCTGTCATTCCACCCCCTGAACCCCTCTGTCAACCACAAATCTTGTTAACATTAAGTGTATCGAATTGAAAAACACACGTGGTAATCGAGGACCAGCTGCACTACCATCGCGCATCTGATCACTCGTCACGTTTAACTTTCATCTTTCGTCGCCAGGCATGCTTCCTTAACTTTGTTTCACTCAGAAGAACCTGTAACTAATTCGGGCTAAGGATTCACGAGTTTGTCACACAGCGACATGAGCTCAGAAGAACGCAAGCAAGCTGTCCTTCAAAGGCAACTGCATGGTCTTCTGGGTGGTGATGCAGGTAGACCAGAACTGGCTGACTATGTGACGAAGCTAGACAGGACCATCCTGTGCGCCAGTTCGGCCTGTGCAGTTATTGCAGGTGCCTTGAACCCGCTCGTGCCCGTACGTCGGAGAATTTCTTTACCTCTCTCACTATGACTCCTGCTGACATCGCCTTATTACAGGTCATATATGGTCTCCTGGTGGGTGTGTTCAACGGTTTCGCCGCGGGCTCCGTGGAGGTTGCCGAGTTTCGATCCAAAATATCGACATTCAGTCTTTACTACGTCTATCTTAGTATCGGTCTTTTTGTCTTTACATACGCAGCCACAGTCGGATTTATTGGAGCGGAGAGCGGATTGTCAGAGCTTTGCGGATTGCATATCTGTCTGCCATCCTGCGTCAAAATATAGCCTTTTTTGATTCTGCGCCCCGGTGATATATCAAATCGCATAATGTCCGACATGGGCATTCTCCAAGAAGCCATAACAAGCAAGACTTCAACCATGCTGAGCGCTATTGCTACCTTCTGTGCGGCCTTTATCGTTGCATTTGTTATGTACTGGAAGATGGCTCTGATACTCAGTCCATTCTTCGTGGCCATGCTCCTAATATTCTCTGTTGGTGGCTCCTATGCTGTCAAGCATCAAAAGCAATCACGAGATCTCTACAGTCACGCAGCTGGCATTCCCGAAGAAGCATTCGGTGCTATTAGACAAGTAGCGGCCTTTGGAATGCAGAATTTCGTGCAAAAGCGCTATTCTTTGGGCTTGGGTCAAGCCGCAAAGACGGAGAGGAAAGCACACAATATTGTGGCGGGGCTTATCGCATCGATGAATGCGATGCCAACTCTGATCTATGCGCTTTCTTTCTGGGCTGGCTCCATCTTCCTAGTGAGAGGCGAGATTTCTGTCTCTGATATCACCACAATAACACTAGCGGTAACGATTGGCATATTTGCCATCATCAGGATCGCACCCTCCCTCCAGGCACTAACCTCGGGGTTTGCAATTACGGGCTCGTTACTAGAGACCATTGCTAGAAGATCACCTCAAGATCCTTTGGTTGCAGATGGTCAGAAGATAACCAGTTTAGTGGGCGACATACATTTCGATTGTGTGAATCTTTTCTACCCATCGAGAGACCATGTCAAAGTTCTGGATAATGTCACTTTTAGCATCCCCGCAAACAAGAAAACAGCCATAGTTGGTCCTTCTGGTGGAGGCAAAAGTAGCATCTTTGGCCTCCTGGAACGGTTCTATGAGCCTACACATGGGAATATTAGTAAGTGTCACGTTCTTTGGGAGATATTTCATTTCTCTGATTGAGTGACAGCTGTCGACGGGCAAGATATCAGCACCCTCAACCTGCGCTGGTTGCGGCAACAGATAGGCTTAGTGGATCAGGATCCAATTCTTCTCGACGCGTCTATACTCCACAACATCTACTATGGATGTGAATGTGCGAATAATGAAGAGTCCGACAGCGTGCGGTTTAAAAGGGTTGTTGACGCTGCCCAGAGGGCTAACGCCCATGATTTTATCATGGCATTACCCGAGGCCTATCAGACTAGAGTGGGCGAAAAGGGGCTTCAACTTTCGGGTGGTGAACGGCAAAGGATTGCTATTGCTCGCGCTATTATTCATGATCCCAGAATCCTTCTGTTGGATGAAGCCACGTCTGCCTTAGACACATCATCAGAGAGAGCGGTCCAAACAGCCATAGACACCGCGACCGAGAAGCGCACAACTGTTATTATTGCTCACAGGTTGTCCACCATCATAAATTCTGATTTAATTATTGTACTAGCCCATGGTCGGGTTTTGGACCAAGGGACTCACAATGAGCTCATGGCTCGAAATGGTATCTACGCCGAGCTGATTGAGAAGCAACAAATCAAGAAACACACCCACAATCCGTCAACCTCATTGCACTCTGACAATGATGAGGGTGATTTTATGCGAGTTAATACGTCGTGCTACGGCGATAAGTCCAAGGATGAAAAGGCCGGAGCATCTTCCACTGTTCAGCAGAAAGACAGGCCCGAGGAAGAAACATTCCATAACCCAGGGACAAAGGGTGCATTGTCATTCATTTTTTTCATGAGTATCCCTGACTGGAAGCCTTTACTTTTTGGTCTTGCATTTGCTATACTTGCCGGATTGGAAATCCCAGCGTAAGCCGATCTTTCACCTGCACATCTCCAACACGCGAAGAGGGGTTGACTAACTGATGCTAGGCAATCCATATTTTTCGCAAAGATACTCACCATCATCGGGCTACCACAGACCAAATATACTGAATTGAGACAAGGAGTAAACCTGTGGACCGGTCTCTATGTCGCCCTTGCTGGGACGGGATTCATACTTTGGCTAGGTCTTGGGGTGAGTCTGTCGTACGCAACGCAGAGACTATGCCGGCGGGTTCGTGAAGCCTGTTGCCGTCGGATCACAGACCAAGACATGGCTTTCTTCGATGAAGCTAAAAACTCCCGAGGTGCGCTGTCAAGCATACTTTCAAAAAGCACCGATGATCTTGCTGGGATGGGAGGCCCAGTCCTTGGGGGAATCCTTACATTCATTTCCACCATTGTGGGAGGCATAGCAGTCTCATTAGCTATAGGCTGGAAACTGGCCCTTGTTTGCACAGCAACGATACCTGTTGTTGTTGCTTGTGGTTGGTTGCGCCTACAAGTACTTACGGCATTTGATGCTCGAATTAGGCAAAGCGGGGTGGATTCGGCCCATATGCAGGACAAGTAGTTCGCTGTATGCAAACTGTGGCTTCATTTGGACTTGAAGACCAAGTTCTCTCACTTTATGATGGATTCCTAGGTACACAGGCAGCGAATTCTCTCAACTCCATCCTCATTACCTCGGCGCTCTACGCTGCATCACAATCTGTTGTATATCTTTGCGCCGCCCTTGCCTTCTGGTACGGCGGTACCCTGATATCAGATGGTGAATACTCTGAATTCCAGGTCTATGTGTGTTTTGTTAGTCTCATATCTGGCTCCCAAATCGCTGGATCGATCTTCACTTTTGCGCCTGATGCCGGAAAAGCCATACATGCTGCCAAAGAGCTTCAAAATATCATGGAGCTCCGCAACCCCGAGGACGAAATTCGGTTACCACTAGCAGATTCTAGGCCCTCGGAGCTGAAGCGAACAGAACATGAGCTTCTTGAAGGTAGTGACGCTTTTCAAGTGACGTTTACGGACGTGTCATTCGCCTATCCCCTGAGGCCAAATAAGAATGCCCTGCACAATTTCACAATCACCATTGATCCTGGACAGACGCTGGCATTGGTTGGTCAGAGTGGAAGCGGGAAGAGTACATGCCTTGCCCTGCTCTCACGGTTCTACAGATTTCACCATGGCCAGATTCTGGTTGATGGCCATGATATACGTAATCTGGATTTGAATGCTTATCGATCAACACTTTCTCTTATAACCCAAGAGCCAACCATTTTCTCTGGCACGATGAGAGAAAATATCGCTGTCGGTTTAGTAAGACAAGAAGTCAGCGACGATGATATTCTGACTGCATGCACACAAGCCAATATACTTGATTTCGTTCAATCGCTTCCGTGAGTATATTCTCACTCCTATGCTGCAATTTGTGTGATCTAACAATGTACATGTAGTGATGGGTTATCGTCGACAGTGGGAACCGGGGGCAGTATGCTCAGCGGAGGGCAGAAACAACGCATTGCTGTCGCCCGTGCATTTCTGCGCAAGTCTAAGCTTCTCCTACTCGATGAAGCTACATCGTCGCTGGATAGCGAGTCAGAGACTGCCGTACAGAGGGCTATTGATGCTGTCAAAAAGGATCGTACTACGATTATGGTAGCTCACCGTTTGAGCACAGTCATGAATGCCGACGTGATTTGTGTGATGCAAGAAGGGCATATAGCCGAGGTTGGCAGTCCTCGGCAGCTTATAGCCAAACGCGGGCTTTTCTGGGAAATGACTAGAATGCAGAGTCTTGATTGATAGTTCATAGTTCTACTAAGACATAAACAATTACCACATCAGGGTAGGCAGGAGTACAATCCTGTTCAAAGTTTTTGAGTGTGCACAATGAACTTTATCCTCATGGAAGGTGTAGCGTTCACACTAACTATATCGTATCTAAAAAGGAGAACACGCTATACATTGCACCTTTTGAGATGAAAATGTATCGGTTGTTGTAGATTTCGGCACTTTGCTTCGGCACCCGCAGGGGACCGAATTCCTTATTATGCACCAAAAGAGGCCGAGACTGAGAGCTAGCGAAATATTCCAGGCCAACAGAAGGATCAGATTTATCGAACAGCTGTGTCAGCGATTATAAGGTTCTGGAAGCTTTTGTTGACGGCGCTTGAAGAACTCAGTTGTCGCCGTGGGAATACACACTCATCCTTGCCAGCTACCACATCTCTCGACTTCATAATCTGCAAACAGTGCAGCATCTTCTTCTTGGGGTGTCATTCCTCCTCGTCACGTGCAATCAAATTAGTCGGCCGACTTGTGAACGAATATTGTTGCCGGAAAACTACAACAATGGAACCTCTTGGACATTGGGTATCGATGCAAATATACAGGCCGTGTTGCCTCATCATATAACATGGTGAATCAGCTTTTATTTTCCATCTCTGTTTGTGAATTTTGATATAGACTGGTCTCTTAATGGTTCCCAGTCAAAGCCCTCCCACCTCTCTTGGAATATGGCGCTCAAAAATTCATGGTTCTGTTCGGGGAAATGTAAACTGAATTGGCAGATATATTAATTCTAAAATCATTATTTATGTAAATGAAACCACTGGGTGGATTAATGCAGTTCAATTTAATACCTCTTGGGCTTCACATAGGAAGGATTAGAGGGAGAAGGGGGAAAGAGAGCTGTATTGATAAAGGAGCAAAATCGTACGCAGTAGACTACAAAAGCAGTGGCATGTGGCACCATATCCCTAAAAACACTAAAAATGGAGAGAGAGAGAGATAGCCTCTCTACTGAATAGCCTGATGCATCCCATCCATACCCCCCATATCAGAACTGTACCTACGTTATGTCATTCGAAGCTCTAATTGCCTCCGATTAAAACTTATTTCCCTTCCCCCATTTCTATCGCCAAAACGTCGTTGGGGATGTCTTATCGTAAACGTTTTCCCCCGCAAACTCCCTACAATCCTTCCCCAAACTTAATCTCCAACTACAGATAGGATATACAGATCCCGGATCAAAGATAAGCCATGACAGTCCATATCATAACTATGATGATGCTGAAGTACTCGACGAGTATATCTTAACTGATGGCATTGTCAATTGAAAGATTACATCTTCCCTTATTTTTTCGTCAACAATGGGGTCAACCAGTCCATATCTCATGGTGTTTGTCGTTGCCCTAGGTATGTGACAATATCAAAGGAGCATATTAGACATGACTTTACTAACACGTTCCAGGTTCATTCACCTTCGGCTTCAACAACTCCGTCATCGGATCAGTCTTGGGTCTAAAATCGTTCTTTGACTATTTCGACATCGACCAAAATGGCGGCGGCAGAGCAGACTCCATTATCGGCGCGACTTCAGGACTGTTTGCTGGAGGTGGTGCCCTGGGTTCTCTTGCTCTAGCCCCCCTTGCAAATAAGGCTGGTCGTATTCGAGCTATTCAGGTCACTTGCATCATCTGTATCATCGCAGGGATTATACAAGCTGCCTCGGTTCATATAATCATGTTCTTAATCGGACGCTTCTTGTCCGGTCTCGGTGTTGGATTGATGGTGACCTTGGTGCCAATTTACCAGAGCGAAATATCACCCGCACAAAGCCGAGGAAGGATGGTAGGAAGTCATGGCACCCTGATTGTTACTGGATATGTGAGTATAAAACATCTCACCCATTCCTCAAGTTGATCCTACGGCCACGTATACTGACTCTTCATTTCCTCAAGGCATTCGCTGCATGGACCGGCTTTGGATGCTTTTACTCTCCAAGCCCCGAATTCCAATGGCGCTTTGAACTCTCCGCTCAAGTCATCGCACCGTGCTTGCTTCTCGTTGGGTCTCTCTGTCTTCCCGAGTCTCCTCGATGGTTAGTCGAGCAAAACCGCCACAACGAAGCCTTAGAAATCCTCAGCAGTTTCCATCCTTCCGATCATCAAGGCGAAGTCGGCAGGGAAGACAAGGCTCAACTCGAACTTGGTCAAATTCGCGCCCAACTGGTTGCCGACCGCGAAATCACACAATCCGCCGGGAGATGGGCCTTGATCACAAAGCCCTCTTACCGTAAACGCTTGATTGCCGGGTGCATTACTCAATTCCTCAGTCAATCCACAGGAGTCCTCGTCATCAACAACTATCAAGTTATGCTTTACAATTCGCTCGGCCTTTATGAGTCTCTACCCCTCCTACTCTATGCCGCCTATCTGACCTGGGCAGCTGGGATGAACTACATCTCGGCATTGATAATTGATCGGGTCGGGCGAGTTCGTCTTATGACAATTGGCCTATTGGGTGGAGCCGCCGCGGTCATATGTGAAGCTGCAATGGTGGCGAAGTTCTCGGGCACTAGTAATAAAGTCGGCAATGGCTTTGGAGTGGCATTTCTTTTTCTCTTCGTCACATTCTACGGCGTATGCCTGGATGCTACTACATGGGTTTATTGTGCTGAGATTTTCCCAACCCATACACGCTCACGGGGCATGGGAATTTCCATATTCACGCAATTTTGCACAACTCTTGTCTATACTCAGGCCGCTCCAATGGCTTTCAATACCATTGGATGGCGATTTTATTTGGTGTTTATCATCCTCCCAATTCTCGGTGCGGTCGTGATGTTTTTCACCTTCCCAGAGACCAAAGGGTTATCTCTTGAAGATATCTCTATGGTGTTTGGGGATGAGCAAATCGGAATGGAAGTTATTCCAGAGCCTGCATATCGCTCGGAAAAACTTGCAGTCTGTGACAAAGAATCAGTGTGATTTCGCCACTTTATAACCTTCTTGAACTGTGCCAGGAGACTCGGCCTTTGACCTATCTTCAAGATGCTATTTGTGAATTTATTGCTGTACTAGTGTATGCTACACCCAAGAAATTGAGGCTCAACTTTGCTCTTCATGTTTTAACTGAGATCCGCATATGCAAAATTCAATTTCGTATAGATACCATTACTGTCGATTTCCCATTGCAAATAAGTAGTAACAACAGTTTTACTTTTCCAGCCAACATTCCAATGCACTGAGAGATGAATCGGAGCGTACTTTCGGTTTTTCATCTAATCTGTCTCCCTCCCTTGTTGTTCGATCCTGCTTTCAATTCGGATCACACAAATAACGTGAAGGAAGTGGAAGTAGTACAAAAGACATCAAAAGATTCCACTACTAAGCAGGCAATCGTGAGTTACGCATATTGGTAAGTCAAATCGACTTGTCTTGCATTGTGTTGGGTAGAGAGCCCACTTCTTATTTGTCTGTAACTGCGTCTTCGAAAGTCACACATTCAAACTAGACTTTGAATAGTCATGGTACAGGTCTTGGATACCAAATATTCCGCGACAGCGATGTCCTTTCCGGATTCCTTACCGTAGCCAGACTGTTTCATTCCTCCAAATGGACTCTCCGCAGCAGAAGAGTTTCCAGTGTTAATTCCAATCATTCCAGCTTCCAAATTTTCCATCATACGCCATGACCGATGAACATCATTGGTGAAGACATAACTTGCAAGACCCATCTCGGTATCATTTGCCAACTTTACCACCTCATCTTCAGTTTTGAATTTGTAAATAGCGGCAATCGGAGCAAAGCTCTCTTCGTTTGTAATGAGCATAGATGAGTCCACATCTCTGAGGATAGTAGGCTCAAAGAAGTACCCTTGTTCGAGGCCAGAGTTAGAAGGTGACTTGCCTCCATGGGCGATTGTCGCACCGCGCTTCACTGCATCTTCGACCTGCCGGCGAGCTTTATCCACGCCTCTGGAAGTGGTCAAAGATCCCATTGTGACAGAGGGCTTACTCCCATGGCCTATACTAATAGTCTTGGCATGTTTCACCAATTTGGCGACAATCTCTTCGTAGATGCCTTCTTGGACATAGATGCGATTCGCTGTGACACAAGCCTGACCTGCATGACGCCATTTGAGCGATGTAAGTTGCTCAATGGCATGATCCTGGCTTGCATCATCAAAGATGATGAAAGGGCAGTTGCCACCAAGTTCGAGTGTCACTTTCTTCAAACTAACGGCACAATGCCCAGCAATAATGCTCCCCACGTGGGTGGAGCCAGTGAACGACACTTTGTGCACCAAAGGGTGCTTACAGAGAGTCTCCGACAGCGTGGGGGTATTTTTGTTCGACGTTGTTATCACGTTGAACACACCTTTTGTGAAGCCTGCCTTGTCGGCTAGATATGCCAAGGTAAGTGTCGTCAAGGGTGTCTCAGGAGACGGCTTGGCAATCATTGTGCAGCCAGCAGCAAGAGCAGCTCCAACCTTGCGAAGAATCATTCTGTCCACTTTATGTCAGCGTCAAGTAGGTGGCAGATATAATGAATTGGCTTACGCAATTGGGAAATTCCACGGCACTAGAGCGGCGCAAACTCCGATTGGTTGTTTGACGACCACCACACGGCGATTAGGCGCTGACGGGATGCTGACCTCTCCGCGAATACGTTCAGCTTCACCGGCAAACCACCATGTGAATCCAGTGGCATAGTCGATTTCACCGTATGCTTCGATCAGCGGCTTGCCGGTTTCATATGTCAAAATAGTTGCCAGGTCATCACGAGCATCTCGGATAAGCTGGTGCCACTTGAGCAGCATTTCGGCGCGCGTTCTTGGGTTCACAACCCGATAAGACCGAAAGGCCTCTTGTGAAGATTGCACGATGGCATCTACATCCTCACTTGCAAGATCAGGACAAGATGTGAAGACCTTCCCGGACCCCGGATCTGAATTCATGAGTCAGCTATCAAACATCCACGAAACGAAATATAATCATGGTTGGTACCTTCGACATCAAAGCGATCTCCCGATGTTGCTTCAATCCATTCACCATGGCAAAATGCTAGGTTGCGGAAAAGAGACTGATCTTTCAGCTGCATCAAAGACCATGTTAGTTCCTCGGGGATCTTTGAACAAAAAGGAAATATATCCTATCACTTACCGCGAAAGGTAAAGAAGACATCTTGAACGCTTTCTTGTGTGTATAGAATTAAATCGCAGGTCGAAATCTTCGGGATTCTACTAGAAAATAATTCGAACTGCTTCAGGCCAACTAATTCCCTTAATTACCTTTCGTAGTATAAATTATATATATCCCCAAAAATCGGTTCTCTAATTATTTAATTCCAACCAATTTTACACATAATCTGTATTGCTGTATATTGGGGTATTGGGGAAATGAGGGGAATTGTGGAGTTTGGGGAATGCTCCCCAATTAGGAATGTATGTGGCTTGGGGGAATGATACTTGTCCAGCTTGGCCATTGTATGCGACTTATTTAATTGCCAATAATCCAAGTAAGATAATACAATATCCCCATCCTCTACAAAAAAAAATATCTTGGAACGAATTATCTCACACCTCACTATGTCTGGCAAACCGGAACTTAAAGCGCTCCACGAGGATCTCTTCGAGGAAGGCTTGAAAGTACGCAGAGCTGTTGTTGGGAATGCCTATGTGGACCAGTCGCTAGCAAATGGATCCAGTGATTTCGCTCGTCCTGGCCAGGAGCTTGTCACTGAATGGTGTTGGGGACATATTTGGACCAGACCCGGCTTGGAGCGAAAACAACGAAGTCTCTTGAGTAAGTCATGAGAACCAAACCGGTCAAGAGATTAATTATTGACCCTATTCACTATTAGACTTGGGCATGCTCATTGCCTTGAAAGCCTGGCCCGAGTTGGCCGTTCACACTCGTGGGGCCATTAACAATGGACTTACGGAGATAGAGATCCGCGAGGCAGTGCTGCAGGCTACCATTTACTGTGGTGCTCCTGCTGGTATTGAGGCAACTAAGATCACCGAGAAGACGATTAATGAGATGGTTGAGAACGGTGAGTTCAAGCGGCCATGAGGGGGGATGGGATGATCATGTATATATTCCAGAAGACTACCAAATCTATGATACTGCCTGCAAACCTGGGAAGAGGAGAATAAATTAGCGTGAATATATACACCAGTAACAGCATTGTAGACTCCAAGCTTTGCTGTTCTACCTAAGCTAATATGTGTCTTTCGTATCCCCCAAGTTTTTCCAATATGATCTTCTATACTCCGCGGTGAGGGGGGATTGGGGAAATGAAGAAGTGGGGGGGGATTAGAGCTTGTGAGATGATTAATTAAATATTGGCTTTCATTGGTAACAGTTGTGCTCTTTCCAGTTGCCCTCATTCTTACTTGACACTCATCCAAATAGGAAAAATAATGACTGAGGGTACCGTATCGGTCCACGCCCTACGGGCTGGTTACCTGACTCTCCCAGAAAGTCAATTCGTATCGCCACTCAATGATATGAACCATAGGAAGATTGTTCCATCGTTATCCTTCTTGATTCAACATCAGTCTCAATCAGGAGTTGTTACACGTTTAGTCTTTGATCTGGGAATACGCCGAGAACCCGAACTTTACCAACCAAATATTCGCCAACATCTCACCACAAGACAACCTCTTGAAGTATTTCCAGATGTAACAGAGTCTCTCGCGATGGGAGGCCTTTCGCCCTACGATATCGACTTCGTCGTTCTTTCGCATGTTCATTGGGATCACGTGGGCATGCCATCCGACTTTCCACAGTCCGAATTTGTCGTTGGCAATGGCTCACAGGATCTTCTAAGTGGGAAGCGATCCATGTCTAATGGGGGGCACAGTCATTTCGAGCCCGATTTGCTTCCAAAGGACCGAACCCTTGAGCTACCACCAACTGGGCCACCTGGTTCCCATGTAACAAAATGGAATTTTCCCTCGACACTGTTGCATCAACTACCTCCCTTTGGCGATCTTGCCTGGAGGCCCTACAGCCGGCTGCCACATACCATTGACGTCTTCTCCGATGGAAGTGTGTTGATTGTCGATGCACCCGGTCACCTCCCGGGGCATATCAATCTACTTTGTCGCGTCAGTGTTGACCCGAGGCGATACGTTTACCTCGCCGGGGATGCCTGTCATGATCGGCGCATCTTAACTGGAGAAAAGAACATCGCGGAGTGGTCAAGCCCACACTTCCCTCATCAAATATGTTGTATCCATGCTGATCGTGACCGGGCTTTAAAAACAATACGAATGATCAGAGAGCTCGAGGAAGGCAAAACCCCGCTAGGGGAAGTGGAAGTTGTTCTGGCCCACGACTCACAATGGGCGATTGCTGCGAATGAACAACGCCGATACTTCCCAGGTGCCCTCTAGAGTTTATACCAACAATATACAATATTCTATTTACTGTATCAATAAATTCCTGGTTATTTAGAGGTGTTGGATTGAGAGCCAGACACTACTCCTAATGTACGGGAAATCCGGGGGTCAGGAAACAAAAATGACAAAACCCTCTCGTTTTTGCGTAATTGCATGTATTTTACCTGTATTTTACCTGTATTTTATTTGACGCCTCGCTCGCATCGGCCTATCTCCATATCTCCAGGGCTGGGCATTCCAACATTCCCCACAAACCTGACTGAACATCCGCCACCCCCGGAAAACGTGACACATGCATATCACTTACAATTATTGACCACTTTTATCTTGGGTTGTCTCTGTGTTTTCAATCAAGGGCTTGTGGCCGTCCCGAACCTCTTTTTCCGGTGCCATGAGCTCTCCCAATCCAACCACTGAAGATTCAACAAATCAACCAAGAAAGTTCAAATGTGATACGTGCCAGCGCCTATTCAATCGTCGTGAGCATCTGCAGCGACATGAAAGCACACGTTTGTCGATCATTTCGTATTTTCGGATTGCCAGACATTCCCAGCTGATTGCGTTCTAGACAACAATGTCAAGCCATTTCACTGCACTCTTTGCAGATACTCTTGTCGTAGGAGGTAATTTGTTCCTTCTCGCAATTAACCTATCCCTTCTATGGCTGGGTTATTGACCTTCACCAAGGGACCTGCTCAATCGTCATGTCAAACTCTCCCATTCAAGGCGTGGTGCAAATGATCGTAACTATAGACGCGGCTCGTCTGAGATTGTTGAGAATACTGCGAATGGTAGGTCACTAAAACCATCATACTGCCGAATCCCGAGTGCCAGCTTACAAGGAATTAGTTCTAATACCGCAAGGATCAGCCCCTCCATATGATGCAACTACCGCTGCGATCAATACCACGCAAGATGTATTCAGCGATGCAGATTCAATGCCCGTACCACCAGTGCTGCATAATGCCAGTGAAATGGAGCCTCTCTCCCTATATAGCACTGGGGCTGAAGATACATCTGTTATCTTGACCTCGAATGCACCTCCGTTCTTGGGTATTGAAGGTGATCCTGAGCCTTTTGCCTTCAACTATCTGGACAATGTATGCCTTCCTCCTTTCTATGACCAGGCTACAATGTATCCGAATTTGTCTCTGGCAGACCCCTTCACCTCTCCTTCAATGGACATTGGCCCGTTTCCACCTGACCAAATAGAACGCACTGGACACGCCGCAGAAAGCAGTCCCCGAGTCGTCTCACAGTTGATAACTCACAACGAAAGTGACCGCAATGGGCACGCCGCTTCGTTTGTTCGGGTCTCGCAAGAAGATTGGCAATGGCTGACAGGGCAAATGTCCCAATTTCCAACTGTGATCCCAGCAGAATACCAAATGCCTTCCCGACATGCCATTTCCCGTTATCTCCATGGCTTCCTGACGGGTTTTCATCCTCATTTCCCCGTAATTCACCCACAAACTCTTTCATTTAGGGACATGGCCCCCGAACTTATTCTAGCGTTGGTTGCTGTTGGAAGCCACTATTGCCTGGAATCACACCAGGGTCTGAAATTGTTTTCCATCGCGAGGGGGATTGCATTGGAACAGCTGCGCCGGCGAGATATTGAAATGGATAGTCGCACTAACTCACTGTCACTCGATCCATCATGGCCCCTTCTACAATCACCAAAATCGTTGCCCAGTTTGAACCATCGTGAGCGCGACGAAAATGAGACGCAATCTTTCCCTGATTACCAAGGGAACCATGCCGACCTAGAAACAATGCAGGCATTGTTTTTCTTAATGGCAATGGCTACATGGGGCGGGGAACATCGCTCGCTCGTGAGACAGGCCATTGCCACCCAAAGTATCCTCGCAATGCTTGTCCGTCAACACGGCCTTTCAGAGCACTCTATTGCCCCTCGAGGATGGGAGGATTGGGCCCGTCAAGAGAGTGCCCGGCGTACAAAACTGATTATATTCTGCTTTTTCAATCTTCACACGATAGTTTTCAATCTTCCTTCCCCAATTCTAGTTGGTGATATCCAGTTGAGAATTCCCTGCTCGGAGTGGGAATGGAAAATGCAAGATTCCGCTAGCTGGATGGCTGCGCACCAACAATCGGTTCAACCACCCCTCTTTCAGGATTGTTTCACGGCTTTGCTTCAGGAGACTAACAATACCCCTACTTATTCCTCTCTTGGGGGTCATATTCTGATCCACGCCATGCTTCAACGTATTATTTCAATTCGAAATTCGACGCGATTGGAGGGAATGGAAAACGAGATGTTTCCGGGACTTTCGGCACCATTGCGACGAGCTTTGAAGAAATGGCAAAGTGGATGGGAACAAAATCCCGAATCTTCTTACAGCCCGCTTGATAAACACGGCCCTATTGCCTTCAACTCAAGGGTGAGCCTTTTTCCCCCCAATTCATATATTTTACAACGCATCATCTTACTAGAATCTCTCGTGTAGGCTCTTTATCAACTGGCACATATCCGTTTTGCAGTGGACATCGGATCGTCACGGTCACTTCTAGAACAAAGTCCTGCCCAAATCGCCAAACGATTGCTAGAGGGGCCCAGGTTACAAAGAGGCCCCCCGTCTCCTTGTTGCTGCTAGACACTCGGTATGTCCATATTCCCCGCTTGCTAGTCCACTGGCGGCCTTCTTTCTTCCCACCTCATAACGTTTCGAATCTTAGCTAATCCGATCCGGCTACAGGCTGCTGCGCTTTGCTCGCCTGTGCAAATGGGGGTGCACTTCGTTGGACGTGCACCTAGTTGGTCTGTCATGCATGCTGTTTGCTCGCTGGAATATGCGTACACTCTCAATCAATTCCTGCAAGCAACAACGCCTGAACTCCTCGAATATCCATTGGAAGAGGAGGAAAAGGCTCTACTCGCGACCGTCAAGGAGACCTTGCTAGAGGTAGAAACATCGACCCCAGGAGGTAATCCTAAGAGCATTGAGTCCGAACCACGATTACTTGGACCAAAGGTGGTAAGAGCGTGGGGGATAGTTCTGGATGGTATGCGAACCTGGAATGCTGTGTGTGTTATCACCAAGGTGCTGTTCCTTTACGCAGATTTACTGGAGCAAAATCTGTGATTTAAAGAGCGCCAGAAACATGAACATACCTAAATGATTAATGACGCTTTATAATCGTTGGAATTGTTTCTCAAAATAACGCCTGCATGTCTCAATACTTCAATAAAAACATGGACAGTGCTGATATGGCTATATTACAAGATTTAATAAGTGGGGAGACTTGGACTCCCGCCAGATGAAGACGAAAACATATATACTAAGGGATGTTTGGAGAATGTGCAGGCCCTCCATATCTTCTTTGGGGAATTTCGACCCCAACTTAATCTCCGTAGACCAAATGAGAAATGTTTGGACGATAAGAGTCTATACTACTCTTATATAGTTAAACTCACAGTACATCTTAGGCCATTGGAGAACAGTATCAACGAAGCAAAATGGAGCCGTCAATAACTTGCACTAGAGTAAGGGCGAATCATGAATGCGACACACTGAAAAGTCTATAGACTAACCAATTTCTTCATGGCAAATATACCCTTCTTTTTTCCCCCACTGCCTTAATTGCCCTAGTTCGTCTCACCCAGGAAACCCTATGGAAGGGAAAATACCTATCTATCAAAAGGGGCCCCTTGGAGGCCGTTTTAGAGTACGTCAATGTACATGGCTCAGTCGCGAGCATTCTAGATCTCCCATCTCCCATTGATCATACTGGCGTTATACTGCTGGTGATGATGGGGCTATTCTTCCGGTTACATGGTAGAGATAGGGTCAAACGGCGATAATACTAGCAGTCTTGGGTCTGGTATTTCTAGAGAATACTTAGTACCATGGACGTGGGATTACTCCGTACATACACAGTTTTATTAATTTGTATGAATGTGTATCGGAGTTTGTAAGAAACAAACCACATGTATCTTTTATATCTGAATCCCTCACAAAAGGTACATTTGACGAGCAAGTTCGGACTCTACGGACCTGGTTCTCTTGGCAAGGGCCGGATATGCATTATCCTTTTAATATACCGGGTATTCATTACCTTATCCTATTAGCCATACAAGAAAAGATATCCATCTTTTTTCAAGTGGATGCAAACCTTACTACCCCAATTATCTTATCTTCCCAATATTTCCCCAAAATATCCTATCCACCTTAGCACCTCGGTATTGCTAGACTCCCTTGAAGTTTGGTTCATGGCTTATATCCAAACCATAGTGTACGGAGTAGCCTTTCGCCAATTGTTCAGCAAAGAATATCTAGCTTTGGACTCATTCCAATATTAATTCCTTTCCCTATGGAAAGTCATAGAAAACTACCAAGTCTCTTCTCATTTAGCAAATATTTCTAAGGGTTCATGAACCTGGATATGTCGTTTTGTAAAGCTATATACAGTGCAGCATCATTCCCAGCCAGGAGTCAGGGAAGAGGATATACAAAAGAATTCAGGTATAGACACGGAAGTGCCTCCATAATATCACGTAGAGATTGTGCTCAACGAAGTCCAAGTGGCTCTCTCCAAGTATAATAGGCCAGCCACAAATATAGGGTTTCCCCGCGTTACCCCAAGTAATTACGAGATAGCGTACCCCCAGGATAGGTTCCTTCAAATGAGATAGCTAAGCAACTAATAGGGTATTCAAGTTCGAATCCCCGGTTTTGGCAAATACTTTATCTTCGTGCTATCCCCGTAATTCTCTCCTCATCCAATTTCTCATTTCATCTTCATCAAAATGTACGAACATCCATGGCATAGTCTCCCACTCCAGCTCGGCGCCTCTTTGGAGAAGTTCAACGAAGCTATCGCCCACGACGCCCAATTTCTCGCTTTCGTAAACACTGAATACATCAGTAAGCCGATTTGCTTCGCTATCAAATCGGTTGGCAGCGATGATGCAATTCTGTTCACAATCAAACAAGGCTCTGGACATGCACGTGTTGGCTTGTTCACCGATGCAATCTTCTCTCTTGCTGCCCTTCCCAACCAATGGAAACAAGTCTTTCAAAAGAACCCTGCAGCACCTTACCAGAGCTTCTGGGGTTTGTATGGACAGAACATACGCCAGGAAGGTGTAGAGGTTCTTGGCGACCAGCTGGCCTTTGTCAACTACGCCCATATCTGGAGAGCAGTATTGGATGTCCTTCATGATGCCTACTGTGGTCCGAATGATGTTTCTCCGCAGCCGGAACAAGAAGAGGACTTCTTGGTCGGACGGTATATTATTACCGACACGAAGGAATGGGGCAAGTGTAAGATCTTCTATGAGCAGAGCGGCACCGGCCCGCAAGAAATCGTCTTCCTGCACACGGCTGGCTCGGATAGTCGTCAATATCATGGGGTCATGAATGATGCCAGGATGAGAGAAAGATGTACGATGATTGCTTTCGATCTGCCTTCTCATGGGCGCAGCTTCCCTAGCCCTGCTTATGCGGTCGGTGGGCATTCCAGCTCCGAGGATGCTTATTTGCATTGCATTGCGGCTGTGATCAAATCACTCAAGCTTAAGTCACCTATCCTCTGTGGAGCTTCTATGGCTGGTCAAGCGTGTATCGCTGCGGCTATTCGTGCAGAAGAGATTGGGGTCTACGGTACAATCCCACTGCAAGGGTAAGTAACCACCTACGCAATTACGTCTGTCGATCTATTCTTTTTTTATTCTTTCTAATCTCATTCATAGGTGCGAGAGAGTTGAGATGCATCGCGAATGGCATGATAAATCTCCCGTTATCGACAGCGCCACCTTCAACCCAGAGTGGGTTTACGGCGTATGTGTCCATACAGATAGATCCCTTCTACACCTGATTTGGGTTAACCTGATATTCTACAGATGATGTGTCCCACAGCGCCACTCGTGAATCGAAAGCTTCTTTGGCACACGTACAGTTCCCAGGCCTACGGTATCTATCACGGTGATCTGGATTTCTACTTTAACGGATGGGATGGCCGTGGAAGAGTGGAAACAATCGACTCCAAGCGGTGCCCTATATTCTTCCTCACTGGTGATTACGATTGGAGCAACACCCCAAAGATGTCTGAAGAAACTGCACGGAAAATTCCTGGGGCAAAGTACAAGACTATGCCGAATCTCGGCCATTTCCCTGCCACGGAGAACCCTCAGATATTTGTGTCCTATTTGCTAGAGGCTATTGATCATATTGCCTCTACAATTACACTTTCTGGATAACCATTAGAGATAGTGTACAAAATAAAACCAAATCTCTCAAATTTACGTGTCTGAATTCAACAGTGATCAGTAGGATCAAATCTGAGGTCGTAGAAATACAAATGAATTTGCATCTTCGGCTTCAGATACAACAATTTAGTATAAGGAGGAAAAGAATTTCACTAGGTATATTTGTGTAGATAGCTCAATTTCCAGATGTATAGATCATTGCTTTTACCTCGATGAACACTCGACAACACCATGAAGATCTTATCTCCCAAGTCCGAATTACATACATTAAAATTTTAGAACTGTTCAAGACTGTCTATTTTCCCACCTATTGGCAAAGTCTACGGTAGTACTCATGTCATGCTCAACCATGCATGGAGTAAAAAAGGATTTCTCTAGTGTCCATTTTGGATATATCCCCAAATTTCCCCAACCTCCAGCGGGGCTGGTTGATTTCCCCAAAATCTCAGCAAGTCACCATCATTTCACCCCCCCCCGGGGCAATCGAGAACAATATACCATAGATTCCAAAGAGATCCATACATAATACACTAGAGTTACTACTCATTAACATTTTGGGGGTCCCCACATCCCTAAAATGAAATGCAATGCGACTTGTTCGCATATTAATATGAGTCTGTGCAAGGTAAAACAAGGCTATTATTCCCCCAATCCAAAGATTCTGCGTCTTTCGCCTTTTTGAATTCAAACGAGGACTTTCAAATTATCATCCTGGTCCGGAATATCTTTTTTCATCAAGATGAGATTCACCAATGTAGGCTTTATTGGCCTTGGGGCTATGGGCAAGCACATGGCGGAACAACTTGCGACAAAGCTACCTGACGCTGCAAAAGTCTTCGTGTTCGACGTGGCAAAGCCTGCTGTTGAAGAACTGGTAGCGAAATACCCCGGTAAAATCATCGAATGCACGTCACCTAAGCACGTAGCAGAAAATTCGGTATGTACTCTGGCCCTTGCGTATGGTTAAAGGGCATTTCAATAAATAAGATAAATAAACGGACAAAACACTGATATATAGAACAGGAAGTTATTCTTTCCATGGTCCCAGAAGGTGCCCATGTGAGATCTGTCTACCTCGATGAAACCAGCGGTGTGGCAGCTATTGATCTCGAGAAACGTATTCTCATTGATTGTTCTACCATCGACCTCGCCACAAGTCTCGCAGTCAAGCAATATATTATCGAGCGTCACCCATCCGCATCATTCTACGACGCTCCTGTCAGTGGCGGCACACTTGGAGCAGCCAAGGGAACTATTGCTTTCTTCCTTGGTTGTGTCGAGAGTGACCCGCTATTCACCACTCTCACAGAACTTCTCAGTCTAATGGGCTCGAAGATCATTGCCTGTGGGGGCCCTTCACTTGGGCTGTCTGCCAAGTTGTGCAATAACTATCTTTCCGGTCTGATCGCAATTGCTAGTGCTGAATCTCTCAATATGGGTATCAAGGCAGGACTGGACCCCCGGGTTTTGTCAAATGTCTTTGCGGCAGGCACGGCTCAGAATAATGTCTGTGATCGTTTTAATCCTTGTCCCGGCGTTGTTCCAGATGCTCCTTCGAGCAATGGGTACCAAGGTGGTTTTAAGGTTCAGTTGATGAAGAAGGATATCTCGCTTGCAGTGGATTTAGCTGGTAGTGTGGGCGCTACACTCGCCTTGGGACAACGAGGGCTCGAGACATATCAGGCTGCGTCTAATGATCCTGAATGTGTTGACCGTGATTCGCGTGTGGTTTTCCGGTATATCGGGGGTGATGAGAACTGGGCACAGAAATTCCAGTGATGAAGCTTTGAATTCGTTGTATAGAAGCTGCTTCTTTAAAGAAGCAGATTTTAGTGGCTTTTACTGTTATATCTATTTCCTGGATCCAATATCCACCCCAAATGTACTCTCTTGGGTCTTGCCCAAAGGTGTTGTGTTGCCTCAGGCGTCAACCCCTCAGTTAATGTGTAGTCGGCAGATCACTCTCCATAGAAATCAACTCTCTCCTTCCACGCGTCTAGGCCCCTACATTTGTAGTAGCCTCTCAACAAAAGATTTTACTCAGCAAAAGCAGGTGTCGATGCGAACACGGTACCCGATCAGAAATTAATGCCTTACAATTCGGGCGTGATCGAACATTTCCCTTCTTTTTCAACTTCCCTGGATTTCTCGACACCTCGAGGCACCTGTAGGCGATGATTTTCCGTTTCGACAACCTCAGTCCTACTTCCTGATTGCGCATCGTCCGTTCCTGAAATTTCCGTGACACAGATCTCGCCATGTTGCCAAACCTTTTGACGAGTCAGTATCTTCAATACAAAACAGATACTGAAATCGTAGCCACATGGCTGGCAAGAACTGCAAAGCAGTGTGGGCTTGACGTGGATCAGGACAGTCAAGAGCCTGTGAAAAAGGCAAAACCGGCGGCAGGTCGCCTCAAAGGGAAAGCTAGAAAGGCTGCCAAAGCTCCATCAAATCCAACCCCGGCCAATGAGAACAACAAAATTCCAAAGAAGCCAAAGTACACCATCACCGTTAAGCAATTCACAAGCTTTGCGGAACATATCGCCAGGCACAACAAACCCCCCGTTGGGCGTGTGGAGGTTTCCCGAGGCTTCAGTCTTGCCCTTGACCGTGCCATTTCTGCGCGCCGCGAATTCGCAAAACATGGAATTGAGAAGGTGGACGAGGCTGCCGAGGAAGGCCATGAATTCTTCGTGAACGTCCTTGTGCGGGTCCGTGAAACCCTACGCCCACTAATGCTCAAGAGACAATCGGATAGCCCAGGAGTCGAAAAGTATGAGAAGCCACTCGCCAATAGATTCGAGCATCTCGAATTGGAAGAACAATCAGAAGCCTTCCTCAATGCACCTGATGCTCCTAAGCCAGCGGCACCAGAGAAATCTACAGGCCCTTCAGCTCCCGATGTCAAAGCGGAAGCCGACCTCGAAGCCGAGGTTGATCTTGACCGCCGTGAAATGATTTTCATGTTCCACCTCTTGCTCCAGGATGCTAACGCCTTCATGGATGTGATCGAGAAGACATGGAGGGGATACAAAATTGGCCTTGTGGGCCTTGTACCGGCAGCTTTGACTACCAACACCGCTATTGATCTCCTCCGTCGTATGGAAGAGGAAATGAAGCCTTCCCTTGATAAGGTTGGCGGTGTTGAAATACTTCTTGAGGCGTATTACGCTGCCCGCTGTTTCCAACTTGGGGAACATCCCGACTACAAAGAAAGGCCCAGTGATGCCCTTAACTTCAAAGTTTACGGTCAAACGCAATACCTTTTTCTCACAGCCTGGCAGCTTCTCCGATCTTTCACGGCAATATGCAACCCGCATCACGTTCCAGTTTATAAACCGGGCATTTGTGGAACCTATTACCCTAAAAGCGACCGCGAGTTGAAGCCACCAAGGGAGAAGTTCGATGAAGATACGCAAATCTTAATGGAGGCATTTCCCGAATTTTACCTCCTCGGATTCCGTGGTAGGGAGAACTTTGCCGAAGACGAGCTATCGCGTGGTCTCAAGGCAGCTTTCACTACTAAAGAACATCCGTTCTGGCTGGTGTTTGCCGTGCAAGTCTTCCTAAACATCCATCATGTCCTACGTGATGAGGTTTCTCGGGCATTCTCCGAGCTGCAACGAAGCGCGCTGGCTATGAGCCATTCTATCAAGTCGATTTTAAGATGCACGACAAGCTCCGCGTTGAGAACTGGCCTCGGGAAAACGATAGAATATTGCGAGAAATCCAAGCGGACATGGATTATTGGTGCGCAACAGATCCATTGCAGGCCGAAAGGACACGCCTAGGTCAACCTACTGGGGAAAAATTCCGTCTTTTCCAATGGCATCCTTTGTTCTGCGGCATGTTACTCTACAGCTTCAAAATGCTGTATCAAGAGGCGGGGATTGTTTTTGTCGGGGCCTGGGGTTCCGTATTGTACTCGCTTCATCTGTACAACGCTCTACGACAGGAGAATCTGTTGGCAGGGCGATGGGCTGATCTGGACATTTTGCAAGCGATACACCCAGAACTCTGGGTTGGCGGGCTCCCACGAACCCCAGATGAGTACATCAAACGATTTTGCCTACGTATGGGATACTCCGTGGCAACCCTTGCTAAGAACCGTCGAGATCAACCACTCCGGGGCTCGAAGAACGGGCCCAAAGGCCTGATAGAGCAGGGATCCGTTTCTCTCATGTTTAAGCAACGCTTTTGCTATGGCTCCAAACAAACTGACATGACACGGGCAGATCTACAAACCATTGTGGACAAAGCCAAGTGGGGAGCAAATACTGATGGGGACAGCCCCTATGACATTATAAAAGACGTTAGGAACCCCTCACAGAAAGGTCAGGGCCATCAATCCCACGGATCTATGTCCGCAGAAACATTGCTTCTCAAACTCCGGCTCGCCTTGCAAGGCGAAGAGCCGGAGATTACATTCGACTATTTCCTAACGCACCGGACCTGTTGGCTCCTTCTGACTAATATCAAGAAGGCTTGTGCAGACCATCTTTGCAAACTCTTCGGGGCGGGCTGTATTGAGCACGAGAGCCAATTGGCCTGGATGGTTGGGTATATTTTCTTTGCGGCAAGTGGTGTCGACCAAATAGCGAATCTGGCCCCCAAGAAGCTGCCTGGCCAGGTGACATCCAGGCTGATGGTCACCGCTGCTGCAGTTCTTGATTCCATGTTGGCATCCGGAATGGGAACTCTGACGTGTAGAAGTCTGCGTGAGTCCCATGGTATCCACATCAGCGAGGGCTCTGATTCGGAATGAAACGCGGAAACTGAGTGAGTGTGGGCTGAGTTGAGTCGCCCATACTACGATGGGGAAATCAAGCTGTCTCTGTGTCATCCCTCTCTGCAAACCAGCTGTGTTAATTAAGTTCGATACTCCTTAGCAGCTGATGGGTGTTATCCATGCATATTTAAAGGAAAAGGTAATATCATAGTCCGACTATTTTACTGTTAGTGAATTGAATACTGGCATTCCCGGAGCCTCCGTCTAGTGACCTAGCTTACAAGCCTCTGGAGTCTATATTCCAACTTCGACGTAAAATCATTATGGAGGTAGCGGGGGCAGCTCCTATTCAAGAGCTGAGTCTTTGGAGGGTGGCATCACTGGGGATTTTGATGTGGGATGTCCGTCCTTTGATACCTGAGACGGAAGCGACTGGGAGGCATCGAGCTCATAAACTTTAGAGTCAACATCCCCAGAATACAACTCGAAAATTTGATGACCAGGTCCCGCATCCAATTCGGCAAGCTTTGAGGGCTCTTCAGCCCCTAGTTCAACCGGCTCCTTGTGCAGATCAGGTACATGCGCAGGCATCTCAACGACCTCTTGATGATTATCGTAAGCAGGATAACCAGCTATAGAGGCCACTGGTGACACATCGCCCTCATCCCCGAACTTAAACCTGTCCGAATTCAGAAGTTGCATGAGAGGCTCTGCATCAGGCGGCGGATCAACCTTTCCACTAAGAAGCTCCTTGGCCGTCAACGTAACGCCATACATCTTCTTATTCACCTCGGGCCGTTCTCCGATCATCCCGCCCTCAAAGGACTTCCCACCAAAGATGCCCCGTGACTTCGAGTACGCAAACATGCCCACCATTCCTTTCGAGCTGATCGCACCACTCAGCTCCGCGCTTCGTCCGTACGGACCTAATGCAACGGAGACACTCTTACCGAGGGTGACGGACCCTGATTGGGTGAATGTTTTGACAGCTTGCTCACTGTTCAACACGAAGACAAAATCCGTCATTTCAAAGCCTAGCTGCGTGCCGAGACCGATGCCGCCCATTGCCATAGCTGACGGGGCGGACCAGGTGCCGTCTGGAAGTCGCGCGACAATGAGGCCTGATCCGAAGCGCATTGAAGCTACGGCGCCTGCTTTCACGACTGTGAAAATCACTAGGGCCTGTTGGATAATAAAAATATTAGATACGATTATATTTTCATTCTTGGAGACGAGTTGTGAACCTTTGCACCCGAGAGGATTGCGCGTGGGATGCCTAGTTCTGGCTCCTCTAACTTCGATTTCGATTTGTTCCATTTTTTGGGCTTCACGAATGAACTAAGAATCTTCTCTGCTTTCTTGCACTCGTCTGAGATAGTTGGATTATTTATTAGTCTTACCCCGCAGCCATATAAAGTGGGACACCTACTGCACAGCGAGGAAGACATTGGGTTATCAAACTGTTTCTGCATGGTCTATTTGCTCTCCGCTATATTTGGAATCTTGGCGGGGAAGATTTAGACGTTTGTCACTGCGCGGCGATTGGCTGTTTCTCCTGACGGGGCTTGCTTAAGAAGCTTAACTGATCAACGACGATAATTTGGTGATGGCAAAAATTTGAGGGAATTATTTGCATCGAGAGATTCGTGGGTGGGGAGGGGTTAAATCTGGCCAGTTTGAAGCAGTGAATGGACAGGGGATGATGGGGGCGGATTTTTATAGGCAAGGCTGCTGCCGATCTTAAGTTGGTGTTGTCAATGACTTCGTGGCAGTTTATCTGATACATACATTGTCGTGTTTATGGCCAAAATCACACCAGATTATTCCGTAGAGATCAATATGAGTTTCGGCTTTTAAATTCTAGTTGATGCTTAAGCTTGTCCGCCACACTTGTATCTAGAGTCGACCAGAGCTTTCTTTAAAATTGATTATTTATCTAGAGTGCACTGTCCACATCTACATCTACGTGACATCCTCACAGTTCATAACTATATTCTCTGGTACTCCTAGGACACCTCTTTTCCCACGACCACGGTGTAAGACGAGGGGAAGTGATTATAACTAGTGACTACCGTCCTCTTCAACCCCACTAACAATCTCCCAATCTCTCAACTATCACTCCACTCAGCAAAATAATACAAAATAATGATACAAAACGTTCCAAAAGAACGACTCTTTTCCCATTTTTTGCTTGACAACAGCGGTCGATTGTCAGACAACAATCACTGGTTCGAAATGGTAACCCAGAAATAGAGGTACTTCAGCAGAAGGTAGAATTATCTAGCTTCGGCTGCTCACCACTATAGCCGCAGTAGCCATCTTCACTAACAAGTCAAGTGGTTGAAAGGATCCAGCAGTGGTGTTGGGTTATTGTTGCCATCAAGTAGATAAGAGTTGCACACATTGTTGTCTACATGGCTGGTGATCTGATTGCCAGTGTTCCAAAAGATTTTGTGGATCCATTCAGTTGACTGTCCCCAGGCATAGATTTCTTGCATGAACTTGGTCGTCTTGTCCCAGGGGGGCGGATTCGGGCAAGATGTCGTTCTGTTTCCCGGTCCAATCTCGGTAACCCACAAAGGCTTATCGTTGAACTTGTTGTGGAAAGTGTTTATCTCCGCTTTGGCGTCCTCGACGTTTCCTCGATAGATATGAACGTTGTATGCAGCGAAGGAGTCTTTGCATTGGCATGCGTTGAAGAACTCATCAAGCCAGGAGCTCATTTGGGCGGCTGGCACCGGTGCGATGAATTTCGTATGGTTTCCAGCTGACGCCAACAACGGTTTGATAAGAGCAGAGGCGTCTTGGGGAGTCAAAACCACTTTGCCGGTGTGATAATCATGGTCGGGCTCGTTGAAGGTGAGCAGGTAGTCTGGTGGGTTTGGGCCGTTGACCGCGTCGATGGCCTTCTGCACAGCCTCCTTGTTGTTTCCCAGCATTGGAATCTGCTTAGTCTCGGTTCCAAATTTGAAAGTGAGCCAGTTGGAAGCACCAGGCATCTTGGAGAATTTCTCGGGGAATTGGGACGAGTTCTGGGGCCCGTTGAAGACAACGTTCACAAGTCCATTCGAGCAGGCTGCCGCTGCCCCTTCAATGGTTGACATAGCGTGTATCGCCATGGGCAGGACTAACGACATTCGCGAAGTGAAGCGCATCTTGAATTTCTTTCAACAATGGTGTCTGATAGGTACTTTCGTATTGGATTCGTGATTCTAGTCGGTTTTGTACGATAGATAATGCAGGCTTTATACTTGATTCAAGAGGTAACTTGGACAATTCAGGCCACCCAGATGAATCACCCCCCCTATACATTGGTAGGTAGCATTTAAGAATATCCTTTCTTATTCCAGAGCCCGCTCCAGCCAAAATTCCCAGATTCCCCTGTCACTCAGCCCATATCTCGCTTCAGTCAGGACGCCTAAGGCCGTTTATAACCAGGATACCTAAGGCCCTCTATCACTCTTGCCACTGCAAGGTACCAATTCTTTGTCCTCTGGACTAGTAGATAATCAATGACTACTCGAGCTAGCCAATCATATCAGGTGCATCGCCGTCCCGCCGACTTATTTAAGAATGAACCGGGACGCCTAAGCAGCTAAGGTTACCTGGCGCACCACCTGCATTAATCGTGAAGGAATAAAAAACAACCCTGGACTAGCTAGACTCAATGTCACGCGCACTTCCTAATACCCAGGCACCCCCGAAGTCTGATGTCGCACGTGGTTGGCCTGCAACGAGAAAGAAAAAGCTTGGCACGAGACTTGGCTGTCTCTCGTAGCCTCAACTCAGCCTTCAAAGACACTTATGCATATTCCCTGTTATACCATATTCCCCAGGCCTACGATCAAGGTTCCTTTCTTGTTTGTTGGCTTATATTAGCTGCGGTGATAGTTAAGGTGCTTATCACATGCACGTCACTGTTCCTGGCCATTCTATTGGCCCTAAAAACCCGAAATTCCCTCTCATTATTTTAACACTGGAAAATTCAATAATCAATCTCAACTACCTAGAAAATTCTAGTGGTTCGGTTTTAGCCAGAATATAGGGCAGTTCTTGGCGTCGGCATAATGCCTACAAGCTTCCTACGGCGTAATTTATACTTCTTACCTCACACTAGCAATACTAACCCACTACTAGAAACAACTAGTAAATTACCAACTGCAAATCCGGCAACTTAATGATCTAAGGACTATCCCGAGGTCGTGCCGGGAAAGACGGTCGTTTCTGGCGCCAATGGTGATCGTTTCCAGCGTCATTTTCGGAAGTCTTCATATTTCAGTTGCAATGCAAACCAGTTAAAATCCAAATCTCCCTCGTAAACGCCTGCAAAACTTGACCCAAGCTATCTCGATTCGATTTGTAATATTCCTGAACTAATCCAGTCTTGCCATCTCCCTGTGTTTCGTATGGGTGACTCCGATAGTATGGCGGAGGGTTCTCCATAGTACTTGTATAGCCCATTGACTGCTGCTGAATCGACCCGGATTGTGCTTGTGGCTATTTCTTATATATGGGTTTGATTTATGGGAATGTGCTGATTCTTCACTCTTTATTCTTTGTGGACTAGCCTCTGTATGTATATACTCTCTGGGAGAGATCCCGCTCAGCGTTTGGCTTCGAGTTCTTGCTTCAGCTGGATGAAGTGCCTGCATAGTCATACATATTGAAGCCATCATATTTAGGTCACTCTTGACCACTCGAGACTATTTCCAAAGGGCCCATATTGAGATTGTAAATAATCTACAACATAATTCCGACGAGGCTTCCACAGCCCACAACTCCCTGCCAAAGGCATTTCCTTCTGGCCGGCGACCATGTAGGTCGAGTTCAAATCCCAGATAGGACTCAGCGGCCCTGGTTCTCTGGGTTGATTACAACGAGGAGTAACTTTGGCGAACTGGTTTGTTCGCAGGTGGGTGATCGATCGGCATGCAAACAAGGCCGTTAGGTCCGTTCCCATTGTCCATGACGCCGTTGTGAGGTATCCGAGCGCGAAGAATGCGTTGGGTACATCCTGTAGCATCATGCCGTTCCAAACTAGTTTCTCCGGGATATTACATCGATTTCCATCCACTTCCAGGACAACACCCCCACCAATCTGGAGTTTCAGTCCTGTTGCGGTGACAATAACATCGGCTGGGATGTGCGAACCATTGTCAAGCTTAATCCCATCCGGTGTACATGTATCAATGCTCCCCGTCTCGACGTTCACTCGACCGCTGTGCAGACTGCAGAAAAAGTCTCCATCCGGACAGGCCAATAGACGTTGGTCCCAGATGCGGTATTTAGGCTCAAAGTGAGGATTGGGGGGAATGTGATCTGGTAGCTGTTGGCTGGCGAGCCGCACAAGATAATCTCTCGCTGCGCGAGGAAATTTGCGACAGAGATAATACCCCACCAATGTCACTGCAAGCCACCCTACTCGCTTTAGCATGTAAGATATCGAGTCTGGTAGCATACGGATCACGACGGAGGTTTCACCGCTAGACGGGATAGAGAGGATGTAGTTGGGGCTCCTTTGAACCATTGTCACGCTAGCGGCCGTTTGGGCGACTTTAGGGATGAGCGAGATTGCCGTTGCGCCACTCCCTATGACGACCATTCTTTTTCCAGAGTAGTCAATCTTCTCCGGCCAGAATTGGGGATGCACCACAACTCCCTTATAGTTGGCGAGTCCAGGGATCTCGGTTGGTAGTGGAGTGTTGTGATCAAAATATCCAGTGGCGAAGAGAATGAACTTGGCGTGGAAGCGACGCTCCATTTCACCGGTAACGACGTTAATATTCCAAATACTCTTTGCTGAACACCAAGCTGCCTTCGTAACTCGGTGGTTACAGCGGATGCGGTCGGTAATGCCAAATTGCGTCGCTGTTTCCTCTATATACTTGAGAAGATTCTTGCCACAGAGCATAGTCTCATCGCCTTGATAGGGATGCCATGCAAACCCGAATGTGTGGATGTCAGAGTCAAGTCGTACGCCGGGGTAGCGAAAGAGATCCCAAGTGCCGCCGCAAGAATTACGCCCTTCGAGTACGAGGTATGTAAGATCTGGGAGGGATGCTTGGACACGATACGCCGCATTGATCCCAGTAATGCCCGCACCAATGATAATAATGTCATAATATTCTGAAGTGGACATATTGAAGTGCAAGTCAGAGGAGAAACAGGATTCGGCAAAATGAAAGCACTGGCCATTACCTGAAGTTCTAGAGGATATTAGAGGCGATAAAGGAGCAAGTGAATTCAGTTTAGCTGATGCCGCTAGAGCGTCGACCAGGATCGCCCAAATCTCCACCACGATCTCTCAACATACTATTTCCATTTGGCGATCACTCATACGACCGCAAAACAGCCCGACCCCACCATTGATGCGGACCACAATTGCGTCCAGATCTAAGGCTCAAGGTGCCAGTCTAGCCAAGAAAATTAAATTCCCCCACCCATCTCATGGGCCAATATGCGACATAGTCATGATTGGTTCATAAGCGAGGGTGTAGAGCTAGGCCCATTGCCCACTGGATTAAGGAATCTTGTCGCAGTCGACTAAGCACATTGGGAGGCAGCGTGATGCGGATGTCCCACAGGGAATCAATGGACGATGAAGACGCTGGTAGCATGCACACGGTGCCTTCAATCCTATTATCCGGACTATCAAAGCCAATTACTTTACCGAGAACAGTCCCAAAGTCGAGATCATAAATTGGCATCCGGCGGAGACTTGTCGACGTGACGTCTCCTTGCTTGAATTGAGGACGCCAATCGAGCACGCGCTGCTTCTGCCGCAGGAGTGACTTGACACTTAGATCGGTCACCTGCATTGATGCATCGTGAATCTTTTGGGCGAGGTGCGTCAGCTGGACCAGCTCGTTCTGTTCGAGCGTCGATGGTACTAGCACCGATTTAGTATCCGTAGTCGCCACCTGCTGTACTATGGCATTCCCCAGATAGGAAGCAGGGAGAGCAGGCATCAACTTTCGACGAATCTCGCTTATGAGGATTATAGAGCTTTTTTCACCCCTAGAGTCGATACTTTGTGACGCATCTGAATGCGATTGAGCCAATATGATAGATCTCCATAGAAGACCTGAGATAATGTCATTGGACGACAAATGCTTTCCAGTTGAGTTCATAGCACCTGCCGAGACCTGCGCATTGCAAGAATTCTGAAGGGATCGGACTCTGCGGGGCAGGAGTGTGAGTCGGTAACTGACCAAATTGACTCGCAGGTCAAAGTCAGCCATGCGGACGTTGCTCTCGTCCTCTCGTTGGAGGTCAGCACAAGGGCTGATAGTCGGCATCTGGGCCAAGCAACGTCGACCCTGGAGGAGGCCGGACTCTAGGTCGATTCCCAGGTGGGAGCGATTCGGATCTCGACAGAGGTGGGCCAATGTTTGCTGTATCATGTAGAAGCCACCTGCATCCAGGGCAGAGTGATGGAAAGACACGGCGACAACTATTCCGTCCCGCATGACATTAGCCTGCCAGCGGATGATCGGACAGGGAAAATCAGTGGCCAGTGATAATGGGAGTGCGCGATATGCGTTATCGAACAGACCGTCACCCGGATCTCGATCGGTGACGGATTGAGTCTCATGCAGGCGGACCCGCAGTAATGGATACTGAGCAAATGTGTATATCGAAGCCGGCTGAATCTCAAGGACATTCTCCCTGGCGGCGTCATTCGCGCTGGACCGGCCCACATTGCATGCAAGAAGTGGACACTCTTTCACCAGACGCTCGAGGGCTTCATCAAGGACCTCGACACCTTGGCTCGGATTCTTCACCGACAATGAGTAAAAGAATGTGATGTAGCATATGGGCATCATGTGATCGATTGGCGTGAGGGTCATTGGGATAAAGTGGGACGCCATGATTTCTGGGATTAACTGGTAGCCGTTGAAGAGTGACGAGCGAATGCAGTGGATTGAGCTTGCCAGAGTCCGCGACACGGGTCTCTTTTAAACTACCAACGGAATGATGCTGACAGTCATCCTTTCGACAAATCGTGACGGTCCAGAGCCTACTACAAAGGGAGAATGGCTTGATTGATACAGCATTTCCAGGATACGCGCGAACCCCACCCGCTTCATGTTGAATCCGATTACTTTAATTTGAAAAGTTGACAAACATTGTTCTCCTTACATCAAGGGCCCGACTTTAATCGGTGAGCTAGAAAATGGAATATGCATATGCACTAGAATCTCCGCCCCACGTAACATCATATAGACCGTTACCAGAACTCCACCTTTCCTTCAACGGATCGCAGTAGAATCACAACGCACAGTTCACAGATTTGAGACACTGAGCAACCTCGTCCCACAGTTTTTCATGCCAAAAAGGACCTGCTGGCGCAGAAGCAAACCGGGAAACCCTAATTGGTCAGCGTGCGCCTTATTAGAGTTTGGGGAACACCACTTACGGGGCAATGCCGCCTTGGCTGTAGTAGGTGTCTTCAGGACGAGAAGAACGACAATCGCGTTCTTCAAGAACAGCGGTCAAGATCATTCGGGCCCCATCGAGACAAGATCGTGCAAAGCACCAGGTAAGGACGTTGGTCGGACCCGACTGAACGTGCCGAAATAGGTTGCTCTTACAGAGGCCAGGAGAGGCGAGCACGATGGAAACATTTTCCGGGTCCACACGGCGAGCAAAAGCCATCGCCCACAAGAGGCCGAATAACTTCGACGAGTAATAATGCGTGTAGTGATTAAAGACGCCCGGAGGGGACTGCGAGTCAAACTGAGCCAACATCCTCTCGTCGCGCCTGAAGTTGGTGGGAATCATGGCATGCCCTTCAGAGGTAACAAATACCATTCGGGCAGGTCGTCCTATTCCAGATCGCAAAAGAGGCTGCAGCGAGGTGGCCAAAAAGGCATTGGCCAGCACATTAACCTGTCACAACTTGCCTAGTTATAGGGTGGTCGATATGCTTTGTCTCATGGTGAAAGCCGACAACGACATACCTGAAGCGTCATATCTAGTCCATCCGCCGATGCTATCCATTCGGCGCACCACACCCCGGCGTTAAACACTACTATATCAAAAGTGAGCCCATCACGGTGTAGCTCGGCAATGAAGGTACGCATCGACTCAAAGCAGCCGAGGTCACAATTTCGCACAGATATTTGAGCTCCGGGAACATCGTTAATGATCGTATCTCTCGCTTCTCTCCCTTTGGTAATGGAACGCACCGCCATGACCACCTCGGCGCCGCGAGAGACCAACATTGACGTTAAGTAGTAACCGACCCCCGAGTTACCCCCTGTCACCAATACCCTCTGTCCGTCGAGACGAACTGGAGGTGGATCGGGGATGGCCCAGAAGAGCTGTCGGAAGAGAAACGCAGCCAGCCCATCATAGTAAGGAGCCATGTTTGAGGATCTGTGCTTGGAAAGTGACCGATACCCGAGAATAAAGAAAAAAAAAAAGTTAGCAGTTCTTAAGGGATTGCGACGACTGCTTGAAGTCGAACTGCATCCGATGATCTTCTAATATCCTAGACCGACTCGGACAGTGTGTCTAATGTGTGATCTACACACCATACATGGCACCTTGTGCCTTGCCCATTTTGTTGAATGCGTCGGGTTCACCAGTGAATAAAATAAACTTTCGTACGTGGCACCTTGTGCTTTGCGCATTTTGTTGAATGCATCGGATTCACCAGTGCATAAACTAAACTTTCGTACATGGACCTCGTGGCATTGGAAGTTCATATGAGTTGATCTCCATACCTGAAATCGTACTTAATCCGGTTTCACGTTGTCCACTCGATGCACATTGGCATCAGAGACCTATTAAACTCCACCAAACATAATACTATGACTCGAGAGCCAGTAGTGGACGCGTTGTAAGTCTACATCGTCTTCCCATCCAGCTCCTGTGCGCATCAACTAATTCTCAGCGGTGGGCTCTAAGGATTACTGGATGGGCCGTCATGGTAGACGAAGTGCAGTTGACCATAGCCCTTTTACGCAGTAACTGGACTGCTCATTGTGGCAACTCAGTGGCGTGTCTGTTGACTCGTTTTTTCAATGCCAGTCTCGCTCCCAAGCATCTCAGAGGGCTGCTTCCGGGCATGACAATCATCACATTCGCCTTTTCGTACTCTTTTGACATTGCCAATCAAGCCTTTTCCGTTGAGGAAGATTCGATCAACAAGCCTGATCGCCCAATTGTCTCAGGGAGACTCGACATTAAAGGTGCCTATGTTCGCTGGTTCCTAAGCTGGATCCTGTTCCCCGCGTTGATCTATTTGATGGTTGACAGCTCCGCTGCCACGATCCTCATCCTGTGGGAGCTTTGGGTCCTGGTGTTCTATATCTGGCCCAAGGTGGATCATTGGATTGCGCGCAACGTTTTTACAGCCTTGGGTGCCGTTCTTCAGCTCAGTCTTCTCGATGCGTTTCTTACAGAAGCCCTACCAGACTACCAGGTCGATACTTCCCTCACATGCCTCCTCTTCTCCTGGCTCGTGATGACAATCCACGTTCAAGAGTTCCATGACATGGAGGGCGATCGCGCCACAGGTCGCCGTACTCTGCCGCTGCTGCTTGGCTCCCGAGGCCAGCTGGTGCTCCGAGCGACGACTGCCACCATCATAGCCGGTACGGCGGTGGCCAACCTGCTACGAGCTAGCATGTATCCGGGCCGAAATATTCACAGTATGCCCGCCGACATGATTGGCCTGGCTGGATGTCATTTAGCCTCTATGATGGTCGTTGCTATTCGTCTCATCACCATGCGTTGGAAAGAAGCTGATAAAGTCACCTACAAGTATTGCTATACCCTCGCGACATACATTATGTTGCTCTTTCACGCGAGTATTGAGAAACTCCCGATTGAGGAAAATACAGGATCGTATAGGTCTTGAATGCATTAAATCTCACTCATATGCCCCAGAAAAAACTTTGTCATATACACCTACCAATGAAATCCAGAATGATAGATCGCAGATGCACATTGAATTAATGATCAGATATCCTTCACCCCCTTGGGACTATGTGCCATATCCACCCCCATGAGATGCCGCGCCCAGCGCTGACATTGCGGTGGAAGCATATCGTATCCGCAGACCCAAGAGGCATACATTGGCAACCGAAGAATACTACTACCTTTGTCCTGACCAAGGCGGCGGACAATCTGTTCCGCCACGTACCGGGGACAGAGGACGGGAGCCAGCGATGGGTTGGGCGGGTTGATCCAACTAAATAACGGAGTGTCCATTTGTCCCACCTCGACGAGGACAAATCTCACTTGATCATCCACTGCTTCCAAACGAGCCTCCGCCTCAAGACAGTGATGAAGGGCACTCAATCCGGCCTTGCTGACTACGTAATCAGATAATCCGGCAGGATAGAGGTGCGCCACCACCGAGCTTACAGTGACGATGGTGACGCTCCGCTGGTTAGAGACGGCCCGGTTCAAAATTGCACGAGTGGTATTCACCGAGCCCAGGAGATTAATTGCGATGGTTTGCATGAACTTGTCGTTGGAAAGATCTGAAAATGGTAGTTGGTTGATTTTCGTTGCGGCGCAGTTAATTAGGGTCTTCGGGGGTCCAAGCTAATGAACGTCAGCCACGGGGAAATAGTCTCTCACTTGCTCCATTCTCCCCTTCATTCCACTTACCTCGGATTCAACCCGGTTCAACGTCATCTCCACGTCTTCGCTGTTGGAGACATCGCATTTGTAGTATCGGGTCGAGGAAGCGCACGCGCCATCCTCGTCTTCGTCTTTGATATCCAGGATGGCCACTCGCGCGTCCGCAGCTATATATAACTGCGCAAGTTCGTGACCAAGCCCGCTTGACCCTCCTGTAATCACGACAACTTGGCCCCGTTCATGGACGAGCGACGGCGAAGGGCGACGGCGATTCCGCCTCATGATGAAGAGGCCAGAGAGAACTGCTGCTGCTGCTGCTGCTGCTGCTGCTCCTAGCGCATGGTATTTTCTCATAGTGAATGAGGGATGGTAGGGGCTGTCGAGACGATCACCTGAGGGTACATACATCTCTTGTACGACTCACCTAGATCTAGATGCGAACCATGGAACCAGACCACAGACTCATGGCATCGGAGGCGCAAGGCAAAAGAATCAATATTGCGGTGTAGAACAGAATGCAGATCAGTGAACGTGTATGTAGTATCATACTATGTTTTGACAAAACTCTATTTGTGGCTGCTGCGGTGTAAAATAGTATGCAGATCAGTGAAGGTATGAGGAGTTTCATGCGGTCCATGGATGTTTTTACGAAACTTTATTTGCGGCTGTTGCAGTTAATCGGATCCTAAACTCTGCCCTCGAATTCCTTTTTGAGTCTAGGATCTTGTGAAAAAAATGGGAATATTTTGTTACCCGATAGCGCCTCTACAGAAAGCTGCGAATTTATCGCTGTTATTCATCGACAGTCAATCATTCCGAGCAAGAGTACCACAGTCACCCTAACTATTTCATGCGTTGCTATCAATTCCCTGATCTCGTCTCACCCTCCAGCAAACATGATATTTGAGCCTGAACGACGAGTCCCTTTACCGGAACAAGATCTACTCTCCTATATCTTTAACGACCCAAAAACCTACGATCCGAATGAACCGGTATGCGCATCTCTCTACCCGGTCAGGCGGTGGCATACTAATAATTTCCTCCAGATCTACGTCGATACTAAGGACCAAACGCAGACAGTGTCCTTCAACCAAGCCCGAACCATCATCCGGCGTCTGATCACCGGCCTGCGAGCGGCGGGGGTGCAAGTGAATGACTGTGTCGCTGTACATGCCTTCAACAACGTCAGTCCGAATCTCGATTCGTCATAATTGGTCGTAAAAATTACTCACAGCTGTTATCCAGCTCCATTATAGCCTCTTCGTCCTGGCAATCATCGGAACTGGTGGTGTCTTCACAGGCACCAATCCCTCCTACCGGTCCTGGGAGCTCGAGCACCATTTAAAGACATCGCAGGCCAAGTTTATCATCACCGAGCCTGACCTGGCGTCCTCAGTGATGACTTCAGCTCAGCAGGTCGGTATATGCCATGACCACATCTGGGTCTATGATCCCAACGGGAGTGCCATGCTCTCCACCGGCCTGCAATCCTGGACAACGCTCTTAGACCATGTCGAGTCGGACTGGCTGCGACCTATCGCCCCGAAGAAGACTACGGCCGCTCGCTTCTTCAGCAGCGGAACTACCGGCCTTCCCAAGGCCGTGGAAATCACCCACCACAATCTGCTTGCTCAGCATTGCCTTGTGTTTGAGGCACATCCAAGACCGTATCGAGTGGGTCACATATCCTTGTGTTGCTCACTCTGTTGCCCAACTAATAACAACAGATGACATTCCTCATCGCTCTTCCCGTCTTCCATGCCGCCATAGCCCCCCTCGTACACATCAGCGCCCTCCGCTCCGGCTATATAATGTACATCATGCGTCGCTTTGACCTGACCCGATATCTTGACCTAATCAATCAATACCCCATCACAGATCTCATCATCGTTCCACCCATCCTCCACGCGCTAGAAACATCCACCCATCCCCACCGAGACACTGCACTCCGCAAACTGAAAAACATAGTCTGCGGCGCCGCCCCTCTGTCTCGAAACATGCAGGCTAAAGCAACCCGGCTCCTCGCACCCGGCGTGCCTCTGACGCAGGGTTGGGGCATGACCGAGTCATGCTGTGCATCGATGATGTTCCCCTACCCGGAATGTGACGAGACGGGGTCTGTGGGGAGACTTGTTCCAAACATAGAGGCGAAGTGCGTCCCTCTTCAAGACCTGCTTCCCAACAATCCGCATACCAAAACTCCTTATTAACATGTCGAACGTAGACTTCTCGATGATAATGGAAGACACATATCCGCCTCCAACACACCAGGGGAACTCTACATTCGTGGGCCCACAATTACATCGGGGTACTTCGACAACCCCATCGCGAACAACTCGTCCCTTGACACAGATGGGTGGCTCCGAACAGGTGATATAGCCATGTGCGACGCGGACACGCGGAAATGGTACATTATCGATCGCAAGAAGGATTTGATCAAGGTTCGCGGTTTTCAGGTTTCCCCATCAGAGATCGAGGCTGTGCTGTTGACGCATCCGCGCGTGGGTGATGTCGCTGTTATGGGTTTTGTTAGTGGTGATGGCGATGATGGTTGTTTGGAGCAACCACGCGCCTATGTGGTTTTGACGGCTGGGACTGAGTGTGTATCTGATATTATATTGGAGCAGTATGTGGCGGACAGGTTAGCAAGGTATAAGCAGTTGACTGGTGGGGTGAGGTTTGTTAAGGTCATACCGAGAAATGCGAGTGGGAAGATTCTTCGTCGGGGTTTGCTAGATGGGGACGGGATTGAGAGCGATGGGGGAAAGGGGAGTACAGTGAGGATTGGGGCCAAGTTGTGAGGACTGTTCGAGAAATCTACCAAATCAATGTTTCTGTGGACAGGTGGAAGATAAATCCCTGCACTAGTTGGCATTAGTGGAGGAGTGCCCAGCAACTATGCGGATATTGGACTCGGGTATATCGTAGTGAGCCAGCCATCGGACACGTTTGGACGGGTCATTCACTACGACCTTGGTAAAGGGTCAAGTGGTAGGCAATTCGCACGGCGTTTAGTAGGCATTAGACCTCGGCATGGTCCGACTCAGATTCCAACTTTTAGAACCAGAGTCGGATCGCGACTCTCTCAGGCTCGATTTAGGTTCGAACCTAAGGGATCCGGAATTGCATAGTTCTACTCAATTTCCATTCAGACAAACCTAGCACTGTCGAGTGCCCGCGATTGATCGAATTACATCAATGCAGGGTCCTTGTCATTGCCTGATCCAGATGGGACCCTACACCTAAACCCCCGCTTGTATATTATTTTCCTCAAGTGGTATCAGGAACAGAAAAGCCCTCCATCTTCCAAAGAATGTTCCAAATCCTTTATAAAGTGTATACCTCACATAAACCCCACGTGTATGATTTTTCCCATACTGGCATGCGGGAACAAAGAACGGAGAGGGCGGCCCCTAATAAGCCCCTACCATAGGCCGTAGGCCCAAGAAAAAAGCCTAAAGCATATTGTGGGCCCGAAAACCAGGCCTAAAGCCTACCTATTTATGGGTTGCGCTGGGTTAGGCTTTGGGCTTTATGGGCTCTATAGAAGCCTAGTTCTGTAGAAGCCTAGTAAGAAGCTAATGTAAAGACTATATTTATATTATAAGGCTATTAACTTTATTACATGTAGAAGACTAAATGTACTGGGAGCAAACATGTAGTGGTGACCACTTCTAACAGCTATGCCTCTTATTGGTGTTCGAGTTATCTATGCGGTTGCTAGTGCGTTTGCTCATCACACGGCCTCCGGAGGCAGCTTGCCAGTGCGCGTTATCTTCGGTACTCTCCCCGAGCTCCTGGTGATGGTCAACTATTTAACAGCCGGAGTGGTCACCCGGAACTTACCTCGCAACCGTGTGGAACAGAGACCTGAGCCGGCATACGACACGGCCTACACCTCTATATGAGACTGACTTAAAAACCCTCTTCTTTTCTATGACAGCTGTCTTTAGCGTGCTTTTTTTTTATAAAACATGATTGATAAGAAAAGTCTGGATCTTTATTCCCCTCATTTCTTTGAGAAACTCATAAAAAAGTGCTATGGCTCTATTTGGCGATTTAGTTGTGCCCAGATCTAGCTCAAGCGCAGCAGCTTTATTGTGTCCAGGATGCGGCGATAAATTAAGAATATAAATAATATACTCAATTCTCAAGCCAATTAAATCAATCAATATTTTCCCTTGACACTTCCTATGTAACTATAGCTTGGCTCAGGGGCGTGCTCAGTTGTAGCCAAAAGCGGCAAGGTCTAAGCACTAAAACGGAAACCCATCGGTCTAGAGGGCCTTGGAATACCTGGGCACTTTAATAATGCAAGTACCTTTCATAGGCTTCTTTAGAGAAGCTGTTAGTTCATCAACGCTATAGTACACAGTGTCCTACTTCCATCCCAAGTATTCCCCGTGGATTATAACTGGTCTTACAACTAGATCCCAATGCAGAAAATCGCTGGTCTAGCCAAAGGTCGTCCAACCTATGTTTTTTAAGGAAACTAGACCCGATGTACCTGAACGGGTACCTGCACAATATTGTGTAACTTTTGAGATCATAGTACTCACCCGGTGAGAAAATACGATCAACGGGAAAGTGTCCTCCGAGTATCTATGTAACCTAGATCTATGTATATAGCTTCCAGGTTCAAAATTTGCCACCTCATGAAGCTTATAGCACAAAACTTCCGAAAAACCTATTTGGAAGATTTGAAGATATCCGAATCAATTCTCCGATGTGTTAAAAATGAGAAATATAGTCTGTTCTAGTCCGTCATAGAGATAGACGTAGTCTGTTATAGTCTGAAAACAGCTGTACCTGCGGATCCGTTCCCGTCTCCACATCCCCACTGCAGCTTGAAACCCAAAGTCCAATGCTACAATGTAGTATATGCATTTATTAAGACTGAATTTACAAAAGATCAAAGCGTAAAACCCACTTTTAAAAAAACAAGTCAAAAAACCCGAAGGACAAAGCGTTGAGGGGTTGATGTCACATGTTGAGAGGTCCCCGCGCTGGATTTCCTTGATCTGGACCATCTTCTCTCCACTCCCCAGCTCCCCCCAGCTCTCCCCACCAGATATGTCTTCTACCATTGACAGCTCCAACATTCCTACAGATGGCACAGGTAAGCTTGAAATTACTCGCATTTTCAAATAGAATTCTAATTCTAACCAAAAAAAAAAAAATTTAGGTGTTATCCAGCTGGATCCTTGGCTGGAACCCCATCGCGATGTCTTGAAGCACAGATACCAGGTAGTTGAGGAATGGGCCAAGACCATCAATGAAACAGAGGGTGGCTTGGACAAGTTCAGCAAGGTGAATTATATGTCCATCGATTGCTATTCTCTAAACTAATGCACTTATCAGGGCTACGAAACCTTCGGACTACATGCACAACCCAACGGGGAAATCAAATACCAAGAATGGGCACCAAACGCAACAGAGGCTTCTTTGGTCGGCGAATTCAGTACGTTGTGGACGAGCCATATTTGAGGAGCTTGACTGAGACTCGCAGACAACTGGGACGTCAATGCCAACCCCATGACGAAGAACAGCTTCGGCATCTGGAATGTAACCGTACCAGCGAAGGACGGCGCCGCCGCTATTCCCCACGACAGCAAGATCAAGGTAAGCATATCAGCCCTACACATCAATAGAGCATCCCGCTAATATCCCCACAGATCACAATGGTTCTCCCCAGCGGCGAGCGCATCTACCGAATCCCCGCTTGGATCAAGCGCGTAGTCCAAGACCTGACCGTGTCGCCGGCATACGATGCCGTTTTCTGGAACCCGCCCGCGGAAGACGTATACAAGTTCCAGCACCCGCGGCCCAAGAAGCCTGAGAGTCTACGCATCTACGAGGCCCACGTCGGCATCTCGTCACCGGAGACTAGAGTCGCTACATACAAGGAGTTCACGAAGAACATGCTCCCCCGCATTAAGTATCTGGGATATAATGCAATTCAGCTAATGGCCATCATGGAACATGCGTACTATGCTAGCTTCGGGTACCAGGTGAACAACTTCTTCGCGGCGAGCAGTCGCTACGGATCCCCAGAGGATCTGAAGGAGCTTGTTGATACAGCCCACAGCTTGGGACTGGTTGTGCTGCTTGATGTGGTTCACAGCCATGCCTCCAAGAACGTCATTGATGGACTCAATGAGTTCGATGGAACGGATCACCTCTACTTCCACGCCGGTGCCAAGGGCCGTCATGAGCTGTGGGACAGTCGTCTGTTCAACTATGGAAGCCACGAGGTTCTACGTTTCCTTTTGAGTAATTTGCGCTTCTGGATGGAAGAGTATGGATTCGATGGATACCGCTTCGATGGTGTGACCAGCATGCTCTATTCACACCACGGTATCGGAACGTACGTGCATTCTTCTACTATATTTCTGAAGAGCCTGCTAACTAAAAGAAATAGTGGCTTCTCCGGTGGGTACCACGAGTACTTCGGACCATCTGTCGACGAGGAGGGCGTAACATACCTCACCCTCGCAAACGAGATGTTGCACGAACTCTACCCAGACTGCATCACAGTCGCAGAGGATGTCTCCGGCATGCCTGCACTGTGTCTACCCCACAAGCTAGGCGGTGCTGGCTTCGACTACCGCCTCGCAATGGCCATCCCAGATATGTGGATCAAGCTCCTGAAGGAAAGCACAGACGACGAGTGGGACATGGCCAACATCTCCTTCACGCTCACCAACCGCCGCCACGGCGAGAAGACCATTGCCTATGCCGAAAGCCACGACCAAGCGTAAGTCCAATCCTCGAGCACCTCCAACCACCCATCCATCCATCCAGTCAAACCAACCAACCAACCAACTAACATAAATCCCCACAGCCTCGTCGGCGACAAGACCCTAATGATGTGGCTCTGCGACAAAGAGATGTACACACACATGTCGACACTAACTGAATTCACCCCCGTAATCGAGCGCGGCATGGCCCTACACAAAATGATCCGGCTCGTAACCCACGCTCTGGGCGGCGAAGGCTACCTAAACTTCGAAGGCAACGAATTCGGACACCCAGAATGGCTTGATTTCCCACGTGCCGGAAACGACAATTCCTTCTGGTACGCTCGCCGCCAACTAAACCTAACTGAAGACCCTCTTCTACGGTACAAGTTCCTGAACGAGTTCGATCGCGGGATGCAGCTGGCCGAGCAGAAGTACGGATGGCTTTCTGCGCCGCAGGCGTATATCAGTTTGAAGAATGAGAGTGACAAGGTTCTTGTCTTTGAAAGGGCTGGGTTGCTTTGGATCTTCAATTTCAATTCCAAGAAGAGCTTTACGGATTATCGTGTTGGGGTTGATGTCCCTGGTACGTATCGTATTGTGCTAGATACCGATGAGAAGGAGTTCGGTGGGTTTGGGAGGAATGTTAAGGAGACGAGGTTCTTTACTACTGATTTGAGTTGGAATGGGAGGGGGAATTTTGTGCAGGTTTATATTCCTACTCGGACTGCTTTGGTATGTTGTCTTCTCTCCTTTCTTTGCTTTTTCGTCTGTCTTTCTGTGTTTGGTTTACTGACTTTATGTGTCTACAGGTCCTGGCTCTGGAAGATACTCTGTAATGTGAACGTGGATGCCAGTCCATGTCTGTGTCTTGCACACGGCCGAGTCGGGGGTTCAATATCTTGTGCTGGCTAATGCTGGTTCTGGGTGTTGTTCTTTGATGGTGTGCTTGTCACGACTTCTTCGATGGGTAATGTCCTGCATTTTGTTTCTAATCACAACTATCTATGTCTAGCAGTCTCATATCATATACATTGTTTTTTTTAACGCATTCGCCATTGTAGACTGGACAGAGAAAGCTTTTAAGATACTGTGCTGCACGCTTCTCTGTAAGTAAGAATAATTTGAAATGGACCAGATCATATAATTTGGACAAGTAAAGTGATGAGAACGAACTACGACCGAGCTAATATACATAAACCAGCTAGCTGTATATGGAAATGCACATCCACATCTCCCAAACCATCCATGAACTAACTACATCACACTAGATCTACCCCTACACCTACAATTGCTACATCTACATCTACATCTACAAAAACCCAGGACACAATCACAAAGGAAATGTCGAGAATCAGGTTTTGAACTCTAAATACACAAAATAATGAAACACGCCGGTCGAGGGGGGGTTTGTGTAAGGTATCTCCAATCCAGACCGGCTTTAAAATCCCATCAACTCGCTAAGATAGACGAACGCATATCAACCTCCCCCAAACCACCAACGTAAACCCCGAAACTCCTCATCCTCAAATTCCCAACACCACGATTCAGCCCTCAATAATCCCAGTCATTTCATTTTCCCTTGCTCGGGTTCCTTTCGGATCGAGTCTAGAAAGAACGAAACAAGGGTATTCCAACGTTGAGCGACGACGATGCAGTGCAAAATGGAAGTGAAATCAAATCCCTTTCTTCGTTGCATTTTGTTTTTTCTCTTAGATCGGGTAATGTACATTGTAATATACACGCCTCGAAAAAGGGAAAATGATGTTGTCGCATACAACGTTGGAACGTTTTGAGTGTTCTGACAAAGGGAATTAAAATGAAAACTGGGAGAACCAATAGAGAATAGGTGAGGGATAAGAGAGGAAAAAAAGGAGAGAAGGAGCTTGAAGATGGAAGGGGGAAGTTAAGACGGGCGCTAGCTAGCAAATGACAAAATTACATTTAGGCCTTGTTCTCAAGCTCAGCGAGAATCTTCTCACCCTTGGCGCGAGCGGCGTTGATGTCACCAACCATGTAGAAGGCGGCCTCGGGGAGGTCGTCACCCTCACCAGCAATGATGGCCTTGAAGGAGGCGATGGTGTCCTTCAAGTCAACAAGGGTACCCTCGATACCAGTGAAGACCTGGGCGACGGCGAAGGGCTGGGACAGGAAACGCTGGAGCTTACGGGCACGCTCGACGGTGAGCTTATCAGCCTCGGACAACTCATCCATACCGAGAATGGCAATGATATCCTGGAGGGACTTGTACTCCTGGAGCATCTGCTGGACACGGGTGGCGGTGTTGTAGTGCTCGTCACCGATGATACGGGGGTCGAGCATACGGGACTTGGAGTCGAGAGGGTCGACAGCGGGGTAGATACCCAACTCGGAGATACCACGAGACAACACAGTGGTGGCGTCCAAGTGAGCGAAGGTGGTGGCGGGGGCAGGATCAGTCAGATCGTCAGCGGGCACGTAAACGGCCTGGACGGAGGTGATAGAACCCTTCTGGGTGGTGGTGATACGCTCCTGCATGACACCCATGTCAACAGCCAGGGTAGGCTGGTAACCGACGGCAGAGGGGATACGACCCAAAAGGGCAGACACCTCGGAACCGGCCTGGGTGAAACGGAAAATGTTGTCAATGAAGAGCAGCACGTCCTGACCCTCCTCGTCACGGAAGTACTCGGCAATGGTCAGACCGGTCAGGGCAACACGGGCACGGGCACCGGGGGCTCGTTCATCTGACCGAACACAAGGGCGACCTTGGATTCACCCTCAAGCTGGATGACACCGGTCTCCTGCATCTCGTGGTACAGATCGTTACCCTCACGGGTACGCTCACCGACACCACAGAACACGGAGTAACCACCGTGGGCCTTGGCGATGTTGTTCTAAAAAAGGTCAAAAGTGTAAGCCATTTGATCCCGAGTTTTTCAATGCAAGAAAGAGAAAGAGGGCAATTCTTACAATCAGCTCCTGAATGAACACGGTCTTACCGACACCGGCACCACCGAAGAGACCAATCTTACCACCACGGGCGTAGGGGGCGAGCAAGTCGACAACCTTGATACCGGTGACGAGAATCTCGGCAGAGGTGGACTGGTCGACGAACGCAGGGGGATCGGCGTGAATGGGAGCGAACTTGGTGGCCTTGACGGGACCACGCTCGTCAATGGGGTCACCAGTGACGTTGATGATACGGCCGAGAGTGGCGGGACCGACGGGGATGGTGATGGGAGCACCAGTGTCCTCGGCGATGACACCACGGGAGAGACCCTCGGTACCTTTAGATGACGTTAGTTGAAGCTCTCATACAACTATAGGGTCACCGCTCAGTGGGTCCCCCAATCGGGTAGGGAACGACACGGTGGCCCGAGAAAGGGGTGAGGAAGGGGGTGTGAAGCTTACCGTCCATGGCAATAGTACGGACGACATTCTCACCCAAGTGTTGCTAGAAGGCGATTGTTAGCTTGTGTTGCAGACTTGAAATCAAGGTTCAGCCAATCAGATCACGTACAGCAACCTCCAGAACGAGCTTCTGGCCGTTGTTGGTGGTGGTAATGGCGTTGTAAATGGCAGGGAGCTTCTCTCCGCTGAACTTCACTGTAATATGGCGAATAGAAAGTCAGATACGGTTTTGTTGATGATTTTGGGGTTGATTGCGATGGTTTCGGTGATGGATTGGGTCCAGGGAAAAGATTTTCGCGTGGTCCCCATTTCCGTCAGGAGTCGACAACACGTACCGTCAACGACGGCACCAATGACCTGGTGAACCTTTCCAGTCAAAGTGGCATCGGAGCTAGCGAAGCGGGCAGTGAGAGCCGGGAGAGCATTGGAGCGGATAGGCTGGAAAGCGCGGGCGACGGGGGTCGTCCGGGCAAAAGCAGCCCTCCCAAAGGACCGGGCGAGACCGCTAGAGAGAATAAAAAAATTAGTTTCGATAAGAAAAGGAGAAGAGGATTCAATTGATGATCAAATCATACCTCTTGAACATAATGACGGTGTTGAAGAGCGAGATGTGATGAAAGGAAGAGGTGAGGTTGGAACGGGAAAAGAGGGAAGAAGAGGAAGGGAAGAGGTTGGTGGATGGGGACTGGTCGCCCTTAGCCTTTCCGGGGCGGTTTTGCCGACGATCCCGTGATGAACCGAGCACCAACTTGAGCTTTCTACAGGGAAAAGAGCTTAATTTTCTAATTGAGAATGGTTTTTTAGATATCAATCTTGCTCTCTATTAATTTTAAATATCCATTGAGACAAATCTTGTCTAGTGAGGTGGTGACCGAGGAAAGAGCTCAACCCGTTGCTCTGGAATTCGCGCACACACACCGGGGCTTGGCGGCCGGGTGCAGGGGGAGCCACAGCATATTATTGCCTTTTTTTTCTCAATGACATCGTTCCCCGGGAGAAACCTTAGAAATCTTTATGATATTGAAAGAGAAGTAAGCTAATCATTAAGGTGTTTCAAAGGGTATACAAAGTATATTGTGAAAGTCAATGGCCCCTTTGGTCCGAATATCGGAAAAACTCTGACGTGTTGGGGGGTCAACCAGTTCCGAATCGATAGACCTTGTTAGTATTTAGTAACTACGGAGTAGTTATATAATTATATTTACTATATTCATTATAATTTATGTTGATTCATGTTTATATTGTTTTTCTACATAATCTCCATAGAAACAACGGACCTAACCCTTATTATATCCCTTTGTTACCCTCGAAACCATGTTCCCGCAGGGATTCTCCGCAGTTACGTTGGCTTCCGATTCACTCCGTAGACCACGCCATGTCGGAGTAGGAAACTATTACACGTATTTTTTATATATCTTATACTCATCAAAAGCTCATGTTCTATGGCTACAAAAGAGATACATTGATTATAGCACAGTACGGGATACACGCATTTTCCAATGCTTGCCAAGAAAGATAGAATGGGGGAACAGTCAACAGTCGCGCGCACGGGCGGAGATCCATCCTCCGATACAAAGACATGTCGAACATGGCTATGGAAAGAGTAGCTGGCAATAAAATCGACTTCTAGGTCGTGCGATGGGTGTCGCCGTCCGCGCGTAGATATCAAATCATTCCCGGTCGGGCAACGAGTACACCTATGACTTCTCGGCAGGGGGCTCTGGACGAAGCCCTTGCCTTCGTAACCCTCTTTGCTGATACCGTGAATGGGGTTGATCTTCTCTTTCTGTAGTCGGATAGGTTAGCATCGTCCAATATGTCTGGGGCAGAGACTTCTCTCCCGCCTGCGATTGAAAAGGGGGTGAAGGGATATGTACCAGAGCATATTCGTTGGAGGCCTCCTGCCACTCCTTGGACATGGTGCCAGGCTGCTTGCCGGCAAAGGCGTGGACGGTGTAGAAGAGAGCAACGGAGACAGCAGTGAGCTGGAGAACCTTGGCGAACACGCGCAAGCCCTCACCCTTGGGGGCCTGGGCGCGGGGACCGTGGGCACCGAAGGCAATGTAGTAAGCTGTAGGAAAGAAAGAATTGAAGTCAGCGAAAGATGACTACTTATAAAGACAATTGTGGATGTTCGAGGGGTCACGCCATCCCGAGACCAATAACCTCGGAAGGCTCAGGGTAGTCGAAGCGAAAGGCTGCCTTTCAAGCCCACTTGTTCTAGGGATATCACATACCAGCCTTCTTCTCCTGGAGGGTCAACGAGTGCCAGTCGACCTTCATGCGGTCACGGAGCTGCATCCAGAGCTCGGCCTGCTCCTGAGGGGGCATGCCCTCCCAGCGCTTCTCGATGTTGGCGAGGGTAGGGTTGGGAATGGCATGGTCCGAAGCAGCGCGGGTCTGCAGGGCGTTCACAGAGGCAGTCGGGGCAGCACGGATGGCCGCGGTGCTGCGAGGGACAGCGCGAGAGATGGTGCGAAGAAACATTGTGCGGCAGGCGGGAGGTGGCAGCACCACGTCGAAATCGGGTTCAATTGAGGTAATTAGAGGGAGGTCGAGGGGTTGGAAGCCAGAGAGCACGCCAGGGCACGGCTTAGGAGAGAGTGGAGGAGGATCGTGGATGGGGAATGACTTGAAGACGTTTCTTGTGGTTTGAGGTGGAAAGGCGAGGATCCGGTCGGGACTAGCGCAGTTTTGGTTTGGCTGCCTCCTCATTGGTTCATCGCCCAAACCGGCTCTCTCTACCCAGTAAGCATCATCATCATTTTCAAATATGGCATGATGTTGATATTCTTGGGCTTATCGAACTTCTTTTTTTATTTTCGACCGTTATTATTCCTCTATCCGCAAATTTCCCCAATTTCAACCTGTCGCTCAAGTCTTTTGGCCATGGTCGGAATCTTTAGCCGCCTTTATAAACTAGCCCCAGTCAAGCAATAACTTTGCAAGAAAAGCCAGGAATTGTTCGGTTTGCTTAACTATTCTACAATTCGACATGCATCCTGAGGTTCTCGTCACCCACCATGTGCAAAATAAACCAACAGGCAGCAAGATTCGGTGCCCGATTACCCAAATACCCTCAAACCTGAGGTGAAAAAAAATCATTCAGAACGATTGGAACAAGCTGGAAATGAAATCAAGACTCTTTCAGGCCTCTCGCGAAATGAAAACAAACACGGGCCAAGTCGTAACGGTCTTGCATTGCAACTAAGAAGAAAGTGGGAGAACGATGTGCAGAGAAGGATATGAATTGATCGTTCCGCGGCGCCGTCAAGGGCGCACCCCTATCAGTCGCGCAGCCCGGATCCAGCCGGCGCTATCATCTATGCCTTGCCACCGCTGGCCTCCTTCAGGACTGTCTTCCACTCGATGTCGGACTTGTCATCGGCGTGGATGGAAGTGACGACGTTGAGGGCGTTCTTGAGAACCTCGCGGGTACTGGCGTAGATCATGGACCACTGAAAATGAAATTAGTCATTGCGTTTGAGCCTGGGGCTGGGCCTTGGTCTGGTGGGAATCTTACGAGGGTGGGGGGTCTCGCTAGGCACCCAGGAGATGAAGATAATCTTGGAGCTGTGAGAACAATCCAGTCAGCGGGGGTTGTCTAAGAAACAATTGCGGAAATGGTAATGCGCACCGCTTGCCCTCGCCGGCAATCTCGTACTCGACATCGTAGACGGCGTAACGGGGAGAGGCACGGCCCTGGCTGTCCTTGGCATCGGCGAGCTCGTTGCGGAAGACCTCGTAGTCCTGGTCCTTGCCAACCGAGTCTACGACAACCGACTTCTTGTCGTCGGCGATCTTGTAGATGATGTACTTGGTCTTTCCGTGGCTGCGGCTGAAGTCTTGGAAGGCAGTGATGCAGTCATCCTGGATCTGGACACTGTAGGGGGCGAATGTCAATAAATGGTGAAAGTGAGGGGAAATAGGTCGCGAGCGCGGGAACCGACGACGACTTACCCGGATGCGAGCTGCGCAATATCATAGTCAGTACTGGATTTTGTATACCATGGGTTTGGGGGTCAATACTAACCGACATGATGGCTTATGTAGATGAGGGAGACAAAAAAGGACGGGGCTGTCTAGTGCTATGTCAGTGGCTGAGATGGCCAAACTCAGGGGGTCCCTCGAGCTTCTTGGTTTGACATGAGAAGTCAAAGTAGCATGCCCTCCAATGACTTACAAGAATTGAAGGAGGCGGAGATCGAGCGACGGGGACGGATGAGACGGGGAAGATGGAGTTTGAGGGGTGAATTGTTTCCCAGGTGTTGCCATGGCCATAGTGGGGGTGGCTGCACGTGATATCAGACTTTTGATAATTCGAGTGCTCGGTACCTGTTTACAAGTTGAATAGCATGTAGATAATTGATCTTATAGGGTTTGTTTTTAGGATTTTTAGGATTTCCGAGGCTGTTAGGGGTTTTGACCTGAAAAATGGGGGAAATGGCATATAGTGACTGGTGTATGAGCTGATATGAAACAATATTTGTGTCCTCATGAGTTGTTTCCTTTTGCAGTCTCGAAGTATCAGGTACTCCGGACATTATGTACACTAGGATTTGAAATCACATCATCTTAGGCTATAGCTGCATAACATGTACTACATACATACCGACAACATAGATGTTCTGAGCCTCCAATGTGGGTGTCTGCGGGCTAAAATTGGCCGGGTCAACCATGGGACACGTCAGTGGCTATTTTTGTCCTGGCCCACCATGTACTTTGTGCTTGATGCATACAGTACCGAGTAGTTTTGACTATGTCTACTATTTTACTACCTAATCAAAAATTTTCAATATAAACATATAACTTGGTAAGAGTAGGAATGTAACTTCATACCCAAAATATATATTTTCGCATACACTCCGGAAAAGTGTATGTGTGTATATATATAACTTCATACCGGACCAATATATATATTCGAACCAAAAATCCAAAAAACACGTAAATATCACATCGGACGAATTCATTTCTCATTCCTAAATCCATAAACAACATTAAACGGACCTAAGTATATAGTTATGCACCACCCCCAATCCCAACCCCAACCTAACCCCTAGGACCTACATATGTAGATACACACAAAACACAGAAGCCTAAACCTTCGCCGCCGGCGCAAACTTAGCCCTCATCTTATCCGCCACCAACTTCTCATCATAAATGAAGTTAACACTGTCATGCGCAGCAGTCGCCTCCGCCCAGCGCTTGAACCTAGGAGCCTGCTCGAGCAAAGTCGACAACTTAGCAGAAACAAGACCATGCTCAGGCTTCGCAAAGCTCAAAATCCGCAACAAGAACGATCCGGACTGAACCTCCGCCAGGGTCAATTTCTCACTACCACCAAAGAACGGACCCTTGCCCTCCGTGTCTGCCAGAAGGGGCTCGACCTCCTTCACGACGGCAGCGACGAGCTGCTCGGCGGCGGCATCGCGCTCGGTCTCATCGGCGGCACGGATACTTGCGAAGAAGGATGGGAGGACTTTGCTGAAGAAGGCATCGACAAAGAAGCTGAGACGGGCGCGGTAGAGGGCGTTTTCGGTTGGGGAGGATGGGGGGAGGAGGTGGGTTTGGTGGGCGTCTGCGAGGAATTGGGCCACGATGCCGGATTCGGTCACGATAGTTCCATTGTAAGTGATGGTGGGGACCAGGCCGCGCTGTTGGTGAGGTTAGTATATGGGTTATAGGTTATAGTGTATGAGGCGTGGTACGTAGTGTAGGTGGTGTGTAGATAAAAAGAGTGGGGTGTTGGGGAAAGAGGGCTCGTCACTTACTGGGTTGATCTCCAGATACCACGGCTCGCGCGGTGTGTTCAAGTCGATTATGACCTCTTCATACTCGAGGCCGATTTCCTTAAGGGCGATGTGTGCGCGGTGAGCCCAGGGGCACAGGTGGTTGGTGTAGAGGACGATCTTTGGGGAGGACATGATGGATTGATGTGTGGTAGTTGTGTAGAAGTACCTAAGATGCTAGGGAGGGAAGTTATATAGAAGAAGACACGCCATTATAAATGACATTGCGAAATGAGGGGTTGGATTAGTAAAATGCAATTGTTAATCAATCGCGAAATCGAGCTTAACTCCGTTGCCGTTTCCCGTTCCGCGTTCGCGGCTAAGGAGCAGATGTGGGGGAACCTGAAGACAATCATCCTTTGATTATATATCTAAGGCAATAGAGGCAATAGAGGCAATAGAGGGAATAGAGGGAATAGAGAAATTATTGTACCTTAATTAAGGTCCTTGGATAAAATTGGTCTAATTATGTACATACATTAAAGCGTGCACTATATGTGTCCGATATCTTCTGATCAACCTTCAGCGGCGCTCATCCATCGGGGTATAGAAGTAGTCTCAAGTGGCAAACCGAGGTGTAGTACGTAAAAAGACCGGAAATGTGCTCCAAGAGCAAAGAGCACATTGACCGAGCCCGATGCGCCAGCGACCGGTTCCACACGGATCAAGTGGAAGAAGATAATGGGGAAAAAAGTGTCAAAATAAGGAAAAGACGAGATGACCGTCATAAAATGGGGGGTATATCGAATACGAGTATAAAATGAGCATTGAGTCGATGTTTGAGATCGTTTGGGGGATGGCCAGCCGGGGCGTAAAAAAGCACAGGACGGAACAGAAGGATCAACGCGCTGTCGTCAAGACGTAATTTGGCATGAAAACTTAGAATTGAGAACCGTGCTCAAACGTCCTCGTCTTCCTGGCCGCCATCGATGATCTTGTGCCAGTGTTGCGGCAGACAGATGCAGACCAAGGGGAAGGCCTTGATCTCGCCTGATGGCATGGGCGACGAAGGATGCATCCGTGAGCCATTCGAGACACCACTGTCGCGTTGTTCACGGTAGTGCATGTCTTGGTCCTCGGCGCGCTCTGGAAGTCGCACACCCGTTGCCCAGCCGTCGTCCCAGATGCCAATTACCCTCAACATCTCACCTCGGTCGAGTTCGAATTCGTCACCTGCGCGTGGCGAGTACGCCCAAAGGACGGCAACCTTGTCGCCAGCGTGAATCTCATCTTGAGAGTAGTAGTCGCGGAAATAAGACAGCTGCTCAGATCGACCACTGGTTACTGCTTCGGGGAAGAGTATTGGTTTGTCGGGCCGGAGCGAGGCGAGCTGTCGCTTTCTAGTCCTGCCAGAATCGAGTTGCTCGAGAGTGAGCCATGACGTTTGCCGGTTACTGGTGGGATTCTCTTGGACATAGCTCCTGGACTGGCACCCGTCCCTTCTGAGTCTGACATGTCGCTGTACTTGGCTCCGCTGCCGTACATTGCCGCGGAGGTGCGCGAATAGGCGGGCGATGATTGACTGGGCATTTCGCGAAGTGCAGACATCCGTGTGACTCGACCTCCTGGCACCATGTTGTATGACGTTGGGCTTGGGGGCTGCTGCATTGATGACGATCCGCCCTTTCTCTGTGGGTTTGGTTGATTGAGTGCAGCTTCGTTTTGGGTCTCACGACGACGGCGGCGCATGAAAATGCAAAGGAAGGCGAGGAGAGCAGCGAGAATGGCAGCTCCTGCAACGGCGCCAATTACGATTCCGGCAATTGCGCCGCCCGATAAGCCATGGCTAGGACTTCCAGTGGCGGAGGGTGACGGCGTGAGAGGTGGTAGAGTAACAGTCGGTACTGCGACACCGTCACAGCGACTCGTGGCATTGGATTTCGTGCAGCAGCTATCGGTCCCATTGGCACAAAAAGTGCAGAGACCAATGGTATTTGTCGCAAAGCCGCAGTTGTCCGGCTCATTCGCAGCTCCCTTGATACAATCTCCAGAAAGGGCGTTGGATGGTTTTTCGCAGATGGTCAATTCGGCGTAGATTAGGTCCGTGTAGTTCTTCTCGCTACTGGTGCATAACTCTGTATTTGCCATGGTCTCCTGCTCACTCCGGGCCCAAAGTGCGCATGTATCGACGCAAATTGGTACCGATTCAGCCGTGGAAAGTTTGCAGTCGGATATGGAGCTTTGCACGACACTACTGCACAGAACACTGGTTGTATACTGCGCATAGTAGTTGTTGGGCGCGCTCGAATTCATGCCTTGGCATCCCAGTAAGTCATCATACCTGGGGCTGTTAGTGACTCTTCTCCCGGTCCATTGGTGCCAACACATACTTTGTCGAAATATATGATCCATTGATATAGTTCTTTAATGAATTATCGAAATCCGTCAGATTCGATACGCTCTTGAGGAAAGGGCTAGCAGTGCATTGTCAGCAATCGTTTCCCCCTCCCCATGCCCAATCGGGCGCATTTCCACTCACAAGTCGGCATATAGGCTGGAACTGGTTGAAATGGACGAGCTACTCCAGGCAGGGCAGGCACTTGACCCCTTGAGGGAAATGCAGTTCGGCATTCCGGGCAATATTGGCGGTCTGGCCTTGTAAATGGCCCCCCTTTGGGTTATATCGGCGCGGAATGTGTCAGGCTGCGATCGAGAATGTTTCCAGCAGTGATGCGAATCGGATATTCGAATGGGAGAATCGGATAAAATGTGTCGACCCCAGGTCGAAACTCAAGCTCGAAGAGAAGAAAAACGCGTGAAAGGCAGGTAAACGAGTGACTAGGGGTTCTCAACACCCGGAAGGAAAGGTCAACCGAGCCCCGTAAGCCTGAATTCGAAAAACGGAGAAAGAGATGACAAGACGAAGTTCTAAGATTGGAAAAGACAAGATTAGACCTTCAAGATGGTCTGGGCTTGTGGGTAACAGGGGGCTAGGGAGATGAACTGCTGGGAAAAAAGGGCAATTATGAAACACGGGAAATAGGCATAATCGGCAGTACAGGATCAGACACGCTAAGGTCAATCTTGTTATATTATTCCATACAGAGTAAATGGAACTTGAAGAAAGACAAGGATAACTAATATCATGAAAAAAGGGGGTGGGGGGGAAGTAGGTCCGCGTTGTTTATCTTTTTTCCTCTCTTTTATTCTCCGGACTCTTTGGGTATCCAAATTCAATTGGGATTGAATTTCTACCTGGTACATAGTACATAGATTGTACTCTATAATACAAACATACGACAATGACAACGGTCATCCAAGTTGATTATGATTGGCGTTTATTGTCAGATTCTGACTCTGACTCTGTTCATCACCAGCCTCGCTAGTGACCCGTTAGCGGCTGGAGGAGACGATCGCTATCACCTTTTGCCGTCTGGAAAAACTCGAAAACTTGGGGAAACTACCAGTCTCTGGAGCTTAACAGTAATTTCCCGAGTTTCCCTTGCTTCCTGCACAGAATTTGGCAAATAGATATAGCACATTTCAACGTTGTGAGCTATCGGTTGAGAATGCGAGGGATTGATATGCAGACGGAATACGGAGTACGGAGTACAGGGTACCCGGTCGCAAGCAGCAGGTACCCGGCAGCCGCATGTACCAGGTACTTCCACAACTAAGTACATGTTAGTCGAAACTGCCCCCCCGGCTTGGGCAGATATCTGACGAGTCTGATTTATTCTATAGATCAGTAAATTTACTTACACCTTACATTTAAATAGATAGAAAGTGTATACTCCGTATTGTAGAAGGTTATACTCCGTACAATAACCAACGTTATGCGATGTATGATGTACAATGTAGGGCTCTGGCGAATTATAGATCAGTCATGTGACCATTGACATCATCTGATCTGGACCAGGCTGCCGTCAGACAATCTGCGACTCGTCCAAACGGTGGAAAACCTCACCATTACCACAAATTTCCAGTGTGCTTAATACAACTCACATTTTTCTATCAGATCTCAGAGACACCGTGAGCCATGTGCAGCTCCGACATCTTCCTAGCGGTCCTCGCCGTCTTCTTCCCGCCTATTGCAGGTAAGTCTAAACCCGCAAACCCACCTGCACTCGGTAGTCACAATGCTAACCAAACCCTTGCATCAACAGTCTGGGTCAAGGCTGGGTTCTGTACCGCAGACTCGATCATCAACATAACCCTCACCCTACTCTGCTTTTTCCCGGGTCTCATCCACGCATGGTACATCATCCTCAAGTATCCGGAACCAAACTATGATGATGCAGCCTACGAGCCCATCCCTGGTGGTGGCAGTCGACGTCGCGATCTAGAGAACGGCAATGTTACCTATTACTACGTCTCTCACCAGCCTAGCCAACACCCCTCCCAGCGTGGATATGGCACAGTCAACCCTCAAGGCCAGCAGGCGCCTGCTCCAGCAAACAAATCACACAACCAGACCGAAGATAGTGGGAATGCGGGGAGCAGCAGCGCGCCCCCGCCACCCACTTATGCCGAGGCTGTGAAGGGTGACAACAAGGTGCAGAGTCAGGAATGAGTATGAGGCTCAACTCGTTGGCTGTGCTTGTGGGTGGCATCCTCGGCTTGCCATTATCTCATCGGCCACTTTGTTCCCGACCCGGTTGTACTATCCATACCCCTCTGCTTTGCTGTTCTTGTACACGCACTTCCTAAGAACTGCATCGTTATGTTATGACTTGACGAAGGAATGTGCTATGTAATTCTGAATTTTTGATTTTGTTCACTGACTGTGGATGTTCTTCGATTGTATGTTCTTTCTAAGGCTCTGGACGCGTGATACTATACCGATACTTTCTATCCTAGCCTTGGGTGACATTTAGCACTAACTAGGCCTTTGGGTTGGCAAGTCCTAGATATAAATCATTATCAAAGCCCCACTTAAATAATTTCCACGTTGAAATGTGTTTAGTATTTTTTTGGACCCTTGTGGCATAGAATTTAGTGAAAAGCAAAGGATAGTATATTGATCTGACAATCAATATATCACTTGTACTAGAACCGAAACTAGCATTGGTATATGGCCCAGAGCACAAGTTGAGTTTTAAGAAACTAGAAAGTTGCTTGGTTCCCAAGAGTTTAGGCATTAGTTACTTCTCACTCTAACCAATTATCGGAGTTATGCCTTGCTAGATACGCAGTTCTAGTGTGTTAAATACATACCGAAGGATAGTGTATTGATTAAATGCCATTCGCGCGTGTATTTTCTCCGCATATTGCGGGAAATACTAATAAAGCTTCAGGTTTCAGCCTCCTACGTCGGCACTACCTAGGGCCGATGTTTGTTTAGCCTCACATGTGCCAAGGTAAGGCGGGTTAAGAATTGCGATGCCTAGCATTCGCTAATCTGAGATCGTCATCGAGACTAGAATTGACACCAGAGAACTAGTGTCAGCCTAGCTTCGACCACATTTCTTCTCTCATCGTTCTTTTATAGTACTATGACTGACCGGGAGTTCATATTTAAGAAAACCGACAGACTGATCCTACGTGAATGGGCCTATCTTTTGTCTCGTGAGAAAAGTACACGAACTACCAATACGGCCTCCGGCGGGATCCCCGGGCTGCGACTAAGCCTAAACAATAAATTTGAACATAACAGGAAACGCCAACGGCGCCATGTCTTACTATCCTAGTTAATTCGTAGCTAATTTGTAATCACTTCCTTAGCTATACGCTAGGCATCGAGAAACTGTACTATGATCATCTACCTGGTGGAATTAACTACCCTCCACAAATACTAAAAACCCACTAAATTCCAGGCATCTATTTCGGTACGGAGTACATCTTCCCCAGCATGAGATGCTCTTTGACTAGGCTTCACTTAGTAGGGTAACATCATAGCAAATTCACGGGGATATACGCACTGTTTTCAGGAGTATTTATTTTGTTATCTTCCACGAATCACCATGGGCTTACAGCATTGCGCGAGTCAAGCAATACAGAACAGGCAACAAGGAGAATCTTATTTAACTCATCGTATTGACCTCGAAGTGTTAGAATTTTTATACAACATATAAAGTTCTGTTCCTGTATCCACTTCCACTCTCTTCGGGCTACAGAGCCTCAATTCAACTCGATCCTGTGCCTGGCATGGAATTGTCAAGATGCATGAACGACATTTCCTTTGGTCCTGCTGTCGAAGGTTGCCGCGGAAACTTTGACTTTACGCTGAAGTTCGAAAAAATAATCCTCTCGATACTGCCGTCCGCTATTTTTATTGCATTGTCGGTCCCTCGAGGCATTTACCTCGCCCGCAGACCGATAATAGTGGGCGGCACAACCTTCCGATTTACCAAGATCGTGCGTTTTCATTCGGCTCCTACTGAACATTGGAACAACTTGACTAATATGCCTTGGAATCTATGAAGGCAACAGGGGCAATATATACAGTCTTGCAGCTTGCTCTCCTCATTATCAGCAGCATTGAACCATCTGAGCTGCATGGCTTGTCCATCACAGCCGATGTGTTAAGCTTTGTTGCGGCGATAGCCATATCCGTCCTGATTTCTCTAGAGCATTCCCGCTCACCTCGGCCCTCTATTTTGCTCAGCGCCTTTCTATCCCTGACTATCCTCTTTGATATCGCGCAAGTGCGATCCCTCTGGCTGCTGGCCCAGAGCTACAATGAGATTACCTATGTGAGGATTTTCACGGCAGCCATTGTCTGGAAGGCTGTTCTGGTCTTGTTGCAATCACTACATCTCCAGAGCTGGTTATCCTGGGACCAAAAAACGCATAGTCCCGAAGAAACCACTGGGCTATATGGACTAGGCAGCTTCTTCTGGCTCAACCCCCTCTTCCTGTCAGGATACAAAACGATTCTGAATTTGTCAGATCTTTTTCCACTTGACAATAGTGTTTCTGTGGAGACCCTACAAGCATCCTTTGGCCAGTATATCAAGCACGCCGAGTTTCACGGAGACAAATATGGCTTGACGAAAACACTTCTTCGCGCGTTGGCAGTCCCAATCCTGCTGCCAGTGGCTCCTCGCATTGCCCTGATCGGATTTACTCTATGTCAACCTTTGCTTATCGAAGCCGTTTTGAACTCGCTCGAGGAACCTCAAACCTACCTGACTACTAATAAGGGCTACGGTTTGATTGGTGCTACGATCCTGGTCTACATAGGAATGCCACTTGCTACTGCTCTTTATTGGTATCTGCATGAACGAGCTTTGTTCATGTCACGGGCACTTTTGGTCTCTGCGATATATGACAAGACGATAAAGGCAAAGACTTCGGCCGCGGACGACTCGGCCGCTGTTACGCTTATGAGCAGCGATGTCGAAAGGATCAGGATGGGTCTCATGCAGCTTCACGAGTTCTGGGCAAATCCTATCCAGGTAGCTATTGTGTGTTGGTTACTTCAGCGCCAGCTTGGCACGGCATTTGTGGCTCCTGTGGTCGTCGTCCTTATTTGCATTGTCGCCTCAACTGTCCTAATGCGTTTTATTGGCCCGAGGCAAATGGCTTGGATGAAAAGCATCCAGAGGCGGGTCGGCCACACAGCGAATGTCATTGGTAATATGAAACATTTGAAGATATCGGGGCTCACCGCACCCGTTGAAGAGTCAATTCAAAGGCTGCGTCTTGAAGAGTTGAAGGCTGGAGGCCACTTCCGTGCTTTTCTCGTGGGTTCTGTGGGAATTGGATTCACGCCAGTTCTCTTGGGCCCTATCTTTGCATTCGCTCTCTCATCTCGCGAACTGAATGTTACGACTATATTCACGTCACTGTCATATCTCCAGCTTCTCTCAGGACCATTGTCATTGCTATTTCAAGTTCTTCCTCAGTTGCTTGCGGCGTTTTCGTGCCTGACACGAATTCAAGCGTTCCTTGAGAAAGAGCCTAGGGAAGACTTCCGTCAAATTTTGGGAACAAATGCATTGTCCAAGAAAGAGCATTCGAGTGAAAAATTGCCATCGAGCGTAGAGATCAAAAACGCAGACTTTGGCTGGGAAAAGGATGTCTCGACTTTGAAGAACATCAATGTTTCCATGTCCCAGGGATTGAATATGGTTATTGGTCCCGTTGCCTCTGGGAAGTCGACGTTATGCAAAGCTTTGCTTGGAGAAACTCCCATTGCATCTGGAGAAGTTCTCATAAGAACCAAATATCACAGGATCGGATACTGCGATCAAGTTTCCTTCCTCCCCAACGAAACCATCAGGGACACCATCATAGGCTTCTCAAATTTTGACGAGGAAAGATATGCCAATGTTATCGAAGCAACAATGCTCTCTCAGGACCTGCCTCTTCTCTCTAAAGGAGACCAAACCAAGATCGGCAGTGACGGACTCGCTCTCAGTGGTGGACAGAAACAGCGAATCTCACTTGCCAGAGCATTGTATCTCCAATGCGATGTGCTTATTCTTGACGATGCCCTTGGTGGACTAGACTCCAACACAGAAGAACACATCTTCCATAATGTTTTTGGACCTTCAGGAATCCTCAAGGCAAGAGAGGCAGTTGTGATACTTTGTACAAACGCCATCCGACACCTCCCATCAGCCGATTATATCGTTGCACTGGGAACTGACGGCACCGTCGTGGAACAAGGTCGTTTCCCTGATCTTGTTGCGAATCACCAATACGTTCATAGCCTTGGAGTCCAGGCTGACGCCAACGGTATATCCCACCCAACAACAATACCCAAGATACCACAGCCCGGGATTGAGATTCAAACGAAGTCGGGCCAGGCAAGCACTGCCGACGATGAAGCATCCGTTGCCGAAACCGATGACAAGAAATCGAGCAGAAAACTGGGTGACCTTTCCATCTTCGCACACTACTGCCGGAGCATTGGTACTTTCTGGCTCAGCAGCTTCTTCTTGATTGGTCTTCTTTGCGGATTCTTTTACAACTTCCCTACGATCTGGCTAAGCTACTGGGGCACAGATTCTTTCACTCGATCAAAATCTTTCTACATTGGTATATACGCTTTTTTCCAATGTCTGGCCTTAACTACAGTCATCAGCGAGGCAGCCATCGGCATGATATTAATCATTCGCAACGCTGGGTCACGTCTACACGAGGCAGCATTGCGAACAGTTATTTCCGCGCCGCTGCGTTTCTTCTCCCAGACAGACACGGGAATTGTCACAAATCTGTTCTCCCAGGATATGACGCTTCTTGATGGCGAGCTTCCACAGGCTTTGATCAATACGTCCCTACAAACCTGGATCGCGGTAGGTGGGGCGGCAGTTGTTGCAACATCGTCTCCCTATATTCTCGTCGCTTATCCCTTCATTGTGGTGATTCTTTACGGCGTTCAGAGATTCTATCTCCGCACATCTCGCCAACTTCGGCTGTTGGATCTAGAGGCAAAAAGCCCGCTTTAGTATGTCTCCATTGTTACTGTATTATGGTATCCTTTACTAATTCTTAATGTCTCTAGCACGCACTTCTTGGATACGATCAAAGGCGCAGCCACCCTGCGAGCTTTTGGTTGGATAGAGGACTCCGTCTCTGTAAACCATGCTCTTTTAGACACCTCGCAACGCCCTGCTTACCAGTTGAGCATGATACAGCGATGGCTGTCCTTTGTGCTCGACATGGTCGTGGCGGTTATTGCATTGTTAGTGGTCACTCTTACTACTCAACTTCGTCCCAGCACTGGCTTCACCGGTGCGAGTTTGGTGTCAATTATGACCCTTGGGAAAACTTTGGCTACTCTGGTGCAAATGTATACGTTGCTGGAGACCTCAATTGGAGCCGTCTCCCGCTTAAAGTCTTTTAGCGACAATACTGTTCCGGAAGATCTACCTGGCGAGGATGGCATTCCCCCAACTGCATGGCCAGTGAAAGGCAGGATCGAAGTCAAAAATATGTCTGCATCATACGGCGGTGCCGAATCAACCGAGAAGTCGGAAGGCTCGGACAAGCTTGCGCTTCGAGATCTTACATTCACAATTGAAGGGGGACAAAAAGTAGCAATTTGCGGAAGAACAGGAAGGTGAGTCTGAAACGATCTTTAAGCAGATATATTCATCGGTGTTCATTAGTGCTTAAAACTGACGGTTACTTTTAACAGCGGTAAATCCTCTATCATTCTCCTCCTACTACGCCTCTTAGAGCCACTTCTTCCATGCACTGGCGAACTCACCATTGACGATGTCTCACTCCTGACAATCGACCGCTCCACCTTGCGCCTGCGGATTATCGCAGTGCCCCAAGATTCAACATTCTTCCCCGACGGCACTCCCTTCCTCAAAAACCTCGACCCATTCAATGTTGCGAACGAGGAGGAGTGCCAGGCAGTGCTCGAAATGACAGGGTTATGGGCCCTGGTATCTGAGCGCGGAGGGCTCACCGCCGGACTGAGTGCCGATGGGCTTAGCCATGGCCAGAAGCAGCTGTTCAACCTGGCAAGGGCGGTCCTGCGTCGGCGTGTTCATGCTCGCCATCTAAATACCGAAATTGGGGATGCTTACATCAAGTCGCGCACTTCCGCAACTGAGGCTCCGGGTGACACTGGTGTCCTTATCCTGGACGAGGTCAACCGTGGTGTTGATATGGCGACGCAGAAGACCATGCAGGATATTATACAGCGTGAGTTTGCAGGATACACTGTTGTTATGGTCAGTCATGGGCTCGATATGGTTATGGATTTCGATAAGGTTTTTGTTATGGATGAAGGTAGGCTCGTGGAGGAGGGCAAGCCGATTCAATTGGTTGACGAGGTGGACAGTCGGTTTAGAGAGCTGTGGATGGTTGGAAAGCATGAAGTTCCCTCGGCAGTTGAGTAGTTTGATCAGACCTATATTATTTGTTCTCAGTATGTCTCTGCTCTTGTTACATAGTTTCTTTCCCTTTGTTATATATATATATATATATATTTTTTTTTTTCCCTAGTGCTTCAAGATTTTTACTGCTTGTTGTGTTTCTTTGTAGCCGGAGCTATGGATGTCGGTGGCATGAGGAAGTGGGAGAACCCAGGAAAAACCATTTCACTAATATGTCAGAACATTAAATGCAATTACTCAAATATGTATATACTACATATGTATACAATAGGACATTTCAAGATTATATTCATAGAAACATGCGAAACGTGCTACACTAACAGCAATCTGATAAGGCTATCCGAGGCCAAGTCCCGTCCCGAGATGATCCTAGTTCTCTTTCGCACCACCACCACCTCCTGCCACAACCCTGTGGCCCTCGTTTTGGCCATGCAGTCTATGCCACAGCTGCTTAGGCAATCTTTCCGGTCAAGCCTCCAACTCACAAGCACCTCCTCCCCAGTACGAGCGCACTTCCGCCCTGCATTCTCCGTCACCAGATCGACTCCGCGGAGCTTCTCCGCCTGCGTACAATGTCAATTCCGCCGACAGCTGGGCTTATATTCGGCCTTCAATGACCGAGAGAAGTTCTCCGCTGATACGGAGAGGTTAATCAGGGAAAAGGAGAAGGAACTGGCTGATTTGGAGCTCGCCTCGCGCGACCCGGCCCCGATCCCAGGTGTGGAGGCGGGCAGTTCCCTCGATTCCGTACCTCCTGTGACAGAAACCAATGAGACCACCGCACAACCACAAACAAAGGAGAACGAAAAGGACCAGTCAGCTTCGGCTGAGGAAGATGTTAGTTCCGCTGGTGCAAACAGCGGGGGCCTGCCCTCGTACCTGGAAAGCCGTCGGTCAAAATGGTCCAAGCAATTCAGCACAATGATGGACAATGTGCAATCCAATGTCTTTGTAGCGGGTCAGCGTTTAAACGACCTGACTGGATATTCCAGCATTGAAGCTCTGAAGAACGATATCCAGTTCCACGGTATGTAGCATACGACCACCGCCCAAACCCCAACCCGCTCAATCCCAGGTACTAATCCTGCCCAATCATCCAGAGAACCGACTCCGCACCGCCCGATTGAAGGTCAAGCAAGCCAAAGAAGAGTACGCCGCAGCAATTAACCGCCGCTCAACCTCCCAACGCGAAGTAAACGAGCTCCTCCAACGCAAGCACGCCTGGTCCTCAACAGACCTGGAGCGATTCACTCTCCTCTACCGCAACGACCACACAAACGAGGTTGCCGAGACCGAAACCTCGCAAGCTCTATCAGCCGCAGAGCGCGAAGCCGAGGAGGCAGCCGGACAACTGAGCAAGAGCATCCTCTCCCGATACCACGAGGAGCAAGTCTGGTCTGACAAGATCCGCCGCATGTCGACATGGGGAACATGGGGTTTGATGGGCATGAACGTCCTACTATTCCTTGTCTTCCAGATCCTCGTGGAGCCGTGGCGTCGGAAGCGACTCGTCAAGGGATTCGAGGACAAGGTTGTTGAAGCATTAGAGAAAGAGAAGATCCTGAATCGGGCCATGTTTGCCGAGAACGCTGTTTCGATCTCGGCGTTGCCGAATACCACCATCCTCCCCGAGGTCATTGATTCTACCGACGAGAACCTGGTCGAGACCGCTCCTTCTCTTTTGATTGAGCCGAAGCTTGTTAAGCTGGAGACAGATGCAGCCACTACGGGGTCTGTCATCTCGGTGACTGACGCTAATGCATCCCAGTCTCTCCAGACTCGTCTCGCGAACATTACTGCGCCGGTTCTGTCGCTCGAGTACTGGAAGCAGGTGGTTGGCGAGTTCTTCAGTGACCGCAGCATTGCTGCCTCCCAATACGATCTCACTACTGTGGCTCTTCAGAGTGCGGCAGCTGGTGCAGCTGTGACGGGCCTACTTCTCGCCCTGATCGGATCTCGGTAAAAGAATCATTCCCTTTGAGCATGTTATATTGCATTACCAGCGAGAACTCAACATCTGGTTCATGTTTGGTCTTTTTGGATAATAACTTGCCCTTTTGCTTGGGGTGGTTATACTTGTACATACAATTGAGAAAAATAGATAAGCAGTTGGATATAACCTTGGAATTGAATTTAGTGTACGACTACTTGAGCGTTGTCTGGATATATATCAAAACACCGAAGCATTGGTGTTAATTGTGGCTATTACAAAAAGAATTAAAGAAGCGTTGATCTAGAACAAAGGAAATAACATGACTAGGTGATACACTAAACAAAGAACATATGTACTTAAGGAGACCATAGGATATCCTCTGAACTCCACAGCTCGTGTGTTTGCCATGGAGAAAGATCAAGATCCAGGAAGATAGGAACAAAGGAAGAAAGAGGCTCATTTTTTTGTCCATATTAAAACACAGGTCTCTTAATCTTGACAAGACACACGGCCGCTCTGTCTAAAAAAGGGGAAAAACAACACACACAAGCACAAGCACATACACAGATAGATAGGACACATAATCCATCCATCTTTATCTCATCGACACTTCTAATGAGACAGTCCGCCCGTTGGCGGCGATCAAAAAAAGGGTGTATTCGAAATTCGCTTAACCGATAACCAGGGTCTCCTCCTCGGGGAAGCTGTAGGTGGGGACCTCCAAGTTAAGAGGGGCAGGGCCTCTGCGAATGCGACCGGAGATATCGTAGTGGGAACCGTGGCAGGGGCAGAACCAGCCGCCGTAGTCACCGGCCTCACCGATGGGGACACAACCCAAGTGGGTGCAGACACCTGTAGAGGGAGAAGGAGAGTTAGAATGTTGGGAGGTTTGCCAATCGCAGGTTTACTTACCGAGCATGACGAGCCACTCGGGACGCTGGACGCGGTCCTCATCGGGCTGGGGGTCACGGAGACCCTCCCACTTGGCCTCACGGGCCTCATCGATCTCGCTCTGGGTGCGGTGACGGATGAAGACGGGCTTACCACGCCACTTGATGATGACCTGTTGGAAAGGGTGTTAGATAGGGATACTGGGTACTGGAATGTGTCGAATGAGGTGGCGAATGGAAACACGTACGTTCTTGCCCTCAGGGATGGCACCGAGAGAGATCTCGACCTTGGCCTGGGCCAGGACATCGGCGGAGGCGGACATGTTGACCAGGAAATCTGGAGAGAAAGGAATAACATCAGTCGTGTGTTCAAAGTCGCCCGAATTTCCCGATAATTCAACAATCTTGTTCAATCCCTTGTATTCCATGCCAATGTTGTTTCCCATCTCTTTCTGATTCGAGGAGTTCGCAAAAACCTACCCTGAACAGTGGCCTTGGCACCGACAGCGCTTGCCAGACCGAGGGAGCCGGCCATGAAGTAGGAGAAGACCTGGTTGGAGCGGGGCGACTTGTTGGACTTGTACTTGCTGAAGTTGGGGATCTTCAGGGTCGAGCCACGCTCGTTAGCGCTGGCGAAGGGAGATTCGAAGGACGACTTCGCATCGGCAACTCCCCTCCGCTGCTGGCAGGAGGTGACGGCGGCGCGGGAAGTGGGCAGCTGCTGCCGAGCGACGGTGCGCAGCAGAGTGCTGGAAGCGGAGGAGAGCGACATTGTGAGGGCAATTGACCACGGAGGGAATTGAGCCGCGAGTTGTGGAGAGCGAGGTGAGGATGGAGGGTGGATGAAGTCGGAAGTTGAGGTTGGAGCCAGAGCTTTCGCTAGCGATCGGAATCACGGGGCCTGTCATTGGCTGATCAGTTCCCGTTCACTCCCTAACAAGAAAAACATTCTTACTTCTATACTATTTGTATATAAGTTATATTTAAACGTATTTAAACTTATTTCTATTGATGATATTGTTTAATTATTGCTTATGTTTTAAAACTGACTCGTCAATTGTATACTATCTCCTTTTCTTTTCTGTCAATATCTAACCCGACCCAATGCGACCATACAAATCCCAAAACCAATGCGCAGGGAAACCCATCAGAAAACTCCTATGCAAATAACAAAATTCAAAAAGCAAAAAGGACACTATAGAGCAATCAATCTTGCATCTCCACATCATGGTCATGGGTGGCCACGGGCTCGACTGTTCGGTCCGCAATCAACGCGCTTACAGGGACCATAGGCCGAGGAACCGACGGAGATGTTGCCTTCGAGTCTTCTCTTTGTGGGGTGGCATCTCCCGTAGCTGTGCCATTTTCTGGTGCCGGAGGTGCACCAGTACCGTTGAGAGTACGCTGGCCCTTCTCCATGGCGCCTTGATTCGCCGCATCCTTCGCCTTCTTTTCTTTGAATTGTTTGTAGGTCGTAGTCTTAGGGATCACGTCGGAAAGGAACTCGAGATTGTCGGTGTGTGATACCGCCGAAGCTATTGCAGGTTAATATGCTGTTTGACTCTTGCCAACTATAGGCATGATAGGCATCACCAACCAAGATCTTTGTACTGGACGGTCTTGCGTGGTTTTCGCTCAGATTTGACCACGTTGTGCCCTTGCTCAGCAAGATATTGGATGAACATCTCCTAAATCTAGTATTAGCCGGTGTGCGAGTCATGGAGGTAGAGGGTTTGGCGTACGGTAGCCATGGCGATAACGAAGGTTGCGTTGTTCGAACATTGTACGATATCCTCGTCCAACTGGATAATCTTCTTGATTCGAGCAACTATAGAAACGTGTTAGTATGCCGCCTTAAAGTAATAGTAGTGTCTGGGGCGTACTCGGAAGTGCGCTCTGTCCGGTGATCTCATCCGGCTCTCCCACGGTTTTTGGAGCCATGATGTTTAATTCTGGTGGGATAAAGTATTGGCCGAACAAAAGTATACAATTTGCAGTATGCGCTAGTCCAATATTCCCGTTGTAGACGTAAGTGGGCGCGAGCGTGGAGTCGAGGAAGAGTAAAACGCGTGGCCGCGTTATCTCAGGAGGCTCCCCGTTATCGATCCATGGATACTTGGCGACTTCGCTTTGTCACATCATCTACTTTCAAGACCTCTATTCACCTCTTCTGAATTGTCGCCTATAGAGGTGTTGAACAGAAGCACCTCAGAGGGATCTGACTTCAAATCTGGCGAGTTCGTCCTCTCGCAGCGAATTGCGACGTCCATCGCGGACACAAGAACAGATCATCGAGCCAACCTTAAATCGATTATGCTGACCCTACCCCCTCGATCAATGTTATGACCTCTCCACGCCTCTCCCCGGCCTTTGATAGGTCCCTTTCAGTTTCACGAGAGCGACGCAGCTCCCGAAGGCCATCTGGTCGTTCTATTCCCCCATCGACCAACAAGCCGATTCCGACAACCAAGAAGCACCCGCCATTTCAGAGGAGATCAGTGGGATCAAGCGCTATGAAGATTTTACCACAATAGACTGGGTTCAAGATGCTGTCTACGAGCAGTCACGGCGGCGCGCGAAACGGCGCAGCGGCACTAGATTCTGGGATCAGGAAGGCATTTTGGGCTGGAGACGGAAAATGTACGAGTCATACGATGCAGGCCAAGCATGGCTTGTTGTTACGCTTGTGGGAATGGCAATTGGATTAAACTCAGCTTTGCTCAATATCATCACGGAATGGCTCTCTGATATTAAGCTGGGCCATTGTACTACCGCATTCTATCTCAACGAGTCTTTCTGCTGCTGGGGCGCTGAGAATGGTATGTTCAGTAGGTTGTACAGCAAAATCATTATAAACTAACCCTTTCCCTTTGATAGGCTGCCCTGAGTGGAAACATTGGACTTCATTTTGGCTGTTCAATTATGTTTTCTATTTCTTTGGCGCGGTAAGACCTATGCCCGACTAATTAATACTTGAGAGATTATGAATCCATAGGCTAATTTGCGAGGTAGTTACTACTTTCATCCATCGCCGCAGTCCTGGTCAAATCATTTGCGCCGTATGCCGCAGGCTCTGGTATCTCAGAGATCAAATGCATTATTGCTGGCTTCGTCATGAAGGGTTTCCTAGGTGCTTGGACTCTTCTAATCAAGTCGATTGCCCTTCCACTGGCTATTGCGTCGGGTTTGTCTGTTGGCAAAGAGGGGCCCTAGTGTGCATTTTGCCGTGTGTACCGGAAACGTGATATCACGGTTCTTTGGTAAATACAAACAAAATGCATCAAAGACGAGAGAAATCTTGACTGCCTCGGCGGCAGCTGGTGTGGCTGTCGCTTTTGGCAGTCCAATTGGAGGCGTGCTGTTCTCTCTAGAGGTGAGTTCAATAGCGCGCTACCTCATGGGACGAAAGCTGACAGTAATTAGGAAATGGCAAACTATTTCCCCCTCAAGACTCTTTGGCGCAGTTATTTCTGTGCCTTGGTCGCAACGAGTGTGCTGGCGGTACGTTCCCCATATTGTCAATTGATTCTGGACCATACCTGATCCATTATAGGCTGTCAATCCTTTCAGAACTGGTCAATTGGTCATGTTCCAAGTGGAGTATGATCGCACATGGCACTTTTTCGAGCTCCTCTTCTTTATTGGCCTCGGTGTCTTCGGTGGACTTTACGGCGCATTCGTAATGAAATGGAACCTTCGAATGGCTGCCTTCCGCAAGAAATACCTTTCACAGTGGCCCATAACCGAGTCAGTTGTTCTCGCGGGACTCACTGCGATCCTGTGCTATCCCAACATGTTTCTGAAGATCAACATGACCGCAATGATGGAGATCTTATTCCGCGAATGTGAAGGTGGCCATGACTACGAAGGACTATGCGAGTACGAACACACCCCTCTATAGGCATGAGAGGACACTACTGATTTATTGCAGATCCAAGAACCGATGGCCGATGGTCTTCTCACTAGCTATTGCGACTGTTCTTCGCACTGGCCTGGTAATTATTTCCTACGGCTGCAAGGTACCAGCTGGTATCTTCGTGCCTTCGATGGCCGTCGGGGCTTCGTTCGGCCGCATGGTTGGAATCATGGTACAGGCATTATATGAATCATTCCCGCAATCGGCATTCTTTGCTTCGTGTGACCCAGATGTTCCTTGCATTACGCCGGGAACATATGCGTTCCTGGGAGCTGGGGCAGCCCTTAGTGGAATCATGCATCTGACCATCTCTGTAACGGTCATTATGTTCGAGCTGACTGGCGCACTGACCTACATTCTACCGACCATGGTAAGTCTTCATTCCAAATGGCATTTTTTTCGTTTGACCACACTGACATTCTTGTACAGATCGTGGTAGGCGTCACCAAAGCCGTTGGTGACCGATTCGGCAGCGGCGGTATCGCCGATCGAATGATTTGGTTCAACGGGTTCCCATTCCTAGACAACAAAGAAGACCACGTCTTCAACGTACCTGTATCCCACGCAATGACCACAGGCCCGCTCTCGGTGCCAGCATCGGATTTCCCCGTACGCGAAGCAGAACATCTCCTAAACGACAACAAGTTCCAAGGCTTCCCCGTCGTGGAAGACCGCACTTCCAAAACCCTAGTCGGATACATCGGCCGAACCGAACTCCGATATGCTATCGACCGCGCCCGCAGCCAAGGCATGGTCGCGCCAAACGCCCGGTGTGTATTCACCAAAGACGCAGCTGATGCAGCCATTGCGCGCAGGGCATCCGTCTCGCACCACGCTCGGTCAGATACATTCGATGCAATCGAGCAGAGCGCTGGAGCATCTTTCGTCGATTTCTCACGATATGTCGACCACACACCGCTGACCGTTCACCCGCGCCATCCTCTCGAAACGGTCATGGAGATTTTCAAGAAGATGGGCCCGCGCGTTATTCTCGTCGAGCACCGCGGTAAACTCACCGGCTTGGTTACTGTCAAGGACTGCTTGAAGTATCAGTTCAAGGTCGAAGCCGAGGAACATACTCTGGCAGCGACGAGTTCTTCTGAATTCGGTGCGCTTGGTGGACATCTGAATAACCCTGCTCCTGAAACACTGGAAGACCGCTTGTGGCGGCTCATTCAGAATGTCGCTGGGTTTGTGTCTGGTAAGGTCTCTCGCCGGCCGGTCCGGCCGCGTGACCGCACTGTACCTAGGCAATCGGAGCCGGCGGATACCACAGCAGGCAGGGATGATGATGCAGCGGTAGAATTGGAGGATAGAGAGGATCGGCCGATGATCCCATGAAAAGCGGGATCGCTACGTTGCTATGTTCGTACGTTACCTTACGTTAATTGACAGATGATTGCTACATATCAAGCGTTGCTCGTCCATCTATTTCCCCATTGCAAGCTCCAATATGTTCAAGCCGACAGAGGCAAGAGTTGGAATTCCGTATATCTCACCAGAGTAAAAGGTGCCCAATAAATCTACACTGACTAACCCTATCACACCTTACTCCCGTTTAACTTTATACGGAGGTTACTGCAACTAGGATGGTTTAACTCGGAACTATGAACTACGTCCTAGGAACAAGATATCATGTTTGCTAGTATCGTTTGTTTGTTTTTGGATTTTCAAGGCAGAAGTTGCTGTGTAGTTCGATGAGGTGAGTCAGAAAAAATGGTAAAATGTATTCATCTCAAGGCAAGTGAGGTGCATGATATCATCCCCTTCTCTAAGCCATATCTCCACTAATGCCCCCTTGGATCGCAATTGTCAAGGCAATTCTGGCGAATGTATCCACGCCCTGTGCACTGGAAACCAACTATACGTTCGTGCTGTAGTCTTGGCATGATTCTACGTAGTATATTGCGACCGTTGATGGTGAGTCGCACGCCGTCCATCCTTTTATTCGGAAGGTGGTCACGTAGGACATCGCTCAAGTTTGTGATCAAAAGGTATTGAGTTGTCTCCCGATTTGTGTCGATCTTCCTGACGATCTCCTCAACCATCCTGGCTAGAGTCAAACGGTCGATCTCCCTTTGGATTTGTTCAACTTTTGGGTTATTCGCCGCCGCGTTCGGGGAGTCAAACGTTCAGCGTCATCGGGAATATGGAAGTCCGATTCTAGGGAGGGAAGACTGATGTGGGAATCACGTTCAGAGAAATCGCGAGGGGGTTCGGACATTGAAATTTCGTAATGTGAAGTTCGTAGCAGGCGGACAGCTAAGAGGTCACAGGCGGGTGAAGTAGATGGGGGTGACATGACTGCGGTATGCTTGTTGTGGATCTCCCTTCGCGGATTAGAGAAAGCTGCTACAGCTTCCCTCGGTGATGTATCGATTCTTCAGCAGCCTCCATTAACATTCAGGTCATGTTGATAAGAATGTTCCGAAATCTCCAAGCACGATACGGCCAGCGTGCTTAGGTGCGCTACGGGCCGTATTCCTGCATTTCGTTGTGGATGGATCGGATGTTCATGTGGATTCTTCAGCAAACCCTACACTGGGTATCTTGCGATTCATTTCCGTCCAATCGTCCAAATTATTTGTTCTAAGTTCCATACTTGACTGGTTGGATTGCCAACCAACAAATCATCATTTCGGCGGTCTCTTGCCATAGAACTTCTGTACTTGACCGAGATTCATCGGTCCAGGCTTCTAGGTCCACTCGCACTCGCATTCTGGCGAGTGGTGTGAACGACAATGACAGAGTGATATGGTCGCCATGGCGCGTTTCTTATATTCGAGTTCCTCTGTCACCACTAGGCATCTTGACATAACTGAGGATATGATTCCGAGACAATGACTTCAAGGGGTAGGGGGAACTTCCCTCAATCTCGATCCCAGACATCTGTTAAGCTCTTTGCTCCAAATCTCCCTTGATTTCTTGGTGATAGGTGGGGGGCTCTATGCACGCCTAGAGACCATGTCATTTCCGGTACATCCTCTATCCGAGGACTTTTGGCAATGTACCCCCAGCATCCCATAAACATGGGATGCGTGGAGCCTTGCCCAGGACGGCTATGGAGGAAGTCAGAAGGTGACTGTAAGCACGATAAGTAAGAAAATGACACAATAATCAACGTGATTTCACTCACCGGATGGCCTGTTTTCTCCTTTGGCCCGAATAGGGTATATCAGGTATGAGGGTGAGCCTTGAGATGGTCCTTTCAAAAAGAACGGGATCTCTAACTTGAGTGTGTGAGGTAAAAAGTGAAAAGTACGGGATCAAGAGGGAAAGAGAAAATATCGACCTTGAACCGTCCAGAAGTGGTCAAAATCAGGAAAGTGCATGTCTCCAATCCTCGTGACCAGGTACAATCCAGTCCAACATACCATCCAATAACTTACCTTCTCACTACCCTCATCACCTCCAACTGTGACTCATCCAATGATAAAAAGGATACCTGCCATGCTCTTCGGATCACCAAAATAAACACCAACAAGGCTCTTGCCACCTGAACAGTGAACAAGGAAAGGGCACACGGAAAGGATCGTGATATTGGAGGGGCTCGGATACAAAGGTCAACGACCTTGATAACCATCACCGAGATACCACCAATATGTTCGCCATTAGCTGGGTCCACAATCAGCGCGTAGCGAAAAACCAAACCAACCCCGTTATACCCGGGCGGAGTTGGAGATCGTCCCTTATGGGCGCGAGTTTCTTGTGGAGACTCTTCATGATTCTCGTTGCATTTCCATACACTACCAGATCTCCATTGGTGGGGTTGGCCTTTGCTGCACAATCTGCCGAGACATCATGGGAATATATTCAATTCCACCGTGTCTCACTGTGTCTGCACTGCATTGGAGAGCTAGCGTTCTCCTAATATCATCTGATCCTCATGGGAGCAACTTCAGAGACGTTATTGAAGCCCACAATAAGCTACGAAAACTTGCCAAAGCCATGGACATCCCAAGGGGAGACAGCAAGCCAAGTTATACCGCTTTGTCTCTTGTGCTCTCATAGCCTCGTTGATGGAGTGAAGAAATGCCAGCTTGTGGAAATTGCCACTGGGGCAAACTAGGGAGCATGATGCCCAGGCCAGGCTTTATTCGTCTGAATGACGAAAATCCGTATGAACATGTTCCTCTGCCGGACCGGTATATTGGAATGAATATTGGGTATGGGCCAAAACCGCCATCGCCATATTCATGAACATGTACTAATATGTGCACATCAGTATGTCTTTCCTAGTCATCTTTGACCCTGACTGCCTTCTACGTGGAGCCTGAACCGTCGAAATCCGAGGAGATAGATGGCCCGGTCCCATCTCCTTCCGATCACTTCAGCCAAGTGTGCAACCCGGAAATGGACGGCTCTGCTACCATGTCTCCTCTTCTCTTGCCTGAAAAGGAATCAAACATGAGGAACCAAGCACGAGTGGCCATCGGACAAGCAGAAGAGTGACGACGCAGAGGCTTCTGAAAAGCCTAGGAAATCACCGTTATGAGATTCCAAGTGCAATAACCGCCTGATGCAATTCGAGAACAGCGACTAAAGCCACGGTCAACAAGGTTCAGAGGCCGAGCGACTTCAAATGCTTTGAGCACCAGTATCATAATGTCTCGGACGTTCTTGGATTGAGCACCAACGTTGAACGCCAAGTAAAGTTGGTAGGAAACTCAAAGTCCCTTGGGATGTTGGGTTGTTCGATGAGCCGCATATACGTACATAGCTTCTGTTGTCAATACCGAGCGCCTCGAACACAATGGACCATCACCAAACCGGAGGATCATAGTCGTCATCATATCCCCCCTCACCTCCGCGAGCTATCATCCGAGGCTATCACCGTAGGCGAGGGATGGGAGTACACGCGACATTCATTGTTGTCTCATTCTGGTAGTAGTTCCTTCTCTTTTTTCTCTTGTTTTCCCAAAGTGAGTGAGTGCTGTCGATAAGTACAAATATAGTCGACATGTTCTATAGTGGCTCTTGAAACTAAATTGAGCAATGCACACAGAGTAACTCTTCTTATAGGTCTAATTCTCACATCACGTAGAGCATGTATTCCATGGCTTTTGTGCGACAAGGCCACGTCGTATACCGAAAGTTTGTTGATCACGTTGAGCAACAAATGGTCAGGAGGATTCGGCAAAGACGGCACCTTTTTCCTGTAAAGCGACACTGTATTGAGTCAACAGAAAGGATAAAGTTCGGAAGATAGCATAAGTTGGAGGAAAGGAGGTGCGAAGTACTAAAACTTGATGTTGGCGCGAGGGCCTTAGAAGAAATCCGTTTGACCTTCCTATTCCTTTTTCTCTTATTTTTCCCCCGAGTTCTGTCGGTATTCATACATAATATACAATTATTTTGATTCTATCCTGCTTCCCTCCAATATCTTTTGATATCATGGTTCGTTTGTATGTGTTATTGCTTTTGTAGACTCGTCATCCCCCGTATCACTTCCTTCTCTCCTCGTGAAAAGTGAGAGCGGAATACTATCTCTACGGTAGCGACGTGGAGTACTTTGACTTCGACTACCCGAAGGATAAACTCGGTGGCTGGCAGAGTGTGATTCCCCGGTGCTGCTAGGAACCAGTCTTGGAAATAGCTTGGTCATGATCGGCTTGGTTGCCGGGATGCTGGCAGCAATGATAGCGACAGCCATTTCAATTCCTGACCAAATAGATATCCCAAAGGTATCCCAGGAGGGATCCGAGCTTTGATAAAATTTCACAATATAGGCCATCCGCACGATGCTGGCTATACATGCACTGTTTTATCTAGTTAGCACTAATGCGTGTATCAAATAAAGAGCACACTTTGCACATACAAGGAGCCCAATGATAGCAAACCGGCGATGATGAATCTTTTCCCAGTTCTAAGATGAAGCCCCAGAACTGTTTTCAGTGGCAAGAGAAGAATCCAAATATCCGTCACCAGAGACAGCGCGGCAGTCGCATACCAAAACGGAATAGATGGGAAGCAGGTATAATGTTTATATTTCTGTTCGTCGTAGACAGCATCGACCGGGGAGCACTGAAAGATGGTCGCGAGGATAATTGCGACACTCATGGCTGTGACGAATGCGATTGTTGCAAGGGAGATTATTCGGATGTTAGGAAACACGCGTAGGTATAGCAGACATATTGATACCTTGATCAGACCGCTGATTAGGGTATAAATGATGTGAGTCACGTATTGAACCTATATGTCGAACATCGATTAGCTTTCTTCTTGTGATTTATGTCCCTATTTCTCCTATACCTTCGCTGTAGGCACCACATCTGCTTTGGGGACATCCCATTTGTGTCTCCCTGTGCCATACTTGACTCCTAGTCATAACATATCAGAGATGGGATGATCATATAAAGGGCAGAGGGCGTACCAAGTCCCGCGATCACCACATTCAAAATTGCGAAGATCATCGCGGCCACCATCATCCAGTCATCTACACCCAACATTTTCACAATGAAGACCCTTGAAACCACGCGAAGGCCCACAATGAGCGTCGCGACGCCTGTTATCGTGCCATTGATGATCAGCAATAGGGGTCCACGGTTCTCAATCTAGACGGATATACAGTTAGAGAAAACCCCATGGGGAGAATGTTTCGCCTTTGGGTGGGACCTTGACTTACTTCGGATCGCGGGTGAAAGAATGTCTCCATAATACGTCGATGTCCGACTCAAAGTGAGGAGAAAGGGCACGAACTAAACCGCCATGGAAGCCCCATATTAAACGGTCTCTATACCAGAAAAATTTAAGGGATTTTTTCCAGCTGTCGGGATAAATAGTATATTGGCGACTGGGGTGCAATCGCTGACATGGCTAGGTCAATGACGTTACAGAAGTCCGTTCTCATTGTAGAAATATTATTCCGCCGGGTCCTAACTCCCCCCGGAACTTAAAATTAACTTCATACGGAGAACGGAGTATATACCACTTTTATAACTATGGCGTATTCTATTGCAATTTAACTACGGAGTATACTAAAGGAGGATCCCATGTGATATGATTCGATGTACCCAGGCATAGCGATAGCCTTGTATTAAATGCCTTAGTTCGAATGGATCCGTACAAGGTATGTAGGGGTGAAATGAAATCTAGGGCCGATACAGCCCCGAAGTGAAACAATTGGTATTGCCAAGACAGAATACTTCTGGCCCCCTAAACTTGTCGCGATTACGGGGTACTCCGTAACCTAATTATTATTGCAATCTCCGTATCTCGCTTTCACCTACGGAGCACCGATCGCACTACTCCGTACGGAGTACCTAATTGACCAAGGCTTTGTCAGTGGATGTTGAGACATACCTAGACCCGGCGTTTTACCTCGGTGGAGAAGCACATTGTAAGGAGCGAATGGCGCTGTGAAGGGCTTAGAAAAAATGCGGAACTATGACTAGTCGATAATAGTTCGGGCCTGGCCTTTTAGCCTATGCCCCGGATAATATGTAGTACCCTGTCCTCGGTGCGAACTATATCTACAGGAACATGCTAGTGATAGACTTCTAATCCATATTGGTTATAGGCACCTAGAATCAAGCGGTGAAACTCCACCCTCCACGCGTCTTCCAATATAGTTTGCTGGGATGTTTAGTCCTTTGGAAATTAATGCTCCTATTAACTACCCTAGTACCTTAAACCTTGAACCTTGAATTGCTTTCTTTTTTGTTTTGCTTTACACACCTCTCGGCCTGCCAAGCACATCCTGATGCCTTCTCTTTTGCAGAAACTCCTGTTGGGAATTCCCCTGGCATGCCTAGCAACCGGCCATGCCCTCACTGATTCCGTCAGCTCGAATTACAAGATCGATGTTCACTCTCATGTCGTTCCACCCATCTGGAGGGAGGAATTGATCTCTGCAGGCTACCCAGTCAAGAATGGTACTTTGTATACAGATGGCTTCCCTGTCTCGAATTGGACACTGGATTCCCACATTACCACCATGAACAGCCTTGAGGTGAATTATTCGACAATCAGTGTCAGCGCCCCCGGCGTCTTCTTCCCTAAAAGAGGCCAAAAAGGCCAAATCTTTAGCCCGCAGAGTCAACCTCCAGCTTCATAAATACACTCGAACTTACCCAACTCGACTTGGAGCTCTCTGCCTTCTTCCTCTCCCTTACGTTGACGAGGCCGTCGAGGAGTTGAAGGTACCCTTCCACCCCTAGTAGATCATATCAAAACCTGGCCAAATCTAACTCTGAAATTGTAGTTTTGTCTAGATACCCTTGGTTTTGTCGGCGTGGGACTGTACACCAACGCCAATGGCACATATTTGGGTGACAAATCCCTCGACCCCGTCTTCTCGGCCTTGGACAAACGCAATGCCAGCGTGTTTGTCCATCCAGCCTCTCCGGAATGCACATCTGTCGCCAATGGCTGGCCCATTCCGATGACCGAGTATCCTTTTGATACCGTCCGTGCCATTGAGAACATGCTACTGACTGGTCAGCGTGCGCAATATCCGGATATCAAGATGATTTTTGCTCACGGTGGTGGCGCAATCCCCTTCCTGGCTACCCGCATCGCTGGAATGGCCTCCCTTCCCTGGTTGGGTGGGCTGTCAGTCCCTGAATCCCTGGCGCAACTCGCCGGATATTATTTTGATACCGCGGCCTCGACTTCTGCTATTCAATTGGCGGCTCTGAGGAGCTTTGTTGGCACAGATCAGATCGTGGTTGGAACTGATTGTAAGTGGACAGTACTAGTAACGTCCCCGAGATGTGCAGGTGCGGTATACTAACACGCCCAGATCCGTATGTTCCTGCCTCACAGGCATCGGCGGGATTATCCGCGATGCAGGTTAATGGTAACTTTACCACAGTGGAAATGGGTCAGATCAATAATCTGAATGCTTTGAAAATCTTCCCGCGGATTGTCAAGGCTTTGAAGCTCCACTGAGAGATGTATATTAAGCATTGCTTGTAGGTGGATAATTACTAACATAGAACACGAAAAGAGCTCGGGGCTCTTTTTAATTACTGCATTCTTGATTAGCGAGCTACTTCACATCTATAATCCATTTTTCCATTTTTTTTTCTTTGTCTGATGATGTTACCTACACGAACCCTCTGAAACAGACCGACTCCGTGGACAAAGCAGTGACGGACTATAGCAAGCAAGACACCAGATATATAGCTTCCGGACAGGCGAAATGTACTCCCGAGGCTCAGTATGTCCATGACCCTCTCAACTTTTCTGTCTTTCCCCGCCCCTCCCCCCTCCTCAGCTCATAACTTGCAATCCCAAAGAGGAGGGCTAACCTAGAACGTGGGTGGTACCAACCCCAATGCACCATATAGACCACTTCACACATATGCTAATGAAGTACATTTGATATTGTCAGTCTTTGGGGTTCCAAATTGTGCAGTGAGGTGCAGTTTTTAGTTCAGATATTTCTTACAATGATGCGCTGAAATGAAGTGAATTTGAATTTGAATTTGAATTTGAATTTGATATTGTTTACATTCACATAAGACTAAAGCAGAAAAGCAGACAGACACATAGAACAACTTCCACCCGAATCATCTTAGCGTATCTCTGCAAGCGCAGCCACTCTGTGTAAAACCTGTTGTAAAGCCGGACCAGAGTAGCTGAAGCCCTTATCCTTCGGATCAACAAAGCAGAATTGGAACGGACGACATAGTTTTTTATCCAGAGACTCCTTCTCGAGTGGGTATTCTGGGATCTTCCGAAAGCTCAGAAACTTGTTCTGTTCTATTACACTGTGGAGAACCAAACTGTCAAGATGGTACGCACCTCCACCCAACTCGCGGAGAATGGACCTCCAGCCTCCAAACTCCAGGTGTACAAAAGAGAAAGTCGCACGGCGAAGAGAACCTATGACGCTGTAAAGAAAGATCGCCAAAGCAGCCGAAGATTGGAATGACATCCGAGAGAATGTCAACTCTTGTAGTTCTGGCAAGCACCCAACCGATGAAATCTGGGCGAAAAGTGGAGCTGCTTCGCACTTCCAGCTGAAAAGGATCGCAAGTTTTCGGAGAGATTTGGCACATTGGATCATGCTCGCCATCCAATCAAGCGTATCGCGCTCGGCATCCGGAAGCGCAAGGCTCAGTTCTTTGAGGTGGGCGAAGGCTGGGATCCTAGAATTGGTGATAGGAAACAGAGTCAGGTTATCGTTGTCCCCGTGGGCCCTTCTTCTGTTTTTAATTATATCTATCGAGAAATATTCCATTCGAACGTGCTCAGTAGCTATAGCTTCGAGGACAACGCCAGTGGCCTCGTCAAGCGTGATGCCGTCGCAGCCGAGATGTGTGGTTGTATAGATTGAATTGCGCAGCTCGAAGGATTGGCAATTGGAAAATCGTTTAACCACATCTCGCCACGCTTGGATATAGGTTTCTTCTGATGTAGTATGAGGGGATAATGGTCCCAGGCAACCTTGTGAATTCCTGACGATCTCTAACTTGCGGACAGAGGGGCAAAAGATGGCGTCGTTGGCTGCTTCCTCGACCCGGGTAAGTGACTTTGGTGAAAGATCGGTCTTCAATGTGTGCACGAAAGTCTGTACGAAGTGGTGAAGGCTGCCCTGGTACATCGCTCGACAAGTGAGCCGAAAAGCGCATAGTTCGGGGGATTCGGTAAACTTGGCGATTTCCGCCAGTATTTCAACTGGGAGACTATGCATGCCTGATGAGCATCCTATTTGGATCCCCATACTGGACTGAGGAGTAGGAAACTCGATAAGATGAATTTGGATGCAAGAAATATGTGGGTTGGAAGGAGAAGAAGAATAGTTGGACAGTCGAAGATAAACAACGAAATCGTAGGGGACTTGGTAATAAAAAATAAAGGAAGTATCCGGGAAAGGAGATATTAGTATAGGATTCTTATGAAGCGAATAAGATAGAGATGGATGAAAGAAAGATAGTGAGTTTGACAAAAGAGAATAACGGTGAGTGGGAAGAAGAAGAAAAAGAACAGTTGGGAGTTGGGCAGTGGAAGTAAAACAACGAATTCGAAGCTCCGGTCCTCTTTTTGGGAACTATAAGGTTTATCGATAAAGGCAGTATAAACTGGTCACATCAAGGCCGCTCCTCTTTTGATCCATAGGGCATCGGAGCCACATGCATTTAACTGTATATAGTTTTGTTATCAAACCATGACATAGGGGAACAATAACACATGACAGTAATATATGAGAGGGAGTAAAGGCATAATCTGAAGTTATATTAAGCCATATATAATTAGGGTGGTATGACTGAAGGCCTGGGTTGTCAGGCAGGTGCGCAGGCGAAAATATAGATCAAGCTCGATGAGCATAACCCTTTCCCCGTCATGATTTGATGCCGATATGGTAATACAAAGTGATGAAAGGAAATTGGACAGTTTTTTGCCCACTGTGGAAGGTCCAATTGGTAAGGTCAAGATCGGGCTGATCCAGTAGTTTCCAGGTTTCCTTCGCGGTGCGGGTTCGGAGACAGGATATAAGCCCATCAATGAAGATAGTTAGAGGCGCCACGGGTAGAACGAATGTAAAAAATAGATGGACTGGTGAATCCCAGTACCAAACAAGAGTTACACAGAAAGTCCAGAAGAAGACTAGAGGCGAGCACAGACAAGTCCAAAGATCGCGGGATGTGATTTCGAATATGCTGAAGGGAATTGAATTAGCTAATGCAATAAATGCAATAAATGGTATTGATTTGATTATAACTTGCATAAACGAGTCCGCGGTCTCAACTGCACTCTTCAGAATTCCCGCTGCATCGTCATCTCCAAAGTGGTGGAAACAGATGTTGAAGATCCGACACTCTTTTTTCGAACTTGCTGCAAATCGAGGAACAGCTCGAGCATCTACCGGGCTCTCAATATAGGTAACGTTCTGCTGCTTCTTCGAAATTCGCTCCCACTCTTCAACATGGGGGTAAAGATCGCTTAAAATAAACTGAACAGGGCCATTGCCTTCGGACTCAAGTTCTTTGTTGAGCTCTGATTCGAGGACTGGCGTAGGCCCACCGGCACCGGCGCAGATGTCCAGAACTGTGTATGAGGAAAGATCTTTGAGATGCTCTTTGAAAACCGCACATGCCTGTTTGGCAAGACTTCCATGGCTCCACCCAGGAATTCGGAGATTCCACAGTTGGGTGAGAACCAGTTGCTCATGTTGGTGAAGCCATGCGGGGCACCAGGTTTGATCGCCAATCTCTAGAAGATGTGATCGAGGCCAAGAGAATAGTTGCATCGTGTGTGTTTCAAGATACTGGTGAGAAGAGTTGTCTAGTGAAAGAACGCGAGATAGGCTGCTGGCAGGGAAATTGCCCAGTCACGTGCTGCCACACAGACTCTGGTGTCACTTTTCAAATAAAAACACTGCGACAACAGAATACACGTTCCGTTGATTGTTTGATATCTCTGGAAGGTTGTGTCCCCTTAGATATCACCTGTGGCTGTATCTAGGGCCCCTCGGGATGTTTTCCCCGCCAAATCCACAACTCCTTTGGAATATATAGTTTTAATCTCCAGGTCGAGGAGTGTGTTTTATGCCATGGTATATTGATTTCATCTCCTATGGACTAAGCCTGAAATCCTACGTATCCATCGATATATTGCCTGCATACGAAGTGCATGGTGGTCTCACTCGAAATTCCCACTAGTCCTAATCCGGAACTCAACGCAGTCCAGGGAACATCACTTTGACATCAACGGAAAACATGAAGGTTGTTATTATTGGTGGAGGTCTAGGTGGCCTAGCCTGTGCAGTTGCCTGTCGCCGTGAAAGCATTGATGTGGAAATTCTTGAGCGGTCCCCTGAAGTCCACGAAGTTGGGGCAGGCATCCAAATCCCACCAAATGGCGGTAGGATAATGCGCGACTTCGGCCTACTTCCCCAACTACTCGAGAAAGGAAGTCAGGTGCAACAAGTAGATTTTCGAAGGTACAAAGATGGTCGCCTTCTGCGATCAATGCCATTTGGAGATGATATCACGGAGGAGTTCGGGGTGCCGTGGATGTGCGTGACTGGCCTGATCCTAATGTTTACAGACACTCTTAACCGCTTTGCAGAATTATTCATCGGGTGGAGTACCATCGCATTCTTCTTGATGAAGCAATCCGACTTGGTGCGGTTCTCCAACTCGGGGCAGACGTAAAGGATGTTTACACCAAGCAGCCAGCCGTTCTCCTCGCTGACGGGAGATGCATATCGGCAGATGTTGTGATTGGTGCTGACGGTAAGTTGATAGTTCCTTTGCCGGTTATATCGTTTTCTATCACTGACAAGGAAAGGCCAAATGTCTACGGTCAGAAAGGCTGTTCTTGGATCTCCTCATTCTCCAGTCCCTACGGGCGACATGGCCTATCGAGCAACCTTTTCACGAGAACAGCTGGAGGCTTTGGGTGATGAAAAGGTAAATGAACTGTGTCAGAAAATTGCAGTTACAAGTTGGCTGGGACCGGAGAAGCATACTATTTTCTACCCTCTCCGGGGTGGAAAGGAGTTCAATCTTGTTCTCATGCGGCCCGATAATTTATCATCGGACTCTCGCAGGGCGCAGGGAGATATTAACGAGATGCGAGAGAGTTATGCTGACTGGGATGAAACGTAAGGACTCCTGGGATAGTCGACTCTGATTCCCCTCTAATATGCTTCTCGCTTTTCTAGATTGCAAAAGCTGGTTTCTTGTGTGCCATCGGTATATAAATGGAAACTGACCCATCTCTCCGAGCTGGAATCTTGGACCAAGGTTGGTACATCACCATGTCCTTTCAATCACAAACTCGCTAATTGGGACACACTAGGGATCTGTTGCTTTACTTGGTGATGCCTGCCACCCCACTCTGCCATATCAGGCACAAGGGGCTGCGATTGCCGTCGAAGACGGGGCAGTCATTGGCAAGCTTCTTGGTCTATTGCAGGCTCATTATCTGGACCCTAA